GCATCTGTACAAATTAGCATGAAATAAGATCGTATGTTTGAGAAAAAGAAGAAGAAGAAGAAGACCACGTCGAACCTCATACACAACAATATCAATTACTCTCTCTATTTTCAAAAAAAAAAGTTCATGCTAAGATTTGTACGGAAGGAGTAAAATATTTATTGGAAGAGTTTTTGGTCTATCCAACTCAAATTTGAATGAATTAGGACAATGTACCGGCGCTTGGCTACAAATGTAATTAAAACTAATGAAAAACGAGGTTGGAAAATATCTCAATGTGTTAATTAATGAAGCAATTCATATAGCCGAAACAAATAGGCCTAATTAGTTTATGGTCTAAAAAATTGACTACAGGGGTTTCGCCCACTTGTTGCACTAATTTGATGGCAGCGGGCCAATAAAAGATGACAATGAAAAGTTACTACATACTGTTAGAGAACATGAGAGATCTGTCCACTGAATTAGGTCAAAACTTGAAAGTAAAGCAATAAAGTATGAACTTAAAATTATTTTTTTTAAAAAAAATACAATTACCAAAAAGGTAGTAGCACAGTAAGGTTTTAAAAAACACAGGCATAATAAAGTTAAAAAGCCATCAAATCCCAAAAAGTTAGTTAATAAAGCAGCCAAATGAAAGCCACAAACTAGTTTTAGTGTTCACATTTTCTTAATGGTGTGGGGTTCTAATTTTTTGTTAACAATCACTTGTTGGCTTATATGATGTTGATTGCGGCGAGATCGCAATTGGCACAAGTAATGCCCCACCTTTCCCCTTGATAGCTTAGCAAGCCTTTGAACTTTTCTTTTGCAATTAGGTGACCAATGTATGTCCAACGTCCCAGTTACAAAACCAGAACGAATTATGTCGTAGTCACAACATAACTACAATAAATAACCATAATTTTTTCCTTTTTTTTTGGTAGAACCTGTAAACTTTCATTGATATGATGGAGCGTTCAAGTACACGGCATATACCAAAATTGCTCTATTTACAATTCACTTTACAAAAGTACACATATTGGTCACTCAATTCCGCATTAGATTGTGTATAATTTGGCTCTCTGTTGTTGATGTTTAAAGGCACACCTGAAATAACCATAAATTTAGGGAATATAAAGTTTTCTTTTTGTTGTTGTTGTTTTACAGTAAGAAAATAAAGGTTACCACGTGCCTTTAGTTATAGGTTAAATCAGGTGTAAAGGAATGAACCTTAACTTACATGATGAACGTAATGATATCAAATTGCAGATTACGGGTTTATTCTTGTTCAACATAAATTATATGTAGTATCCTTACTCTCAGGGACGGAATTAGGGGGTGTAAAGTGTGTTCGTCGACCCTGTGGTCGGCAAATTTTTGACAAAAAATCTCAACTTTTTATATATGTTCACGAAAAAATCATAATTATAGTTGATTGTGCGGTCGGGCTGGTTCCGTCACTTACTCTCCTTCCTTCCTTTTCTAATAAAAATATAAAATGCCAGTTTAAAAAAGTTATAGGGAATTAGAAGACGGTTCAGTCACGATATATTTGAGCAAGAAATATTTTAAACTGCGACCTCAAACCTTTTATTGTGGAAAAGAAGAGGACAAAGAAGAAGAAGGAGAAGAAATTACGAGTAAATGAAATTGTATTGTGTACGTTCTTCCGACTCCAGCCATTGAAACATTAGTGATCAACATTGCTACTATGGGCTCAAAAATGGTGCAGATTCCCTAACACAAGGGCTTAGAAAAACAGGGCAATTAGCCCAAGATGCTTTAGCTGTTGATGTACTAATTCAGAAACTGTTTCTATTGTTAAGAGGATCATTTGGGCTTGAATAGTATCCGAGTGAAAGGGCAAACCCAATCTAACTTCGGTTCAAACCCAAACACCCACCAGGAGTCCAGGACCAAAAAACCTAACAAAAAGCGATACTCCTAATAAAAATAACCTAAAGTGGAGCGTCACAGATACGCTGGCATGCTGATTTCGCCACAAAATCTACGCTTTTTTGGGGACATGACATTGAAGCAATGGAGCTCGTTTGAGTGGTTCTTAATAAACATGAGTTAATTTATTTAGAGTATAAAAAAGCTACTAGCTTTTTAAGGCTACTTTGCTGAGCTGATTAAGATGTACAGGCGAATCCTTTTCAAGTCCTAAGTCCTAACTTGAAGTCCTCAGCATCAGCCAGCCAACGGCAATGCATCCTTTTTCGAGTTATATGGAATTCGTCTTCACCACTTGTCAATCAGATCTTCCCAAAAAGTACACATATTTATGCTTATTACAAGTTACAATTAGGTCGGTACGTACGGCTAATCCATTAATCAAATTTCATGCTCATATCATGGCCTTTTATTAATTAATAGTTATTAGGTCATCGCTGATCCAAGCCTGAAAAAACAATGCTTATAATTGAGTTAGGTCAGTGTTAATTTAGTTCATTTCTGATTATCAAAATGCCATGCTTATTACTTATTAGGTCACCAATAATCCATTTGCTGTGCTATGCTCACTTTTCACTACGTATCTTCTTTAGCTCCACTAATGATCCATTTTGGCAACTTGGAATCGCCGATTCCTTTCCAACAGACTTATTTTAATGATTTGCTTTGTTGAATTAACTGTAACTAAGGTGGTAAAATATTCGGTTACCGTTATGAATAGTGTATTTTACCACTTATTGTGTAAGAGTTCTCGATGTACACGAACAATGCTGGGACATGTATGTAGTGTGAAGGGCATTGATTTGTTGGATTGGTGTTCCAGATCGAGATGAGTTGGAATGAATAATGTCGTGTAGTACTCTCTCTTCCTAACTCCATATGAGGGATTATTTTTGGCACTAACGTTGATTATTAGTATTCATTACTACCTTAAACATGTATGTATCAAAAGTAGGTGGTTGTGGTCGGATATTTTCTGGAGGAGGAGAGGGTGTGTTAATATGTTGTGGCAAAAGAAAATGATGAATGCCTATTTATAGGTCTATTTCTGAATCCCCAATATTATTATAGCCGTCAGGGACCATCTCCCTCTCCCCAGCTAGCTTCTGGACCCCTGGTTCGACAGAATTAATTGCGTAGTAGTTAATTTCTACACCGATATTTTTTACAAAAGGACCGTCCTTTTTCTTTGAGCCAAATTAAATATGGGCAAATATGTTAGGCAAGGCAATATTACAGTATTAACCAAAAACCGAAAAAAAAGAAAAGAAAAAAAGATATTGTTAGGCGTTTATTTTTTATTCTATTGGCTGCTCGCCTCATGCGTGTCCCTTAAAAATAGGACTCCATCTAGTAGTAGGAGTATTTATATTTCCCGAAATTCATGGCGCCGTAGCAAGTACACACTCTTTTCTCCTTCTGTCGTTTAGTTAGTTCGTGTATGATTCAGATTGACGTTGACCACCCCCAAAGGAATCGACGGTGCGAAGATGCCTGGATGCTTTCATCGATTTATTTTTTATTAGTATCACCTTTCAAATTAATATTTTTGTATTCCGAAAATAGTTTACTTATTAATCATTTTAATCTCTCTGTTTCAAAATTATTATCCAGTTTTAGATTTCGCTTTTAATATAATTTGAACTAAAAATAAAAATTCAAATTGGACGATAATTATGAAACATAAGGAATATTAATATTATTTATGATTGTCCTAAGTATGTACTATCCTAGTCCTGTATTTGATGTATGAGTTTTTAATCTTCGTATTCATCAGAATCGTTGATGTTTTACATGTCCCTTTCCCCAATTTTGGTCAATCTATCACTGTGTTTGATCATGATATCTGATTTTTCTTTTTTGGTTTTATAAATTGACGTTACCGTTTTGAGATAAATGATAACAATAGAAAATGCCGAGAAATCTGAAATCCCCTGACGGCGGTCCTTCATGTTTTGTTTATATTAAAATTCATCCCTTAAAGTTGGAGTGCAACATTTCTTTGTTGTCCTTGTTTGATTTCGTTCACTGTATTTGTAATAAATCATTAGGTCCTACCAACAGTGAGAATTATTGAAGGGTTTTGATTGAGAGCGTAAGTTTTATTCTTCGAGGCTTAAGGTCCATAATTCAAGTTTTAAGTTTAGGGGACAGAAAAATAGTTACAATTCTAATTGTGTGTGCGAGAATTAATAAGTCCTATTCTTTTAAATAAGATTCAACACTAACTGGTATTTTTAACAAGTGAAAAAAGTTAAAAGACAATCAACTTATTTCTAATATATCATGCACGTTTTTTTTCTAAAAAAAATTATTTTTCTTTTATGAAAGCCTAAAATATTTAATAATTTTTCGTTGGTAAACAAAAAGGTAAAAATTTATAAATTGTTACAATGCGTGTGGATAGGTTGAAATGAAGTGGAGAGCAAATTTAGGGGACCAAAATATTCACAATTCAATTTGGAAATGCCAACTCTTCCTTTCACCAAATGTTAGGATCAAAAGTATAGTATGCAAACACCAAAAATACAAATTCAAATTGAATTGTGCAATTTAGACATGACAGCTAAGTACAAAAAAAGCGTAAAATATGGTATTCCTCCTAATATACCTGTCCGGTTGATTGTCGTGTTCCCTTTGAAATTTTGCTCTTTGTTTGGTTAATTTAGTCAATCCAATCCACTCTCTTTGCAACATTTGTGATGGACAATTTGACACTGTATTCACAGCTATGGGTTTGTTGGCATATGCAGCTACCAACTTCACACCCAGTATCATATTTTTCATTACCCAGTTTTCGCGTAAACACGCGACTTCGAAGAATTTAATTGGAATGTTGATATTTTGGGACGAAAGAATATATAATATTTTTTATTTTATAGAAGTTATCTTATTTTGATTTATAATTATTGTATTTTCACTAGATAATGACAATTAGTTTAGGTAACTATTTCACCTATTATCAACACTACATATATACAATAAAAATCATCTTCTGATCAAAATCTTCACACATAAATTCAACGAAGGGGATTGACAAAATGTGAATATTTTTGGGTAGGGATGGGGACATATACCGCCAGCGATGTCCATGATTACATTGTGCTTCATTACCCAAGATTAAAATATACTATTATTGTCGTCTCCAGATAAGTTGATCTGCTTATTATTATTATTATTATTGTTAGCTTGTCTGCTGCGACTAAATAAAATTTTTGTCAAACCTGTTTTTCGTTTTCCTCTCTTAAAAAAAATCTTACGTAATAACAACAACTGGTGACAAAGACATTCTTAAAGAAATCCATCTAATGTGTATGTAGAGTATAGCTGCTTCCCTCACCAAGCACTTTCTTTCCTCCTACTTTATGTACTTGTTGTTGAAAGCTTTTTGAAGGAAACGAGTTCAGTCAAGTAGCTGTCTTTTGAACTTTGAAAGATCATCCCCTATAAATACCCACTTTTTGGTGGCTGAATCACCAACCCAAATTAGTCTTTCTTTACTGCGGGATCAAATTCATTTCTGGGCTTTGCTCTCCCCTCTTCATATTGTTTATACATTGACCTGATTGATAATTGATTTGGGGGATTAGGATTCCATCTGTGACTTCACACACTTTAACAAGATTCTTCATATCTCAAAGGTTAGGCTTTGCTGATGTTTCCGAGCAGTATGATTTTCACATTGTTTTTTCAGTTTTGGTGTTGCTAATGTAGCACTTTTAGAGTTGCCCCAACACCTAGAACATTCAGGAACATTATATGTTTCCCTTTGCCTTTTTTTTTTTTTTTAAATAAAAAAAATAATGTTTTTCTGGGGTTTGGAGCAGAAAGTTTACCATTTTAATGGAAAGTAACGCTTCCATTGATTATCTTAAATATAACTCTGTCTTCTGTTACATTTATTTGCCACTGATCAGGTGCTGGAGATTCAGAATGGAAAGTGAGGAGCTTTTTAAATCTTCATCATCATCAATCAGAGATTCTGCAGAAATAATCCCTTCACTGATAAGGCACATCAGCGAAAATGAAGTGGAAGGATTCGATGTTCTTCTTCAAGGTGACAAGAAGTTGAGTGGTCAGGAAGCCATCAAAGATGATCCTGTTTCCCATCCTTTAAGTCTGGTAAGTTCTGGTTTAGACAAAAAAAAACCAAGAATGAGATTTTTTTAAGGTTTCCCGGTTTGGTTTCGTCATTAATAAGATGTCTAATTTATAGACAGAAATGTAACAACCAGAGGAGAGAGAATGACTCTTCAAATCTCAAAAAATCTGCAACCACAAAAAATACAGCTAATTCAAATTTTTAAACCCAGCAACTATCTAAATCTGAAGATAACACAATCTAAACAGATCTTAATTTAGGCAACTTAAATTAATTTGCAGTGAACATAGCATTTTGATCAGATGATCATTCCAGAAACTGATGAAAAACTAGTATATTTACTGGAGGATATTGACACATTTGTTTATTAATTATTCCAGGGAATTGAGTCAGCAGCTGAAGGTATGAAGGAGAGCAGCGGTGTAAATCAGTCTCAGAGAACAGAATATGTTTCGATTAGCATGCCGCCATCTCCGAAAGGAAATGCCAAGAAAGTTCTCTTCAGTGACAATAGTGAAGTCATGAATGGCAACGGCGCTCAAAATCCGACCGCTTCTTCAAATGTTGCGGGCTCTGATCAGCCAAAAGGGGTGAAATTCCACTCTCAACCCATGCCAACAGGCAGAATTCCAGGCGGGGCAGAAATCCCACCACCGAGAAACCCAGCAATTCAGAGACTGAAGGATAACCGATTCGACTCTTTCAAAACCTGGTCAGGAAAACTAGAAAGACAGATCTCCAACATACGAGGAAGGCGTCAGGAACCTGAACAACAGGATTCCGTTCCTGCCCAGAATCTCGAAGTAGAAACTTTACCTGCATCAAGATACTTTGATGCCTTACAGGGCCCTGAATTGGACACTTTACGGGTATGATTGAATCGAATCCCTGGTTTTCCCTTTTTCAGATTTGTTATGTAGTTTCCTGACAAATCCGAATTCCTGGTTTTTTGATTGCAGCCGTCAGAGCAAATACTTCTTCCTGAAGATAAGCTATGGCCATTTCTTCTTCGGTTTCCAATCTCTTCATTCGGTATCTGCCTTGGTGTTAGCAGCCAAGCCATTATGTGGAAAGCACTGGCAACCTCTGCTTCCACAAAATTCCTTCATATTAGCCTGGATGTAAACCTCGTCTTGTGGTTCATTTCGGTTGCTCTACTTGTCATCATCTTTTGTATCTATTTTCTGAAACTGGTTTTCTACTTTGAAGCCGTTCGCCGAGAATACTACCACCCAATCCGTGTTAACTTCTTCTTTGCCCCCTGGATTGCCCTGTTGTTTTTAGTACTCGGACTTCCACCTTCAATCTGTGAAAATCCTCATGGAGCTCTTTGGTACGCTCTTATGGCGCCGATTTTTGTTCTTGAGCTTAAAATCTACGGACAGTGGATGTCTGGTGGACAGAGAAGGCTGTCCAAGGTAGCCAACCCCTCGAATCATTTATCCGTTGTCGGGAATTTTGTCGGGGCGTTGCTTGGTGCATCCATGGGACTAACAGAAGGGCCAATTTTCTTCTTTGCTGTTGGATTGGCTCATTACACTGTCTTATTTGTGACCCTTTACCAAAGACTTCCCACCAATGAAACACTTCCTAAAGAACTCCATCCAGTGTTTTTCCTGTTTGTTGCTGCCCCTAGTGTTGCCTCAATGGCCTGGGCAAGAATTCAGGGATCTTTTGATTACGGATCACGGATTGCTTACTTCATTGCTATGTTCCTCTATCTCTCCCTGGCCGTGCGTATCAATTTTTTCCGGGGCTTCAGGTACAGGATGATCAATGACCTTAAATCTTTGATCTCAAATATCTAAAAAGATGTCACATTCTGTTCTCTCTATTGATTGTTAATCTTTTGGGAATTGGTTTTATAGGTTTTCGTTGGCGTGGTGGGCGTATACTTTCCCGATGACCGGAGCAGCCATTGCGACGATCAGGTACTCAACCGTGGTGACAACATTAGTAACAAAGTGTTTAACAGTCATACTATGTTCTGTGTCAACACTCACGGTAACCGGCCTTCTTGTAACGACCATCATCCACGCATTCGTGCTTCGAGATCTCTTCCCTAATGACATTGCCATCGCAATTAGCGAAAGAAGGCCTAAAACCAGCCACAGGCATTGGTTCCACCGAAGGAATGGCAGTTCTGATACCACCAAAGACATTGAGAACTACCTTAAATTTGTTAACTCTGCAGATGAGAAAGATATCGAAGCTTCAATGAATGCAACAACAGGCTCCACTTCCGAAGAGGATAACAAAAGCTCTTCTGCCAAAAGGTTCAAAAAGGATCTTCAATCTTCACTTTCTCACTTCTGAGCTGCTATTTCTTAGTGGTTTAAATCAAGGGAGGAGCAATTGTCTTCGGAGTTCCTATGATCTTGAATGTACAAATTCGATCACGAGGTTTTTTACTTTGAACGATCTAATTTTGTTTGAGCTTTGAATTTTGTATCGCCGAATCATTTTTGTACATTACAAAAAAAAAATAAATAAAAATCTGAAAACAATGGTATTCCATCCGTTTGCTAAGACCAATGTCTGTGTGATTGATGAGCCTGGATTTCCCTAATCATTTCATCATTCCACCATAAACAAATGAATGCACACATCGTATTAGCTTCAAAAACTTCTTGGTACATAATATTCCATAATCACACTAATCCAAGTCCAACATCGACCTAATCTGATTAGACTATGACAAATTTCATAACAATCTCAATCAACCAAATAGAATTTTCTAGAGAAAACAGATGGATCATCGTGTTAAACCCCACCCTTTTTTTTTTCCATAATGAAACATCATGTTAAGCACTAGAGTTGCTAACTCATTGTTGACCGATATAACACGAAAAGAAACAACCCAACACTCTTTCAGGAACGCATGATCTCTACTATTGGGCTTTGAGTGTGTGCATTTGTAGTCCATTATAACAGGGAGTGGTTACAGCTTCGATCGTTGATCATGTGAAAAAAATAAATAAAAAATCTATTGTTAGGCGATTTTTCCGCTGAAGGACTGAAGCTCGTTGATCATGTGGTTACAACCCCGTTGAAGGACTGAAGCCTAATGCAAAGCCGCTGAATTTTCAGCTGAGCAACCCAGCTGAAGTTTCCCCTGAATTCTACTGATTGATACTTTTTGCACAGGCCATATCCAATTGTTAGGCGATTATGAATACATGTATACAAGATTAATGCTTGTCTGTAACTGGCCAAAGTTCTTCAGATCCTTCCTCTGTCTTTACCATGTCACTTGCACTGGAAGGAACATTTACTCATTTTCCCAACACCTGGAAGTAGATTCATCAGCATTTCCTTAGCATCCATCAGTCTGATGGCATCCCTCCCGTCTCCATATTCGTCGGCAACCCTTAAGGTCAATGTCATTGGGTGCCTGTTGTCATCAATTTCCTAGAAATTATAGGAGGTTGGAGAGAATATAGTCAGCAACAACTAAATAGAGTGAGATTAAATATCTTGGCAACAACTGAATGAATCAAAAAGGATTGGAATTTACATCTGGAAAACTATAGGTAAGAGAACATCCCGTGGCAGGATATAAGATCGAGGCCACACCCGATAGCATCAGAATCGTAGTGATCTGCGAGCGCCAAAGTATGAATAAAATAGTACTACCTCCGTCCTAAAAAAAATAGTCCACATTGAGTTTTGAATTTTTTTACTGTTTTTAATACAAAATTTAAAAACTCAATGTGAACTATTTTTTTGGGACGGAGGGAGTACTATAAATAAATGACAACTTTTATCTTACGCTTCGTGGAAACTTATGGAAAGGAACTTCCAATTGCAATGCCATTTTCTTTTCAGAGCTCAATCCGGCAAATTATCTGGTACACCCGGGGGCACCGTGTACCCCCTTGCGCGTGTACTTTACTCTCTTAGAATAGCGTGAGCTCGCTAGATAATTCAGTTTTTTTTTTTAAAAAAAAAAACGCGACATATATAAATTACCGAATTCATTCAAATTTTGAAAACTTTGTGATGGAGTATCCGGTATTGACACTGTGGATAACCAGTGTGCACACTATGGATAACTAATTAAACATAGCTGGATAACCAGTGTGCACACTATGGACAACCAGCTACACACTATGGACAACCAGTGTTCACAATGTGGATAATCAGTGCTGGTACTATGGATAATTAGTTATACACAGTTGGATAACTAATATTGACAATATGGATAATTAGTTATACACAATTGAACGTACCTTATTTCCATCATTTAGCAAACTGCCCCTCATTCATTTTTTGTTCTCCATCATTTGGCAAAATGTCCCTCATTTAATTAAATACTATTTATGAAATTTGTCGTGTTCGGCAAGGGGGGCAGCGCAGCCGCGGGCACCGGCGCAGCCGGGTCGTTTAGTTTATCACGGGGGGATTTATACAAGTGATTTGTGTCCCCTCTTAACGCAATAACACACTCTCCTTACACACACACGAAAAAAGGATTACCTTAGCTACATTGGCGTGTTCGGCGGGGCGGCAACCGGGGCAGATTGATGACCTGCGATTCCGGTAGCCGCGGGAGTCGTTTAGTTTATCATGTAGGGCGAAGCCCCCCAATTAACATGTCGTTTGCTTCTTTACCTCTGGATAACCAGTTTACAACTTGTGAATAACCAGTTTATATCTTCTGGATAACTAGTTTACACTTTTTGGATAACCAGTTTACAACTTGTGAATAACCAATTTACACCTTCTGGATAACCAATTTACACTTTGTGGATAACCAATTTACAACTTGTGGATAACCAGTTTATGCCTTCTGGATAACCAGTTTACAACTTGTGGATAACCAGTTTACACCTTATGGATAACCAGTTTACAACTTGTGGATAAATTATGGATAACCAACAGTTGTGTGTGTTTGTGCGTGAGGATGAAAACAGTAAAATGGATAAAAACAATTTTGTTTGTGCATTTAATGTAAAGGTGAAAAATGTTGAACGTGTGTAGCGCACGTGTTTGGTGGAGGTATACGGTATACCCGGATGCACTGGATACAGACTCCTCAATCCTCTCTTAATATTTAGTTCTGACATCCCCTCAACAATATTCGAAACATCAAAATTTTGAATCTATATCCCTTCCTTTTTAATAACTAATCCAGGAGATATTGTCTGGAATACAAGTCCATACAGATTCCAAAGGTTATAGGAGAAAACCAACCTCGATCCAATAGTGCTGGCGATGCTGGAAGCCTATTCAGCTTGAAGTATAATCTATAAGAAATTAGACAATACCACAAAAAACAATTACTTCGCTACAGAATTATTTCAGAAATAGAAAACAAGAAGGAAGATTGTCAAAATTACAATGGACCATCTTCATTATCATCCGACCAATTTTTGGCAGTGTGTAATTTTTTCTTCTTCTTCTTGAAAGTCGTAGTTTGAGCAGTATGATTAACCCTGCCAAGCTCCGTCTTAATCTTCTCTCTGACCCGGCCAGTCATGCTCACACACTTGACAAGATAAGCATTTACCCCAAACGTAAGGTGAAAGAAAACAAACAAACAATCAAAAATAAATTTGTACATGGCCCAAAAAAAAACAAAAATGCAAAAATAAAACTGAAACCAATTGTGAACCACTATGAACCAATATGGCGTTAATTAAATTCTGAGAAAGCAGAATGAAGAAACAAAAAAAAAAAAAAACAAAAATTAAGAAAGCAGAATGAAATTCTGGGAACCAAAAAAAATCTAACCCCTATATATATGATCCCTTACAATGCCCGTTCACAAACAGTGAACGCGTGTCGAATACAACATGTGAAGGTCAAAGAGTAGCTCACTAAAGTTCTGGGTGTTTTTTTTGTTCTAGATTTATGCAAATTTCTTCAATTACTTCCTAATAACAACACTTAAAAAGAAACTAGCAAGCAAAAAAGAAAGTCACTAACCAGAGAACAAAAGCAACCCAGAGATTTGATCACAAAAAAAAAAAACAACAACCAAAAAATAAACCCGTAAAGAGTAGCATGCCTTTGACTAATTACCCTGATTTAGGTCAAGCACACAATCCATAGTAATTATACTGAGCCCTGATCTAAACCATATGCTTAGTTCCACAGACTAACTGAAAGCATCATGATTACTACTATCTTTCTCATCTCACAATAATCCAGCGGCCTACAACATCTTCGTATTTTCATATGCTATGAACAAGATAGGCAACGAACTAAAAATGAAAAATTTAAAAGAAACCGTCTTTCACAATTAACATGGGAAAAAGCAGATCTCTTCTAAAGAAAATCTTCATCCGCATCATTCTTATCAGACTCCTTTTGAATTAGAAAAAGCTTATCCCTAAAATTAGAATTCAGTCACTAAAGCATCGGAAACCGGAACGTAAACCAGATAACAAAACGAAGGAGCTAAAAGGAATTGGAAATCATAAAAAAAAACGCTAATTACCAAGCAGAGAAAACAAATTAAAACCTAAAACACAGGGCCGGTCCAAATATTTTTGGGCCCTAGTGCAAATGAAAAAAAAAGCCCTGCTTGCGTTAATATAGACTATTTTATTAAGAATGAAGTAATGAAATCTAATTAATAAGGCCCAGAACTTATTTCATCATTTACATTTCTTTCTGTCAGCCACCGAAAATGATCCACGTCACCGGAGTCGGAAACGAGATTGGAATCAAGAATCAAGAAGTAGAGAGTAAGAGAAAGAAAGAAGATTCTAGAGAAAAGGGATAAAACTGAATTTTTTTCTTGGTCGATACTCAAAATTACACAATTCAGTCTATTTATTACATTTCAATCATTGATTCAAATCATTGACTAAATCTATGTTCCAGCCGTCTTTCAATTGAGTCCCATATTTTCAATTATTTCCAAATCGGCCCCTGTATGTGACAACTCTCTTCCCCTTAAAAGAACCCTTCTCCTCAAGGTTTGAATGATGGAAATTGGCTCTTAATGAAGTTAGCTTCTTCCGAGGAGGCATTTTCTAATGCAAAATCATTCCATTGAATAAGCCATTGGACCACATGTGCACCATTTCTGTTGATAAACCGCCTTTGAAGTACCTTGGATGGAACAAGGACGTTTTCTTCAAGTACACTTAACTCAGGAAGAGCTGTGGCAGTAGGAATCAAACGTCTAATGCTTCTTTAGCGGGGAAACATGAAAGACTGAATGAATCTTCACATGAGCTGGTAACTGCAACCTATAAGCTACTTCTCCAATCCTCTCTATCACCTTGTAAGGACCATAATATCTGGACATTAACTTCAAATGTGATCTGATGGCTGCTGTAGACTGTTTGTATAGCTGCAACTTGAGATAAACCCAATCTCCCACTGCCAAAATCCTCTCAGAACGATGCTGATCTGCATAGAACTTCATCCTGTCTTGGGCTTTCCTCATTTGTTCCTGCAGAATCTTAATGACAACAGCTCTTTGTTGTACTTTACTGGTTGCTGCTGGAATAATACTGGCAGAAAAGTCTCCCATTGGAAATATATCAGGTTTTTCACCATATAAAGCTTCAAAAGGAGTCATGTTGATGTTGCTGTGGTGTGAAGAATTGTACCGCCATTCAGCCATAGTAAGCCATTTGCTCCAAGTGCCAGGTTTTTCACAACAAAAACATCTAAGGTAACCTTCTAGACATTGATTAACCCTCTTAGTCTGACCATCTATTAGAGGGTGATAGGCAGTACTCAGTTTCAGTTTGACCCCCCCCAACAACTTGAACAATTCACTCCAGAAATGGTTAGTAAAGATAGGATCTCTATCAGTAATGATGTCTTCTGGCAAAAAGATCATGTATATGTAACATCAGCGAAAAAAAGAGTATTCTGATATCAGCGGGCAAGAATTAGCGCGCTCTTTTTTTATACAGATCTAATCGAGTTTTTTGTCTCTCTCTAGAATTATGTGTGAAGTCAGAGGACCTGGTCACGCCGCCGACGAAGAGGCCCCTATTGCTGGATTTGATGACGTGTCGCCCAAGGAGGAAGAGGACGAGATCATATTCTTGTGCAGGCCTGGACTCGCTTTTCCGGAAAGGGGACATACTTTTATGGGTTTGATTTGTGAGGGTAATAATGGGGTATTTCTAGCAATTGAAAATCCTCCGTCGGTTGCATCAAAGCCAGTAGTTGTGGATAAAGTGATTGAACTTAATTCTCATGTGCTTGCGGTTTGTTACCAAGAGGAGACAACATGTGAATCTATTCTCAGAGACATGCAAAGTCAGTTCCGGCAACACGAGCTGGAGACAGGGAGGAGAAATACCGTTGAAGAGGCATCAAAGTTGGTGGCAGATGCGCTGTGTGTTGGGAAACACAAGTTCAGGAAGCGAGTGAAGCGGTATCCGGCGGACCAAGTCCTACTCGTGGGTTGGGATACAGAACCTGCTGTTCCTGACTTGATTATCGTGAATGGTGTGGGTGAAAGGATGAGAGCAGCGAATCATTCCCGTGGATCGGGTTTTCCATATCTTTTTCCTACCCTGGTTTCTGCTAAGTTGATGTCCTTTGATCGATGAAGCCGTGGAGTTGTCTACGGACCTGATGCGCAAAGCTGCACACCATGTTGCTGTCAACATTAAACAGGGTTTTAAGGGTTGATATGGGGGTTTCATTAGTGGGTACTTACGTAGGAGCTAAGGGGATATCACAATGAAGATGCAGGAGAGCCAACAAAAAAAAGAGTTGGACGAGATTATTTCTTCTAGTAATAAAAATTGGTGTTAAAAGCATTATGCACTGGAGTTGCTAACTCAATTTTGACCGATATAACACGAAAAGACACAACCCAACACTCCTTTCTGGAACGCATGATCTCTACTATTGGGCTTTGAGTGTGTGACATTTGTAGTCCATTATCCCTCAGTCTTCCAACCTTCGGGTCCGTAAAAGTTTGGCAAGAAAAGCCCACATATATTGGGCTTTTTTCAGTTGAACATAGGCCTACAGTTAAGAGTCATTCTCAGGCCTAGAGAGCTGTGACTTGTGAGGAATACTTGTGCCCTCCCAAATTAGCATTTCTCGCTCGTCTGTGGCTGTTTACAGGGAGTGGTTACAACTTACAACTTCGATCGTTGATCATGTGAAAAAAAAATATAAAAAAATCTATTGCACTTATATAACTGCCTTGATTCCTTTTGTCAAGACATACTCTTATTCGAGTATTATGTAATACAGTAATACTGATTAATAAAATACCAACTACATATTAGGTTTTGAAAGAGATTTATCTTTTTATTTAGTAAGAATTAATTTGAGTATGATATGTATCCGCTTATGATTACCGCGTAATTCTGGTTTTAAAAAAACACGTAATAGTATAATTTGATCATCCAAATTTAATAATGTGCGCACGAGGTCGACCTTGTAATGGCATGAGTATGTATAGTTGTATACCTAGTTTAGTATATAGTTGAATGAAATCGCTATATGGTGAGACTGACAACTAGGAAAAATTTCAAGTTTTCATTTCTTTTTTTCTTTATGGTGGGGAGGGGGAAGAAAAGAATGAATTAATAAATATTTAAACAGCAGGGACAAGGAACATTTATGCTATGGAATGAAGAAATTGATACATCATGAGTCGTCCTATGAATGATAATGACAAACAGTGAAATGAAGCAAATTGGGAGGGCTTATTGCCTCCGACACAGGGCAATGATGATTCCATGCATGTGAATCGTGACGACATATAGCCTACATGTTTCTTTCCAAATTGGCTTAATGGCTAACAACTACTACTTCATCCTAAATTTATACTACTGATTTCATCTTTGTCTTCTAGGTTTACGTACCAAATTAGCCCTCCAAACAAAAAACACAAAAATTCTTCCTCATAATGGTTTGTCCAACATTCTCTCTTTTCTATCTGAACCTTATCTAAATATCTTACATGCAATCAATGTACGTAGTACAAGTTACAAATTAAATTAAGGGAAAATTCCACTTTATGTATCTTAAGAATAGGGAGTTTCCAAATCATGTACCCTAAAAATTGGTCTCACCAAATCACATACCCTATGTTTGAAGTTTGTTCTTTTAGGCACATTTTAAAGGGCAAAATGGGAAATAATCAAAATTTTGTCCTAAACTACTACGTTTTTGCCCCCAAAATTTTGGAAAAAAGAAAATTGCACCATAAATTCTATTAATTTTACAAAATTTTATCTTTCAGTCAGATTTCAGCAAATTACACCTAAATTTTTGGTCAAAAATTTCCGACGACTTACAGTATTTATTATTTTTGACGTACATATTTGTTTTATTTTAGCGAGTTTTTGTTCTTATAAGTTTAATTTATATTTGTATTTGTCATTTTCCATGATTATTTAAAAAATATTTTTTGGTCCTTCCTTTTTTGTACTTATGTTCAAGTGCTTGGCACTTTGATACATTTTTTTTTTTTTTGGATTTTGTTTAATTAGCTTAAAGTAGACTCTGAAAATTCGCGTAAAATAGAAAAAAAATTATGTGTTACTGGAAATGCATCAAAGTGCAAAGAATTTAAACAAAAAGTACGAAAAAAGAAAGAAGAAAAAATATTTTTCAAATAATTATGCAAAATAATAAATAAAATATAAATTAAACTTATAATAAAGAAAAGCTCGCAAAAATAAAACAAATATGTATGTCAAACTGATCAACACTGGAAGTCGTGGGAAATTTTGACCCAAAATCTAGGCACAATTTGCTGAAATCTGACTGAAAGATGAATTTGGGTAAAATCAATAAAATTTATGGTGTAATTTGTTTTTTTTTTTCCCAAAAGTTTGTGGCAAAAACGTGATAGTTTAGGACAAAATTTTGTAGGGTATTTTCCCATTTTGCCCTTCAAAAAGTACCTAAAACAACAAATTTCAAACATAAGGTACGTGATTTGATGAGACCAATTCTAAAGTACATGATTTAGAGACCCCTTATTTTTAGGGTACATGAAGTGGCTTTTTCCCTTAAATTAATACAAAATCTCAAAAAGGTTGTTTGCGGTTTTTTTTTTTTTTTCAATTGTTTGTATAATACATCCACATCGCCAGAAAGTAAGGAGTATTGATTACTTATCATATCAACGTAACAATGATTAATTATTTCACTGAATTATTATCGTTTCAAGGAGTGAGATCGTGGATAACTTTAAGACAAAAATCGAACATTCAAACTTAATTGGTTGCAATATCTATGTCAAATGGGGTGGCAAGTGGTAACAAGAGAAAGCAACTTCATGAGAACAAAGTCGGGAGATATACGTGGGTGTGCTGTTGATTTGGTTGCCCCTTGTCTTCCTCATGATCTTATACTTTAGGTTAGGGTATAAAATACAAAACAATATATGGAGGCAGGAGGGTGTAGAAGAAAACACCATTAAAAGCGGCCTATATATAAATTGTGTATTAAAACGAGGATCTTTGGCTAGATGCGCGAGCAGAGTTTGTCCATGTCCCTTGTTTGCCTGACAAATGACAAAATAACAACATCATCTGAAGATAAAATGTTATCAAGTTTTGATGAGGCCAGATTTGGCCTTAGTTACTCAAGGTGTGGTTGTGAGATAAATTGGGTCGCCTTGAAACTACCAACTGGATTCATCACCACCATAGGAGACCCATGCCCACATGGTCCGTAACGTGCAGGATTCCATCATTTTTACAATGACCCGCCCCGCCCTTTGGTACAGGGTTATATAATCATTCCAATCTGGAGTTTTCCGGTAACTCAAAAAACAATGAAAATTCAAAATTTTCGACGTTATTGAGATTTGAAGCGTACTACTTGCTGTCTTAAAATGATTACCTAGTTTGGATTTTCATATATAGTAGTGAGAATTCAAACCGACCAATTATTTTGAGACGGAAAAGAATATAATTTAAATAAATTAAGAAGGAAGCTGAGAGTTTCCCTCTTCAACTTGTGCTCCTGGTTCTTTGAGGGAAAAAAAATGGCGATCGGTTGCTCTGAACTCTCTTACTCCATGAGTCATATCTTACAGTAGTGCAAATAAAAACTCTTTAACTCCGAACGGGAAGCTTCCATGTCGGGACGATGTGATTGAGTTTGATTAGCTGATTAAAGAAGATAAGGTTCGTAGACCAATAGCGGCCATTGTAGGACATCATTATAGAGAGTACTTGCAAGTGAAACCTAGCTAGCTATAAAATCGAAAAGAAATTAATCCGACAAACATAATTCTTATTTTGAATTGATAAAGCTCACAAAAATCATATTATTTGTTCTTTTGATCTTTAGTAACCTAAGCCAAGCGCATTTAATTAGTGTATGTGACTATATATATTTGCATTCTTTGGCAAACAAGTTGAGTTTGCATTACCAAGTCAAACTAAATATAATCCCAAGTTGTATCATATTGAGTGAAGATCACATAAGCATTAGCAAAAAAAAGAAAAAAAAAAAAAACTTTTTTGAACTAAAATAAATAACAAATTTGAACTATTTTTTGGAAATGGAGGAAGTAATAAATGATATTCTCACCAAAAGGAGTTGAACAATGTGATGAGTTAGACAATTTAGTTACTTGAGCTTGGACTAAGGGTGCAACATGGATTAGAGAACGTCAACTGTAAACAGAAAATAGTCCAATCAGCATGCGTACGTCAACTAGCATATATCTGGTCTTTCTACAGATCATATACCAACTGCTTACGAAATAAGTTGGTTGGGAAGTACTCTCCTGATCTAATCTTGTAGCGTAATTCAGATTTCAAAGCGAAGAAAACAAAAGTACAAAAACAACTCATCTTCTATGACTTAAGTGATCCTTCTTGGTTGTACCATATGGAATTATGAAGAATTGAAAAAAAATTACAAACATAAAGGGCCGGCTTGGTCCAGTTTGGGAACACATGTTTGTGTTCATCACCATTGTTTTCGGCAACATGTGAAATTCGGAAAATTACTCGATTATTTATAGCTACTCACACGTCTCATTTTAATAGTACATTTTACACCAACATAAAAGGATTATTGTATTGCAGTGTTATATATCTGCGTGAACCGATAAGCCCGAGCTTCCATTTTGTTCACTTGTATAAGTTGAAGTAGTTGGACGTTGAAACAAACCTTCCCATTTTTCTCAGCTAGCAACTGCAAAATTATGAGACTGAACTTCGAAGACGACCACAACTTCCAAGTTTCTCCAACACAAATGAAAATCGTCATTGCGTATGCAGCTAACACACAAATCCTAATAATGATTGTTCTCTTAATTTGTTCTTTGTACGTAGCATTCAGAAAAAAATTAGTCTATTTTATTGAACTAAAATAATAAGTATAATAACAATAAGAAAGAAATATAGTACTTTCTCTGTTCTAAAATTATTGTCCAGTTTAGATTTTTAGTTTTAGTATAAACTGAACTAAAAATAAAACTCGAAATTGGACGATAATTTTCGGGACGAATGGAGTAGTTAGTTTCAGAGATGAAGAAAGTAAAAGACAAGATACTACTATATTGTAGTTATTGCGAGTACGTGCCTGCGGATACATGATTATACCATCAATCAGTGTTTGCTAATGATTTAACTTAAAAATATCAAATACGGAAGAAGCAGATTTTAACTTATATAACCAACATCTTGTACGCTACAATAGAGATACATCATTCACCAGATCACGCAATGTTTGTGATTAACATATGTCAAACTGATAATAACCTACTGTACGGTAGTATATAATATTAATGCTAATCTCCAAACTAATCATAAGTTTTGGTAACTGGATAATGTCGGATGATTGTCGGAGAGAATTTCGACAGACCCACGAAAGCTGTGAATCCGTCGGCACGAGGTTCAATCTTCAATCAGATTAAACCAACCAATTCCTAAAAATGTTCAATGAGCAATGGAATTAAAGTAAATTAATGGGTAAAATGCAAAAATTCATTGATTTTTATTGAGATGGCAATGGGACAAAAATAGGGAAGAATCCCAACTACTTACTATACCTATAGATGTATATACTTCGTCTCTCAAATGCCATACAAATTTATACTGTTGTTTTTTTTTAAAAAAAATAATTTTTTATTTTTTTTTACAGAGCTTCTTAAATTCCGACCTCCGACAAGACAAACGAGAAATGTCACATAATGCTTCCCCCTGGATCCAGCTAGAGCTTTGAAGTTAGAAGAAGAAGAAGAAGAAGAGAGTAATGTGACAATTAAGTAAAACGAATGGCTTGTGTTCCATTCCATCATCTATTCTTCTCCAACAGACCATTCCCATGTGTCTCAATTTTTGTACTGTCTTTTTCATCTTCTTCTTTTCTTTCTTTTTTCCTCTCCTTTTTTTCCAGAGCCAACAGCTTTTTAATCATTTACCTGAAAAGTAATCACATAACATGAATTCAACAACAACCTAAAAAAAAAAAGAAAAGAAAAAACACATGGATCAACCAAGCATCCATTAACTAAAATGTGTAAATTAGTCCCGTACCATGATGAGTTCTTTTGCAATGGAGGACAGCCTCGTAAATGGAGCTCTCAGAATCGCAAGATCTGCGCCAATTATGATCTACGGACCACGCAACGCTTGTCCTGGGCGAGGTTGCAGGGGAATAATACTCCCAGCTTCTCCTCCCTGTTTCATGGCGTTCTTCATGCATTAATCCTCCTCCTGAAGAACTCCCAATACTCGCTACTCTGGAAGTACAAGATCCACGCCCTTGTAATTTCTGACAAATTGGCTTTAAAAAACCCAATATTCTTTCCGATAATCTTTTGCACCTTCTCAGCGACGCACAACGAACCCGATTGGAGGAGGAGGAGGAGGAGGAGGAATGTTTTTCTTTTTTTTGAATATTCGGGATTGACGTATTTGGGGAAACTAATTCACTCTGTCCCCCCACCAATCTGTCTTCTCCGTCCGTGTGATGATTATTGTTATCACTGATCAATGGGAACTCGCCGGAAAGTGGGACGAGGACGCCGTCGGGAGAGATGAGTTGGTCGGCGTCGGCGAGTGAAACGGGGAGTTGGTTTGTGCGGAAATCAAAGCTGAAGTCTTTGGGGACTCTGGAGAATCTCCGGGAGGAAGGCATCTTTGGGTCCATTTCGATGAAGGAAGAAGCTTCGTCGGCGTCAAAGGAATTGCCGCATGATGGTGATGATGATGATGATATGGGCAGCCAACTATGAGAAAAGCTCTCAATGGTCGACAGAGATTGACTACAGCTGCTTTCCATGGATGGAGAGATTTCCCACTTTCTTTTTCGTAAATCTCTTCAATCTTTTCTTCGGGGGTTTTTTTTTTTTTTGGCTCTCACTGACAGAGAATGTTGATATATTATTATGGGTGTATGTATGGAAATTGGATTTGGAAAGGATGGAAAAAAAAAAAAAATACTATGAGAATAATGGCTCTGTTCTTGTCATCCACTTCTTCCACTGTGTGTGATATACTTATATATATATTGATATTATTTTAGACTTTTTTGGCAGTGTTGACGCTGACCCATTCAATTGGGTAAAATCTTTGGTTCTATTTCGATTGCGGTGCTGTTTTTTTTTTACAATTTTACAGTGTTGAAGAGTTTCGAGGATATTCAAATGAACAAAGCAAAAAAAAAAAAAAAAATGCTAATCAGACTGAGAAAAGAAAAAGAAAAGTGGGGAAAAGAAAAAGGGGTAAAAAGAAAAGCAATCCAATCCTTTTATGGGGGTTTTTTTTCTAGAATGGAGTCATTTGAGACGTTTGATGATTTTACTTTACTTTTTGACGGGAGTTGTAATCGAATGTTGTGCTCTTCCATTATGAGAATTGAGTGGTTCGTAACTTTTAGACCCTCAAAATACTGCATGCTTAACGTCATCTTACATTTCATTTTGTCATTTAAAAATGAAAAGTGTTTCAAGTTAAAAACTAAATGGGAAATGAAAATGTTATTTGGATAGTATTTTGAGCAAAAAGTTGTTTAGATGTTGGTTTTGAAAAAAATATTTTGAACTACATTTTGAAAGTATCAAGTACGAAATCATCACTAAACAATTAAATACTGTCAATTATAGTCACTGCAAAAAAAGAACTTTTCCAAAAACAATCACTCAACAATGGAATCCTGCCAAATTTGTCACTGAACTATTTGTAATTCTAAAATGGTCATTACACTAACAAAAAGTGTTTCAAGTTTGAATTTAAAATGTAAATCAGAAAGATGTTTGGATGATGTTTTCTTTTCCATTAGATTTTGTATTTAAGTGATAAAATGAGTTAAAATGTAAAATGAGTGTTTGTCCAAAGTCATTCCTCCAATTATGGTCTTGGAACAATTTTGCCAAACTTAAAAAAAAAAAAACATTTAAACATTGATTTTGAGAATAGGCACCATCGTGTTCAGTGTCAGAGACTTACAGGAAAACCAGCAACGGCGATTTCACCTTGTCCCGCCTAAGGAAGCATTTATAACATTTCGTTCATAGTTGTTTTGCCCAAGCAAAAAAGCAAATTTATCAGTTTTGTTCTTACAATTTGAGGATATGTCTCTAATCTTCTTTTTTCAAAAATTTTCCGTCAAATTTTAGTTTTTCCTCCCGGGGAAAAAAATATGGTTGGCAAACAAGGTTTTATTTTATTTATTTATTTGAAGGGGCGGGGCTGTATTTGTAACATACGAGATTTTAAGTGTCAAATCGAAAAAAGTTTTGGTATTAAGAAACAGTGAAGAGCTATTCCATAACTTTTCACATATCGTTTTCTTATCTTTTCTTAAAGCCAGTTGGGTGGAATTCCACTCAATCATCTGTGCGTAATTCAAATGGATTTAGAGTTTACTTACTGCGGCAAGCACCAATCCTGTCTGATAAAAATGTAACTCTGTGTGCGTGTGTGTGTTTTTTTTTCCGTGTAAAAGAAAAAGGAGAAAAAAAAAAGCAGCATTTTAAGCTTGACAAAATATGACATTAAAAACTGGTTATTTAGGCCTCACAAGTTGTTCGATGCAAATTAAGGAGATACAATTTGGTGTCATTTTCTACGACTTTTAATATCTTCCGAATGACAAAAAAAATTCGTTTTTGGCCAATTATTAATGGCCATAAAGTAGCCCCTGCATCCACACACTCCACAGAACCGGCTACATATCCACTCAAAATTAAAGGTGAAAATTCTGATGAATTTAACCATATCGAATATTACTGCTAAATTACTACTACAATACGAGACCTTTGGCTTCAAGGAGAAATTTCCGATGAAATGCACAAAATAAGACCTATATAAAGCAATTATCGAATTTTATCTGTAACTGGTAGAATTCCCAACTTTATCTTTAAGAAAAAAAAGGGAATTATTAATCTAATTTGTAGCTATAGATAATACTAGAATACATGCATCTATTGTAGGAATATAAAATTTAGTCATGGGAAGTAATCAGTAATCGCGCCAATTTAGAACCGTGTCCGCGCAAGGAACCCCAAAAGATAAACAAAGACATCTGCTAGCTAACTAGGTCTATTGCCGAGGATGCGACAACAGCCATATCTGCTCTTACTATATCAACGTGAATCAATTTAGCATCAACTTTTGTTGCATTGAAAGATTGATGGACCGTTTTATTATGTTGTGAACTTGCGATCAAATTTAATTTGACGTTTTTTTTAAAGGAAAAAAAAAAGAACATTTGTTCATTCCTTCAGGGAATCAGGCTAGCTGCCTCGAATAAGTTACGGTTGATATTATACATCCATGTCTAAGCCTAACACTTGTCTCTTTTGATATTATATCTGTATCGCATTTTTTTTAATAATTTTATGCTAATGTTTATGACGAAGGCAAAATTCGATGGGTTGAAGAGCCAACGGTATCTATGGACATGTGACCTGCAAAACAAGGGTTAGTATCCGACGATCAAGTTAGTACATGGAGTGAGAGAAATAAATTATTTGAACTATGAAGAGAGTAGAATGAGCTTACTCTTCTACCACACAAATGGAGTATATAGAGATAAAGTAGAAAATATTCTTTGGAATATTCACTGGGCTTAATGGGCGTGGTCTATATTAGGACTTTCCATCAGTTCGATAAATCTCCAAAAAGTAATTTTGGGTCCAAGAATGGATATTGGTCCAAGTGGATATTTTTCCCCCATCAGTTTACATGATGATCATTGAACTCCGACACTTATTAATTGGACTTGTCAAATATTTATATTAAGTAATCCAAAGTGTGATGCTAAAAGTTGTCATAACTCATAAATAAGTGCCCTGTGAACATCTATTCGAAATTACAAATTACGGACCTTTAGCATTACTTTTGCTGCATCTTGGAACACTCATTACATGGGTTTTTTTTTTTTTTTTGGGTAAATGTACGTTTTTACTACTATATGTTGCATTGGATTGGATTTAATAGGGTCTTGTTCACCAAAGCCTGATTATGTTTCCATAATTATATTCGTGGATCCTAGATTGCAATAATCATCGAGTAACAGCATCTTCTAACCTCTTTATTAATCAGCATCACAAAGGAATGTCCTGTCTTTTCCATATTATATTTTTATAATTGTGCAATCGTTATTATTTGCGAAAAAAACATTTAATATTTGGGGAGTGTAGAAAGACAAAAATACCAGACACAGGCCCCCGCAGTTGTCGGAGAAAGATAGAGCCATCAGAAAAGGTCTGAGAGTGAGGGGGAAGCACAAGCCAGAACTGGAAAGTGGCCTCAAACCGAATGGTCCCTTTGCTGTCCCCTTATAGGACAGAAGGCATTTCATCAACAAAAAAAAAAGATAAAAAAAGAGTACAGATATGTTTAAATATTTACTCATATTCCACAGAATGTCTCCAATTATGCAAGAGTTTTGAGCCATTTAGATGACAATGTGACTAAAAAAGGGCAAAAAAAAAAAGGTGGGAAAATGATAGTAACATTTTTATTTACCCGTAATCTTTCCACGCAAATTTGGAGGGAAAAGCTTTAAATAATTAGAGTGGAATAGTCAGCATGATATTATTAACAGTTACATATTTTCGTGATGTGACAATTTGTAATAAGTCATCAGAACGGAGAAAAAAGAATGGCGATTTAAGCCAACTTTGATTCTTCGGGCGAAGTCACAATCATTTTCAAGTGATTTTGGTTTAATTTCCAAATGAAAAAATAAGCAAACCCCAACTTCCAGCTCTGCTATAACGCAACAACAAGCTAGGGAGATGCTGTGATGAACTGGACTAGATAACGAAGAGAGCAAACGACATGAAGGATTTTAAGAATAGAAAAAACACCAGAATGGGAAACCAATGGTTGTGGGTCAAATTAAGAACGAAATCAGCTTCCAGGGACAGGCAGTGTCCAGAAAATATCTCATCATTCGCCTTCTTCTATTTCTGAGCCTAGTTCTTTAAGGACCATTTTCATGGCAGGCAAGTGTCTGCCCATAGATGTTTTTATCCGTTCTGGCTACAGACAGCATCTTCCCTCATATTTCTTTCATTTATTTTTTTGGGAAAACTAGAGAAGTTGGAATGAGTCGATTGTGATATTAATGAAAGTCAAAGGAACTACCATAAATGTGTAAATGAATTTCTACTTAAGATTTTGCTATAGTTTGTGAGTTTCAAATGGTCAGAGTAATTACATAGAGTGGAAGTAACTAAAAGAAGTTCGAGTAACTAAAAGATTTTGCTACAGTACTTGGAGTTAAACTGGATAAATTGGACTAATTGAAGGAGCAAAGTAACTAAAAGAAGTTCGAGCAAATTGCCGAGAAAAAAAAAAGTCCAACCAGTTGAGTGGTAAACAATAAGAACATGATTACCAAGACGGATGTATTAGGATCAATCAGATCTGCAATAGCTTTAAGCCGTAAGCTGTACAATATGATATCTGTAGAGACCTCTCTTGTATCTTAAATGTTCAAACTATACCTATTCTTCAGAGTGTAAGCGGAGGACTTTTTTTTGCTATGCACTAAAAGCAGTCCAACTGGGACGATCACATCCAAAAAGCTCATGGTTACACTACACTAAATGTGTTTCAAACAACATCAGACTCCCGCAAGCAACCGAAAAGAATAAAAATACAGAATTCATCGCACCTAAGTTAACTGGCAACTTGAGTGTTTCTTCGGTGCTTTAACAGATGAACCAACAAGAACTTGTGCCAGCAGTCTGAGATTGGAGTTCACATCTACATGAACAGACTAATTGAACAATGCATTATAACATGGATGTGACGCGCACTGAATTATCAGCCGATCCAGTTAAGAAGATTGGTAGCGTTGGATGCCAATCTACTGTTGTTATGGATGCAGTGTGAGGTAGAGTTCGCATCCCATTGGTACCACCTCGCACCTGATATCATCCAAAAATGTACAAAAATCTCAAAGGTTACAAAACCCCATCAAAAAATGATTTACTATACAGAATCGATGAAAGCATTAGCTATCTTCCATACTACAAAAGCATGCACGGATATTACCTGGTAAATGGGTGCTCTTACTAAACAAGATGTCAGTAGAAGTTTCCTTCCATTAGCATCTAAAGCCATTTCATTTCTGTGGTGCATTGGATTGGGGAAGTTGCAGAACCTACACCATGGAAGTAACCATCATCATAGCAAGCTAAGTCAACAACGTATATTGACGAAGAAGAGTAGAAAAATATAAACAACCATCAATAACAAAAAGAAGAAAGCGCATCTCCAGAAACTTTTGATTCAAACCAGTGTAAAGCATCATAAATTTAATTCTAATACCTGCTGCAGTCTCTTGACCAAATAACTTTTCCTTGATTTTGCAAGCTCCATTCAAGTACCTGGCAATAAATTGTTATCTTAAATTCTTGTTCGTTACCAGCAATTCTACTACTACTACAAAAAAAAAAAAAAAGAGCCTTATGACATCTCAGCATCTTGTTCTGTCACTGATATTTACGAGAAATTACAGTGTTACATACTGGTGGTGTAAAACCAAAAATTGAATAAACATAGATGCGGTGGATTATTAACCTTTCCATCTGTGCCCAAACTAAATATGCTGGTCTCATCAGGGCCAAACAGAACAGAGCTGATGGCAGAATCATGAGCCGGCCAACCAGTTATTTGCAGGCCCGAAGACATATCTGAACTAGTAGTCAAGGGGCATAACAAATAAGCACTTGCAAAGATTAATCATATTACAACCACTAAGCTTTGGAAAAGATTATCAAATCAGTAAATCATTTAATAATTTTCAATGTTTTTCACAATATCAGATTTACCTTTGTCTCAGGGATAACAGACTTGCAGCATTTAGACACTTTGAAAGGCTAAAATCACTGTAAATGTAACGATTATATTATTCAACAATTCTAGCAAAGTGTCAAACTATAAAATATAATGTCATTGGATGTTCCCCAGTTAGAGAATCAATTCTCATTGAAGAAAAAGGATACCAAACATATGAATCATTCCGTCCACTGCCGCTGCAGCTAAAAGCTTCCCATTGTGATTGAAACATAAAGAAGTAATCGCTGGAGGATCTTCACCAAGAGGAAGGACTGTCTTCAATAACATTGAGAAGAAGTAAAGCTTCAGGACTGTCATCCGAAAAGGACAAGATAACATAAGAGGATTCTAGCATCAAGAAACAAACATAATGAGTAGACAGCATACCATGGCCTTCCATGTCCGCATGTTCCATACAGTCAAAGATGCAAACCCCAAACTATCAATAATATTTGTTCCCTGCCTGTAAAATTAGCCGATCATTGATCATAAAACTAAAATAGAATTTGGGAGGTTAGAGTTCTGCCCATCATCTTTATACTGCAGACACATTACACATCCCAATCAAAAAGCACTGCCGTGGAGTTGAGATTATAAGGACATGTTTACCCTTTGGATGCTGAGGCAGAGACAAAAATTGGTTCCACAGGGCTGCATTTGATATCCAGGACACTGCAACAACCAAATTCTTACACTACAAACGAGAGAATGCGAGGAATTTTACTTCTTTCTGTTCTGAAGTGGAAGAATTCAGTATACCTTGGAAATTCTTTAGCGGTATTAAGATCACAAACAACTCGCTTTGCATCAACATTCCATGCTTTAATGCTTCCGTCATTAGTGCCAATGAGAAGCTGTGACCAAGATCAACGATAAATGAGACAGAAGTATGCTTGGTATTGTTCATAACTTCACACAAACTATTTAAGTGGAAGATATGCCCATCTACATGTATCTGATGACAAAATTCAATTGCATCTCATACATACCAAGCGATCAGATTTACAATCCCATTCTAGCGACAAGACCTCAGCCCCACAGTAGATAGTTGCATTCCTCGATGCAGGCACCGATGAGTCATATGTCCAGATCCTTCACACAAGTGCAGTATACAATTCTAAATTAGTCACAGAATTATGATCTAATTACTAAAACATAGAGCTATCGCGATTAAATACATTGAACCATTGAACTCAGGTATGATTCATACCAATTTAGTGGCATTATTATTCTCTTAAATCAAAACAAGCTAATATCATGTCATGAAACATTCAGACTTTTCAAACAAGCACCAAAGTATTAAAGGATCAAAGCTTTTAAGGACCACAAAGTTGGATCCTACCATATTAGCAGATCCACAACAAATGCGTGTGCACTAGATGACGTTACATACAATTCCACAAATCTAGTAAGCATCTCATGCCCCTTGCATCTTGCGTATATAACTCTCCATAAAGCATACAGAGGATCGATATCAAGAATTTCATGAACCATATCATAAACTCAAGTTGCATACCTGACCGTCCCATCTTGAGAAGCACTAGCAATATTGTCCCCAGATGCAGAAAAACGACAGCGGCTGATTGGACTTGTGTGTCCCAGAAAAGTCTCCTGTGAATAACATTATCCAAAAGCATCAATTGCTTCTCTCTAATGATATTTTTAAGAATATATGTTATCTGAAACATAGAATTCAATAGCTTCAGTAAGAAAACTAATCATAGAATTTATTGAAAGTTTACCTGAAATTCTGCTTTAACTTCCGGAAATTCTTCATCTCGATGCTGCTCAGGATCAATTTCTGTGACACACAAAATACTTATAAGGCATACCTAAAAAATCTCAAATCTTTACTTGAGTTAGAAGTCAATGGGACTATTTTGACACCACAACCCCCCAAGAATGATATCAAAGACGACGATTCCCTCAGTAAGAATATTTTAAGAAAGAAAAACCTTAGTTCATGTTGAATTAACCAACAACAGAAAAAGCCAGCCGGTCTGTAATTCTCAAATCCTAGCCTAAATTAGTCTAGGACCCAAAGTGAACTTCAGTTACGGGAAAATGTAATCCAGGGAATAATATTTAACTTGTCGATAGGTACAGCTCGCTGTTCCCTGAGACCAATATCTAATCATCAAGTACAGTTCTATATCTCAACTCCAGAAAGATGCTACAATCAATACCATGCTAATCAAAATTTACCATTTATAGTATTTATTATACAAATCAAACTTAAGAGAAAGAACCAAAACCAGCAATTACCTTGAGACATTAACAAGTCATGGCTTCTCTGAATTTCATTGAGATTACTATCAATTCTCGAACTAGAATCAAAAGCTTGAGCAGGTGCATGAGTTTCATGCAAAACCTTTGGCGAAAACATAACTTCTTGTGAGGTATCAGCTACAGGGTTTGACAAGCTGGTTCTGCCAAGGTGGCCAGCTCCAGCTTCTAATAAAGAATTACTGTCATAGGGAAAAATGTTTGTTATGGTATCATTCCAAGAGAATTAGTACTAGAATTTAGATGCACTCACCTCCTTGACAGAAGCAATTGGGCCTCTTTTTCCTCCAACAAAGCCTGTAGTTCTGATAATTTGAGATTTAATTGTTTCATGTCCTTCTTGAGGCGGTTCACAGTGTTCCTTTCAGAGCTGATCTTCAGTAAGGCTGGGAGTCGTATATTAGTCAAGGACAAACTAAATGGATGACAATCAAGTTGTAATAACAACCTGAATCAAAATTTGAACAAACTGGGTTATAACTACAAATGGACCATATGCATCAGACACAAATGATTTGCCCTCTTTGTCAAGCAAATTATGCTTAACTAGACAAATTTCATGAGGTTCTTCACTCTTCCGCTACAGTGTATTTTTGGTGCCGATTTATTATAATGATTGACAAGTGGCATAGACTGAGAGTATCAGCAAAAATAAACAAAAAAAAAAAACAGATGATGGAAAATGCAAAAAGAAGCGATTCCATCAACGCAGCAACGAACAGTATGACAATTAAACAAAATACAATAAAAGCATTTAAACCTCCAAGCAAGGATATGATTCCCATCAAACATTTTGCTCAGAAAGTTCCGAGCAAAGAGATGCAGAGAATTATACCACTCCTTAGAGAAGTACAATCTAAACTGTGGTTCCAAATGCGGGTTCTTCAGATATGGCAAGGCTGCATGAAAACCCAGTATCCAGTTTTATACCCCGACAGAAAAGAAAAACAAGGCCATAAACAATCAATACAACAGTTAGAACACCAACCAAACCATGATGCCCATTCCTCATCACTTTGCAGCAAGTTATTCCCATGTACGTCAAAAAACTCCATAACTCTGTCCTTCCGTTTTGCTTGTATAGAATACACTATATAATAACGTAAAATAGACGTGTGCAATTTTGCTAGTGATGAAACATACGCTGTCTCCGAAGAAGAAAAGCATTGTTTGAAAAAGGTCAACAGATCAACCAAATTTTCTGCCTGAAACTTGGGAATATATACTGAAAAGATTAACTCTAATATCTTGTCTACTTGAAAGCCTTTACCAACATCAGTGCCCAACTCTTTCTCAAAAGACTGCAGAGTGCTTGTGAACCCTCTGAACACAAGGAATTCTCTAACAAGCTCCTCAGCATACAACATATTTTCCATCTTGTTTTATGGTCATCTCAGGCCGGGAAGCCTATCAGAAGTTGAAAAGATCACCAAACAACAAATTTAACCCATACCTGCAAAATCAAAATCAACTGACGCGTCAAATAGACCATGAAAGCTTTGCTAAAAAGCTGTAGCTGATTGCTCGTGATAAAGTGACTCAAAATCAAACAGATAGCCGTAGTATATAACTCATAGCCAAGTACTGAGCTTCAAGTTTCCAGTTCTTGTCAAATTATTCTAATAACACAGGTTAAGGAACCCTAGAAGTAGTAGATACACACCAAAGTCTGCAATTTCTCCAACAACTTTAAACCTTCGATAAATTTCAAAAAAGATGCCCACAGAATTTCTATTAAATTTCTTTGTTCCTCTTGCAATTCCAAGTTTTCTTCTTAACAACATTAATCACATCAGAAATGATTAAACTCCCTCCAGGCCAATCCAATTCCTAAGGCAAAACCAGAGGAAGTAATTTGAGTGATTCTTGATCAGATTACATAACCTTCAACTGGAACCAAAATTGTGAAAAACTACACTAGTGGCAGAAATCATCCAAAGTGCGCATCCATAATATCATATATCAATACCGTTATTCAAGTTCAAGGTCTTAGTATTCACCAAAGTAATATTTCAAGAAGAAAAAGAATCTCAATTCAGGCAGGAAAAAAAAATGAACTTCTAATTGAAGACGAAGATTACACAAGAAACCTTGCGCATTGGTTTCAGATGGAACTTACATGATGGTATAGAGTGAAGAAAAGAATGTCGCTTCTCTGAACTCGTTCTCGTGATCGAGGTTTCCGGGGGAAGCGGAAGGCGCTTCTAACTGGTTTCTTACACTCTTTTCCGACCGTCGTGGAATTCACGCTGATGCGGCGGAGGACTTCCTCAATTCCAGTAAATTCTCCCGGCCGGAATGACGATTGTGTTTCTTGATCTGACTTTGCTTCTTTGCATTGTGGGTACAAAAAATAAGGTACGGAGAATTTACCGTTTACCCCACTCGAAAAGAAAATAAATTGACTGCAAAGCTCTATGCTATTTGTCCCGGGTTAATTATGTTCCTTAAATTTTTAATAACTAGTATATGTCCTTTTGTCAATGTTGAAAATTATATCTTTCAAAAGCATTAATTAGATAATGTAAACATTAATATTTTTTAAAACCCTAATTTTTTTATTACTCAATTTTAGATTAAAATGAGAGGTATGGACATTATTTAATTATGAGATGTATATTTGTAAAATCTGGTAAAAAATATTACAACAAAGATTTTTAAAAGTTGTATAATAAAAAATTATCACCACTAACTAATGTTATCTTTGGATTAAAAAATATATTTAAAAAATACGTAAATCATGTCTAAATGCCTATGGCGTATTTATAGGTAAGGGGACTTGGGGATTAGATGTAGTTCTAATAAATATGAGACACAATTAATCGTCCTTGAAAATGTAAGATCGATATATTTGAAGACTAAGTAGTACACAAGTGAAACTTTAAGAGCCAAAATGAGAATAGTTTGAAAATTGAAACTCATAAATGCAAGGACTTCTAAAGACGGGGGTGTCTCAGCAATTTTTAAAAATATTCATTTTCAAGTTCTTAATCAGGAATTTGTAATATCTGTAAAAATCTTATATAGTAATAAATAATAATTATTAACTTTTTACATAAAATTTTTAACTGATTAATGATCAACCAATTAACAAATGATACGTGTTAATTGAGGCTTGATGGTCTCAATGAGCGACACGTGTCGATTATCTTTCTTTCTTTAATATATATAATAATTTATATAGGATTTGTTTTTATTATTTTTTCGGGGGGTTAGGAAAAAAGAATTGATTTCACTTTAATCAAACTGCGAAATGTGAATGGGTGATTACAACAATTCATTTGTATTGCAGAGTTTACCATAAATTTTAACCACAAACTTTATATGTCATCAACCGAAAAAATTTGAGTTTATGTGATAGTAAAGAATTTACATGACTTTTTATAGTAAGTAGAATGATAGTCTAATTGTTGGCTATCAAATGTACGATGATGGTAAAATCATTACAAAATAATAACTAATGAGTGAATGTCACGTCAGTCACTATGAGAAGTTACTGTAAATTTGTTACTGATTCTGATTGTATCATTGCTCTTTCTTTGTTCCCATTTTATTGATCAGTAAGTGTTTTGATCTCTACAAGAAAACAAAAATGAGTGAAAGTTTGCTATGCTGTTAACTATCTTGGTGACATGGTGGAATTGCTGCAGGTTGCCCTAGATGATGGATGGGTAGTAATGGTGAAGGAACTAAACTGATTAAATTCTCTTCTCATTGCCTTGTAAACATGATCTAAGCCTTCTTCAATCAACTCTAATACAGTCTGCGGCATTGGTGGTGGATTGATTTCAACTGTTCCTTCCAACATCTTCACAACTTCTCCCATTGTAGGTCTCATGGAAACTTCATCCTGGATGCACCAAAATGCAGTTTTTAAAGCTCTGACCAGCTCTTCTTCCTCCATTACTCCTTCCATTCTTCTATCCGCGACTTTGAGTGCTGTTCCGTTACTCAACTCCTGCAAAACAACCGTTTTAAGTACTGAGAGAGGATTATTATAGCACATGTTTAGATGAAAATTTTAGTTCGAAAAAATGGACTGTTTTAATGGGGGGATGGAAGAGTATCATTTTCTTTGTTGTTTCATTGGCTATGAACTCAAGGGACTTATTACCTTGAAAGCCCATCCAGGAAAGAAGAAGTCTTCTGCATCATAAGTCATATCAAGATTTCTGCGGCCACCTATGATCTCTAGAAGCAGCATTCCATAACTGTAAACATCAGCCCTTACAGTAATAGGCCTATTGCTAACCCATTCAGGGGCCAGGTAACCTCTGGTACCTCTGATCATAGTCACCACCTGAGAGTGCTCTCTTCCCATCATTTTAGCTAGTCCAAAATCGGATACTTTGGGGCAGAAATTTTCATCCAAAAGGATATTTTCTGGCTTGATATCACAGTGGATTATCCTGTCCCGACATTGCTCGTGGAAATAGGCAATGCCTTGTGCAGTTCCTAGAGCTATGTTGAAGCGAGTTGACCAATCAAGTAACCTATCTTCACAGTCGTATGAAGGAAATATCCATTTGTCCAGTGATCCATTTTTCATGAACTCATAAACCAGAAGCCTGCCAAGGATCAAATATGTCAGAAATTCAAAACTTTGAAGAATTGTAAGCTGCTATGGGAAGTCAAAATCAACTGTAGACGAAGTGCTTACCTTTGTGTTCCTTCCGAACAGTATCCACATAGCCGAACCAAGTTCATATGATGCATTGAACTAATAGTGTTCACTTCTGTGATGAATTCTTTCTGGCCATGAGGCAAAACCCTGTCGAGTTTCTTAACTGCAATCAGCGTTCCATCTCCAAGGCTTCCCCTGTATACACTGCCAAATCCACCTGCCAAATTTTATTGAAGACTTAGTTTATTTCATTTTTAGTTCTCTTTAGTTTACTTGCTAGTTCAGTTCTTCTTTAAAAGTTGTTAGGCTACACTCTACACTTACCTGAACCGATCAAGTGGGAAAAGTTATTAGTCTTTAACTGCAAATCACGGTAACTGAAATTTATTGGAGCTCCAGAGAGTATTAATGAGTTCTCCAGGGCTCTCTTAATGGCTCTCTTTCTGTGAACACTGAAGTAGAGCAAGCAACATAGCAGCAAAACAAGAAACACCATGCTAAGAACAATTGGAACCACCAAAACTTTCTTTTTGGCTATCTCAGAATCATCTGAAGAGTGCCCGGATGATCTATTTCCTCCGCTGTCAACACCTGATGAGCCATTAGACTGAACTTTCACAAACAAGGTTGAGCCTGTGTCCGCAAAGCCACCGAACTCCAGGCTCCCCAGAATCCAGCAGTAAGGCTTTTCCTCATTAAGTCCGTATACAGAAGCCACACAGTCACAGTAAGATAGACAAGCATCGCCACACTTGGATACAGTTCCCCCGTCACTGTAATTTGCTATGACTGTTGACTCAGAGAAATAGTAATTTGTATCCTGAACTGTTGAAATCTTAAACTGGGACGTCAAGTTTTCATTGTGAGGGCCACATTTCCCAGTCAAAGATGAATTTGCCCAGCATTGTCCATCATTGCCTACATCAGAACCAGGCAAGCAGGTACAAGATGCAATGGTCTTGCTCCTGTCTAAACTACAAATCCCATTTCCACAAATGCCAGCAATGTCACATGGATTGGAGACGGCAGCCCATTCAGCAACCCATTGTCGCGATCCGTTTACATCATCATCCCATCGGTACAACCGTAGATTTCCATTCATCTCAAGCGTCAATCGCCTAAGAGTTGATGGCCTGATGGTCTGATTTATGGCTGAGGATAGGCCTCCCTTATCACCATCATTCTTGTAGACATAAACAGCTCCATCAGATGATGAATCATAAGTGATTCCAAAACTTCCTGAGTCATCCAAAATCGCTACAACATTGCCAGTGGCGTTGGATATATCAGGTCCTGCCCAGTAAGAAAAATTGGCATAAAGGTCAGGAGACATGTCACCATACTCGGGCAAGTTATATGTCAAAGCAAGACTCAGCGAAGTGGTCTGCTGTAACATTTTCAGGGTATAGAAACCGCCATATGCAGGTGACGTAGTGGATGTCAACTCCAGAGAAGCTGATAAAGGCTGGCCCGGTAAAAGTGTATCAGATGGATGGGCAAAGCTTTGCCAAACAATACTTGAATTGAAGCCATAGAGAATAAAATTGCCATTTTCTGATAGGACTGCAGTTTCCACGCCAGCATTCGAGGTATTTGACGTCCATACAGTGTTGCGATTATCAGTGAGTAGAAGATTTCCGGTGGTGTCAAACTCCAAGATTGCACTTTTGCTGACCGGAGATTTTCTAATCAGATGATTCAGACAAAAATGAAAGAGTTGGCGTATGATTCATAAATACCTGCAAGAACTTAAGTGAAAGACTACAGAAGGAAGAATGCACAACTCAACCAGAAACAGTCCTAATATGCATAAACAACTAATAATCTCAATATAACAGAATTGATTAATTGAACCTTCAAAGACTGACCACTTAGGTTAGTAACTGTACTGTTTTATTCAAGGCAAACACAAAGACACATGCTTATGCAAAGCTACAACATCGTAACTATGTATTCAGCTCACTTAAAAAGTTGTTACTTCTTACATATAGGCGGACCAAACTAGTGTTCGATCTCCAGGGAGTTGCGCAAACCAAATGGCCAAACGGAACTGATCGTTTCTGGGATTTGAAGGGGTGAACCCGAAAGCAAATGTTCCATTGTCGGAATTCCATGTTTGATTTTCACTAGCTAGAAGTGTGGAACCCAATCTAATACTGCTACACATGCATGTGTCAATGCCACTCATCAAAACCATAAAGCACGAGAAAGCCCAAAATGAGCAAAAAGAACTAGAAGCCATTGCATGTGAGAGTGATCACTTCAGAAAAAATGTGATGTACGAAGTGAATTTAAAAATAGCTATAGGCTCATCTTGGATGTCTAATTCAATTAGGGTATATGTCAGTACAAATTTGGCAAGAAAAGGAGGTTTTTGAATTTTATGATAACACGTGTACGGAGGTGGGTGACCTGCAATGTTGAAAAAACACAGAGAAATTCAAACAGTGGTCGGTGTCGGAGATTATATTGCATTATTGCAGCAGTTGCGTGTTTAATTCGGTTATGGGTCATCAAACTTAAACACACCTTTCGGCTTTACACAATTCGGAAAATTCTCCCCCTCCCAAAGCATTATCTCTGCAGTTTTTCTCATATTCACACTCTCCAGTCGCAATTCTCCCTAGATAGCTCTGCTTAATTTCTGAATAAATTTGCACTTTTTTCTTTCTCAGTTTGTTGATTGTCATTTGCATAGCTCCTATTCCATCAGTCGAATGACAGGTGGTACGAAGGCTCCGAAAAAATATGCAATAAAGAACCCAGGAGAGTATGTATACGTGGATGGTGCTATCCCAGTCGAATGGTTAGGCAAATTATTTTCCTCACCTGCTTTTGCTATCTATATATCCCTATGATTGATGTATTTTATGGGGCCAAGGCCAACGGTCACGACAGGTGCCTTTTAAACTCTGTTCGTATGTGAACCCGTTTTCACTATAGAGCATCTCATTATAACGCAGGAAGAACGTCAACCTTCTAATCCCTCCATTCCAAAATAAGTATCGTTTTAACAAAATGAAAAAATTCTAAAATAAGTGTCGTTTTCGAATTTCAATACATTTTTGTCAAAAATTTCCAAACATACCCTCAAAAGAAATAATATTATTGGTGAACATTTATTTTAATGAAGTTAGTTGAGGATATTCTAATAATTTAGCTACCGTATTTAAGTGTTTCTTAAACTGTGTGCAAACTCTAGAATGACACTTATTTTAAAATGGAAGGAGTATTATTTACAGTGTCTCCTATACACCGACACGAATGCCTAAGGTAAATAGAAGTAGAAAAAGATCCTCTTGTATTATTCGCTAAAATGCTGATTATGTTAGAAACCGTCAAGACTACAGAAGATAAATATTCACAATGATATTCATTTACGGATACAATATTGTTAAATAGCTTACATCTACGTCGAGGAACGAGTCAAAAGGCTGTCCTTGTCGTTGGCCCCTGCTACTTTTCACTCCAGAATAGGTGTCTTTAGAAGTTTGTTTATTCTTCATCATCATCATCAAGATCCATGATCATCCTCCTCCTCAAACTCGGAGCGCGTATCTCGGATCCAACAACAGAGATTTCATCGTCATAATCAGCCAGTTCATCAGCCAATCTATCATGCACTACCTTGGTTTGCATCTCCATATCATCAGCCTCCTCGAGAGATGCTGAGTCAGATGGTTTTCCACTGGTGAAGCCTTCAGGATCAGCAGAGCCAGTATTGCCTGCTGCTGCTGCTGCATGTTCCGTTTCTGACTCTTCCACTCCAGCTGATTGTTCAAATGCGTTTCTGGAAAGTGGTTAAGTATTAAAAAACCAGAGTGGCGTACATAATTATATTAGTACATGCAGATACATATACAGAGAGAGCATACAGGTGAACAGGACTTGGCGATTCATCCTCAGACAAATTTATAGCAGTTTCCTGGTTTTGCGTTTGAGCCAGTTCAGTCACCTTCTGTTTTTTGCTCCTAATGAAGTGGAACCACCGAAAAAAAGTTAACATCTCCAGGAAAAGAAATGTTAATCCTACATAAGGTTCTGTTCGTGGCCTCAGGGACCTAAAACAGACTTCCAGAAGTTTACCTCGTCTTCAATGATATCAAAGCCTCGTCGTCGGAATCATCCGCACCGCCTTCTGAATCCTCACTTGAATCCCTCAATTGAAAGCCTTTTTCTGACCTCTTTTTTGTGGAAACAGAAAGACCAAGCTGCTTTAATTTGTAGGTCACCTGCCTTGCAGAGATTCCGCCTTCAGCATCCAAAGCTTCAGCAATCATATGACTGCACCTCTTATGATCTTTGAACCTTCAGATAACAACAGTTTAACAATTCAGATAATCGACTGAGACCGGGAGAGACCAAAAAAAAAAAAAAAAAAGTAGAGAAAGTACAGTTAGAATTGAACCACTCACTGCTCAAAGAGATCTTTAATCCTCTGTTCCTGAACTTCACTAAATGCACGCACTCTTTTTCTAATGTGGCTGCGAAAGACAATATTCATATTGTTATAATGCAATAACTATAAATGTCCTATGAAACACTGCACAGGAAACACCATTATTATTTCTGCATTTTGCATATACATAAATAATTGGAAAGTCTTAGCTCGCATTAGGACTTCCATTGCAAGAATCTATTTACTAGGTGCACAGGTGGGATGAAAAACACAACTGCAATTCCCATTGAGTCGGTCGACAACTTACGAAGGCTTTTTTGACGAGTGACTGCCATCCAAATTGTTGTTAGAATCTCCAACTTGATCAGGATAAGCTGATTGCCTTTTCTTTTTTATAAGTTGAAGACCAAGTTTCTTCAAAGTTCTAGACACTTGATTTGGTGGTACTTCTGATCCATCTACCTCAAGAGCATTTGAAATGAGATCGGAGCAATTATCATGATTCTTATACCTGAAATTGCAGTACAAACTTAGCAATAAACACATGGAAAGAAAGCTTCACTAAACAAAGTAACTCACGAAAAGGTCAAAATGTATGTAGTACTAATAACTTGCACACGTAAAGAGCCAACCAATTCCAATATTGTAGAAAATAAATCATGGAAATTCATCAAATATTCTGTAATGTAAAATGGTACGGTATGAAACCCGTAGTTATTATGAGCTGTCCAGCATATTCTTAACCAAAAATAAATAATAAATAAATAAAATTGCTGGGGATTACTTACTTCTCATAAAGAACCCTTATTTTTCCTTCCATTTCTTGATTAAGAACACGGGATTTCCTTTTCTTGAATGAGGCTTCAGAAACTTTTTTGACACGACTTGCACCCCTAAGCCAATAAAACAGATGGATGTTCATAGAACTGTGAAAACAAAATGGATAACATGCTAGAGTAGGCAGGAAGGCCATACCTTGTATAATTTTCTTTCTCATTAACATCGTTGTCTGTAGAGGAAAGAGCACTCTTCGTCCCATCATTGATATCCAATGCGTTGAAATGAGTTTCACTAGGATTTTCATCCCTGCCAATAACAAAAGAGGACAAACATTTCAATTTTGTCCAATATTTTATTTCTAATGAAACCAGACTCACTACAAAGTCAACCATACTGTCAAAATCATCAAATGGAATCTGAACAAAATGTTAAGTCATAGCCTCTAAGGAGGTCCTAAATATTTGTCGATAGTGAAAGGTCAACAAAGAAACGTGACACAATGTAGGGAACATGACTCACTTATCTTCAACTTCCCGATGTAGCATTGTAAAATCAGCCTCATCATCCCCTAGGGCATCAGCTATGCTTCTTCGGACCCATCCTTGTCCTCCAGACAAGGCAGTTTCACCATTCAATCCACCTTCTCCAATATCTTTCTTCAAACTTCCCAGCTCATTGAGCATACACTCAGCACTTATAAGGTGGCATTCTTTTCTTGTTTTCCAGAAGAGAACTTCCACAAACAGAAGGGGACGTTTCTTCATTTTCCTTAACATTCTCCTAATTAAAGTTGTCAAAAAACTGACAATATTTTGATGCTCTCGGCATGGTTTTGACTTTTGCTCTTCCAGGATATCGTAAAATATAATGAGGAATGACAACTGTAACAAAGATTGTCGAAATGATGAATCAATTTCACTGTGCTTTATCAACTATAAAATAGAAATTAACAAATTGCGGCATCCAAGAATACAATTTCAGTGATACCTGGTAAAGCATCGGAGAAAGTTCCAAATCCTCACAGATTCTTCGAAGCAAGCATATAATGTAGTGATTTGTACTAAGGGAATTGCTCTTATAGAACTTCAGTAACCAACACAAGTTGTTCATGATGTTATGGTTACCTAGAGTGGAAACTATTGTGTGCATCCTAAAGTCAACTTCATCTGTAATTGCTTGCTGCTCATCTCCTGAAGAACTATCTGCATCGTGATTAAATTCTCGAGGATCCTCTTTTTCCGCTTCTTGGAAGTTGCTTCTGAGGTTTTGTGTCTCTGTTCCAACTTCAATATGTGCACTATCCTGACTAGGGTCCTCATTTACATTGCATCCAGAATCATGGCCAGCTAATCTCTCCTCTACAGTGCTTACATCCTCAGACTGTTTGTTACCTGGACCAGGGACCTCATTCTGACTAGCGACATCCTTGTTTAGTGATCCATCAACGAGATCCTTCTTCATTGTCTTTCTTCTGGATCTTCTAGTAACCTGCCGTGTAAGAAAATAAAATGAAGTTCCTGCTCTGCCATTGCAGCAAAGATTTTCTATTTGGCTAAGAAGCTGAAATATAAAAATGCATCTATAATGATCCTATGGGATGGTTGAAAAGATAAAGACTTAGGCATATAGTTTCTTTCCTTATGATCAAAGACAGAAATGATCAAACACGATCCATGATTTCTCAGTTTCCTGTTAGCAATTGATGATTGTAAGATTCGGAATGTACATTATACTTCTCTCTTGGAGGTTTGTGATGGAACATTTGATGATGCTGAGTGCTACATGTAAAATTTTTTACAAAAGTAAACTTCAAATCATAAAACTCAGCGAATCCTAATCAGCACATGCTAATGGAAAGCACAATGAACATTAGAATGTACCCTCAATGCGCCACGGGTTTGGAGATTTTCCATGAGCCGGAAAATTACATGTATAGTTTCAACTAAATCTGCAAGATCACTGGAAAGAAAAAACAATAAGAATGATTAAAAACAAAAAGAAAAGCAAATGGACAAATGTTTTCTTATAAATAGCCTAAAAGGCCTACTTAAGGTAACTCAGCCATCAAATATTTAAAGATGCTAGGATCATGCTACAACTGACAATTCACTAAGATTGAGGATTTATTCATCTTTTTTGTATAAGAGAAAAAATGCTTTTCAAAGGCACAAGTGCGGCACATGGGAGGAGTACACAAAGGTTCGGCCACTCAACGGATACACTTACTATTCTAGTCGCAATCTTACGTGTCACTATATTATACATTACCTTTACAAAACATAGTACGAGTTATGGAATGTCTAATCTCTCAAAAAAAGAAAAGAAAAGAAAAGAAAAAAGGCAGGAAAAGAAGGGCCTATAATTAATGACTCTCGACAGGCCCTCTCCTGAAGAAAAGAAAGAAGTGCAGACACTAACTAGAAAATGCCCTCAACTACTAGAACAAGTCCTTTTTGTAATACGAGGCTTCGTCAAGTATCCTCGTACTTATGCAAAGAATAACAAGATATTGTAGATCGTTATATTAATGAGGAAGTATCCTTTTAAGTATCATTCTCAGCTGATTTCAAGGTTAAACGCAAAGACAATAATCAAAAGAAGAGTTTTTCCAAAAGAACACCTTTTGGCTTGTTTGTGTACATCAAATGATTTGATCATGTTGAGGAGGGATTGAGTCATTCCTTCATCAGTTTGATCATAGAATAACTTGTAAAGGAGGACTCGTGCTGTTTTAGGCTCCATTGAATCTTCCGGGGACTTCTTAAGCACCAAATCCAATTGGCGAATCTGCCACCCAAGTAATGACATTAATAAAATGGGACAGTAAGCATGCCTCATCTTCCATAATATGGTAAGTTAATAGTTAAATATTGGACATCGACACTCACCATAATTTTCAACAGGGATCCAGCAGCAGAAAGCAATGTGTAGTCATTGGTTTCCTTCAAAGCATCAAATGCATAACGCCATTTGGAAATAAGAACCAGGAACATTGATTCATTCAGTGTTTCAGCTATTGGCCCACATATGCTGCCGCTAAAGAGTGTGCTGTCAGTAAGGTGATCAATTGGTGTATCTTTTACTTCATCACCAGACTGCAACAAAAAAAAATACTGGCATCAGATACACCTCGAGTGCCTAGCCCAAAAATATGGTGTGAACATGCATAAGCTCAAACAATAACAACAACAAGCCTTATCCTACAATGTCGGGACAGCTATATGGATCATATGTTGCCATCGTGCTCTGTTGATGCATATAGGTCATCCTCTTCCCATTTTAATTTGAATTAGTGTTTCTCAAGTTTCAGTTCATCTAACTTGGCAATTTACCTATTAATGAAACTGATACAGAAAATTTGTCAATAGAGTTTCACAGATCCAAGCATCACCAATAGACCGAAGAAGCTAAGCTATAGAGAAAATTGGAAGAGTTTATCCTTCCTGAATCTGAACTTTTGTACAGATGCCTTATCCTTGTAGCAGAAGGAGAATCACAATGATCTTATTCAGAAAAGATATCTCCATCGTACAGATTGCTCTATTTACGTCAAACATGTAGCACCCTAAAGTGACAAATGTTCAACAAGCAACCATGGCAACAAACTCAATGTCTAAAGATGAAAATTTTCAAGAAATGCTAGTATGAATAAAGAACCTGGGTAAAAGAGGTATCAACAGAGAATAATTACCTTTTCATTCAGAAACTTGTAATACTGGAACGAAGTGACAAACCAAGCAACCTGAAAAAAAACTACTACATCGCTGTTTTGTATTGCATGATGTTCTTTCTCAATATCTTCACGAATGGACTGCATCAAAACTGGTAAAGTTTTGCCTCAGTCAGTATGAGAAGATGCTTTAAAACAGCAGGAAGGAAAAAGGAATATTGGCTATTAAACAAACTTAAGTACCGTTGTATCCCCCAGATAAGAACTGGTTGATAAAATCATGAAGCAGTCGCAAAGTTTTGTTCTTCATTGATGGTAGTCTGCCATGGTCCCATACTGTTCTTTTAGATGGACCTCGGTGATTTTTGCTGGCCTTTAGCATAGCGTCGGAAGGTCTAAAACTTGGGTTTCCTTGGCATAATGTTTTGGAGCCATCCTAAAATTGGAGAGAGCTTATTCAGATAAGAAACACAATTATCGCATCTTGAGCATCCAAAGGGAAAAAGAATCACAAACCAGGGTGAAACGAGTAAAGGTTCCACCGAAATGTGAATAAGAACCCATATTCCGTTGTCTGTTTAGTTTTCTCTTCTCTTGTTCTTCTTGCATAATGTAGTTGAGACCCTGAAGCGAGGTCTCTGCACTTTCATCCTCCTAATAAGAAGCATGGATGACAACAAAAGATTTAGACAGGTGACGGGGCAAGCAGGCCTCACATTATAAGTATTTTTTTATTTTTATTTTTTTGTCAAGACTCATAACAGATTCGTAAGATCAAGATAGCAAACAAATGGATACACAAAAAACCTGTCGGTTCTATAGCTTCTTGTACATCATGCTTTAAAGTCATTTTTGTTTCTGTTGAGAAAGGCTCAAAAGTATGATTGAATAGAAATGCGCCTACCGTAACATAAAAAATAATTCACAGAGTGAATTGGCATCTAATTTGATGGATGGACTGGCATCTTCACACCTTCAAAGGCATGCACTACTAGAAGAAAGCAAAAAATAAATCCAGGCAAGGACTAATGCACTTTTACCAGGGTTGATAGAATATTTACCAACCTTGCAGTTTTCCAAAAGTGTTCTAGCAATCAGCTCTGGTTCTTGACCCATAAATATGTAATGGAAAGTTTCCAATAGAAGAAAGTTGTCCTGGCGGAAATAACGATAGGAACCACCGATGCTCTGCGTTAACGCTAGCAATACCTCCATTACATTTTCTTCGAATAACAACTCTAAGAATCTATCTCGAACAGATAAGTACTCTGTAGCTGATCCGCCCGCTTTCTGCTGTGTTGATATTTCTTGAATGGCTAAAAGATTCCGGAATAGAGTAAGCACCAGCTGGACCAACTTCCAGTCATCTTCGGTGAATGATTCACTGGTTAACAGACATTGATGATTGAGTAAAATAGGTGAATGCAACCAATAAGTACAAATAAACAAACAGCAGGAATATAAATTAACAATGGCATGGGCCAGGAACGTTGCAGAATGTAAACTGACATTGGTTGACACCTAAGCAATGCAAGACGATTTGAGTAAGAACAACATAGTAATTAACGGCTAAAGGAAAAGATATCTATTTTCTCTCATTTGAGGCCAAAAAAGATTCTAGTGGCTAATGGCAATTTGTGAGAATGGATTTTCTTAATGAAACCCAGTTCACGAAACAAACGGTTCCTTGAAAATTATGTCTTTCAAGGTATAAGCTTCCAGCAGGATCCATTCCTGATTTCTAATGAACTTATAAATTTAACACACACCCATTCTGCAAGGAGCATCACTTGCCATATCACCAAATAATTGTAATCTTCATTAGATCACTAGCTACTACCAAGACAATTACCTTTTCAAATTAATCTTTATTGGTAACAAAATATCAGGATAATGTAGAATAATATTATGAGGTACCAAAGTATGCACTTGCCTATCCAAATTCTCCAACGGTTTTTCTAAAAGAGATAGTATCACAGGAATAGAACTACTGAAGGTAATAGCTGATTTTACGCCCCAAAGATACTCTATCTGCTGTGCGATGGCAGTGGTTGAAGGCTCAATAGGCATCGTGAGGAAAACCAGAACCTTCACTGCAGAATGAAGCAATTCCCATTGAAAATTAGAAAAGGCAAATAAAATCCACCAATATAAGAAAGGGCACAAAATACAAACATTCTAATTTTTTTAAAAAAAAAAAAATCACCTGCATTTAGGACTAAATTACGGTCGTCGTGACAATAATCGAGAATGGGCATCAAGTCTTTTCCCACTATGTTCCATTTACAAATTTGCTTGAACACGTCTCGGGTCTGGGGATCATCTCGCCTCAGAGATCTCAGCAAGTCCTTGAGATTATCTGCAAATACGAGTACGGAGCAAGTGATTAAATATATCCGCGGCGAAATTAAACTTCAATAAGGAAATTGAAAGCAAAAAGATTTCAGAAACAATACCAAGACAGTATTCGCCCTTGGAATAACCAATTCGATTGCCGTCATCATCTTCTTCAATGGCTCCCAGACCGGCACAGATCAGGGATAATCCTTCCATTTGCTTATGAGCTAAGATCTAAACCAAAAACTCTCCAGTTGGGGTAAGCCTTTATCAATAACTGAGGCCTTATGTGAGAAATCTCAGTAATTGGTTAAGGATCCGAAACCGGAAATCATTCTGTTGGAATTGTGGTTATCCGCTTTAGAACCCTAGAGAGTTTCTGGTGGCGGCAAAATCCAAAACGTCCTCTATGTTTTCCCGCGCTCTGAGTTCGTTCTTAATTTTAGGTGCGCCCGGCCCATCATGTCAAGGCCCAAGCATTATGGACCGCTCGATAATATATTAAACTACTGCCCTCGTGCTGTTGTAATTATGGCATTAGCGTGACCTATTTTTGTCTTTTGGCTGCACCTCCCTGAAAACGCACCGAAAAAAAATAATAAATGAAAAAAAAAGTACATTTGAATAGAGAGTCAAGCCATTTCGATACGAACGAAGCCGCCTGCCTCAATCCTTCTCGTCTTCCTCCTTTAAACTTCCGCCAATTTTAACGGCGATTTCTACAAAGCTAAAATTATCCTCTCTCTCAGCCTCCTCGCCGAGAACTTTTATAGTTTCTTCCATTGAAACAGCATTTTATAAGTGCTAAAAGCTCTCCGGTTTTTGTTTTGTTTGTTTTTTAAATCTCTGAATCGCATTTCAGTGCAGTAATGGCGCAAGTTGTAGCTACCAGGCCAATTCACAGTTCCTTGCACAACCCTAGCTCTGGATCTCTACAGAGCCAAGTTGAGAAGCTGAAGCCATCCGGCTTTGCGGCGAAAGTTTTGGCTCGTAATGAGCGCAGGTGGAGCGGTGGAGCTGTTCGCGTTAGTGTGCCGATCACTGCCAGAAAAGCTGCACGCCTTGAGTCTGAAGTCCTTCCTTTCACTCCTGATGACGTTGAGAAGGTCGTTTAATCTCGCAGAATGAGCTTGTTTTTTATTGTTTAATTTGGCTTAAGGTGGATTTTTTTTTTCCTGTATTTAGTTCTTACAATGTGCTTAGATTTCGTTTAATTTTCCTGAATTTCCCCACCTGGTAAAGCAAATACGTCTTACAGTGAAGAACCTAAAGGAAATATTGTGTCAATTTGTTTGTTAGAACTTATGGAGAGCATTTTATGATGGAGGTTACGAATTTTTAATCCATTACTCCCCGGACATCACTGGACGGGATAACTGAAATTTATCATGTGCATGCCTGGCTAGTAGTTATAGAGGTTTAGAAAATCTGGATATACTTTTTACGTGTAGCTTAAGAAGCAGTGGCAGCAATGTGGCATTGCTTTCTTCATATTGTAGTCGCTCTTGATTGTGTGAAAGTCCATGGTCCTTATCGTTTTTGTATTTCTTCCCAATAGACAGATGATCAAATTCCTCGCTTACATGGGATCCAGCAGCTTGGTGACACATCAGTTGGAATGTGGTCAAAGCCTACGGTAAGGCGGAAGACAAAAATTGTATGCACAATTGGTCCCTCTACCAACACTAGGGAAATGATATGGAAATTAGCTGAGGCTGGGATGAATGTTGCGCGTCTTAACATGTCCCATGGGGACCATGCTTCACATCAAAAAGTGATTGACTTGGTAAAAGAATATAATGCCCAAGCGAAAGACAATGTCATTGCCATTATGCTTGATACAAAGGCAAGTAGTTGCTTACTTTGACTGAATGCAATATTTTTTACTCATGCTCTCTAAATTTATGTCATTGCACAGCTGACTGTTCCTCTATACATTTAGGTGTTGATTAAGTTCTGCCAATCCTTGTAATTTGTTAAGTAAAATATGAGATATATGGTAGTCAATCTGGATACTCATGTTCGCAATAATGATGTGGCAGGGTCCGGAGGTGAGAAGTGGTGACTTACCGCAACCGATCATGTTGGAACCTGGGCAAGAATTCACTTTTACAATCAGGAGAGGAGTTGGAACTGCTGACTGTGTCAGTGTTAATTATGATGATTTTGTCAATGATGTAGAAGTAGGGGATATGCTTCTTGTTGATGGTGGGTTACGTTAATTTCTCCTGAAACCATTGAGATCAGTGGTGATATGAATGCTTGTCCTCTTGTTTATTGACATGGTTGATAAATCTATAGAGCATTATAAGAAAGTTGTGGAAAATCTTTTGTGTCCAGTTGAAAGAAATACATGAACACAATGCTTTTAAGATATATAAATATATATATATATATGCTTTTAAGATAGATGGATTGCACGATGCCCATTTGGAGTACTTAAACCTGTTCTGTGTCTCACTCTCTCTTTGTTTGTAGGTGGCATGATGTCATTGCTGGTAAAATCCAAGACTGAAGATTCAGTAAAATGTGAAGTTATTGATGGCGGAGAACTTAAATCCAGGCGTCATTTAAATGTTAGGGGCAAAAGTGCTACACTTCCATCAATTACTGGTCAGGACCAGTCAACAACAAATCTGTTTAGACATTGTGTTTGAGATGAATGAGATTATCTGTGTGATCTCTACTCTAAGATGTTTCAACCTTGACTTTTGTTCCTGCAGAAAAGGACTGGGATGACATCAAGTTTGGAGTAGACAATAAGGTTGATTTCTATGCTGTTTCCTTTGTCAAAGATGCTGCTGTGGTCCATGAATTGAAGAACTATCTTAAAAGTAAGATTACACCACCATGTTGGCTGTCGGGTGATTTGGTACAAGTAGTCATTTTTGAGTTCTACTTTGGTTGGTAACTGTGATTATCTTCTTCTGCAGGCTGTGGTGCCGATATTCATGTTATTGTTAAGATTGAAAGTGCCGACTCCATTCCGAACTTGCATTCTATCATTACTGCTTCTGATGGGGTAACTATATAGATATATCCACCATTGCTCCCCTTTTGCTTATTGTTCAAGAATAGAATTATCCTTTTTAGCTGGAGAAGGAAAATTTCTTTTTGGATTGGGCATCTAGTTGTAAACAACTATCTGAGATTATGCTTGATATTAAAAGCTCCGCCTCCATTCTGAACTTGCATTCTATCATAACAGCATCTGATGGGATAACGATTTAGATATATCCACTCTGTTGTTCCCTTTTTCTTATTATTCAAGAACCGAATCATCCCTTTAATCTGGAAATGAAAGAAAAGTTACTTTTCGGATTGGACATCTGCATGTGAACAACAATTTGAGATTATTTCTGATTGGTTCTACTGGTCCATATCTCCTAATGCTAGTTGATAAGCAATAAATGTAGTATTCTAAGCTGTTGAAAAGATTTAGGGATGTTATTTAACCTAGACAGTATGGCTCATCATATTTCAGGCAATGGTTGCCAGAGGAGATCTTGGAGCTGAGTTGCCAATTGAGGAGGTTCCCTTGTTGCAGGTAATGTCTTTGATTGCGAGATATGAATTTTATGGGTTACACATGTGTTCAAGCTTCTCAAAGCAATTTACCACAGGAAGAAATAATCAGGATATGCCGCAGTATGGGGAAAGCTGTTATTGTCGCAACCAATATGCTTGAAAGCATGATTGTGCACCCAACACCGACACGAGCTGAGGTGTCAGATATTGCAATTGCAGTTAGAGAGGGAGCTGATGCAGTCATGCTTTCTGGAGAAACTGCTCATGGAAAGTAAGCAAACATGGTGGTTCATAACAGAATAAAATGTAGCCATGGGATTATGTTAGAGCAATGAGCAATTGAGTCGTATACAATTTTTTGTCAAATTAGAAATGAGACATAGTGTTTCTATTGTGGTTCATGAAGTGCGTCATGCTTATGTGTTGCCTCGTACTGTCTTTTACACATGCTCACAGATTACTCATTGGTATTTTTTTTATGTCCCTTGTATTATAGGTTTCCTTTGAAAGCGGCAAAGGTCATGCATACAGTCTCATTAAGGACTGAAGCAACCATTGTTGGCGGAGAAAAACCACAAAATCTTGGTCATGCTTTCAAGGTTTAGGTTAATCCTTTTCTTCATTTTAATCTGGTCTTTTACATTTAACTGCAATTGCATCTTGACCTTAAATGAAGGAGGCTGTCAATCATAATTTTGATTAGTTTTCATTCTCAACAGAACCACATGAGTGAAATGTTTGCATTCCATGCAACAATGATGTCCAACACCCTTGGTACCTCAATAGTTGTCTTTACCAGAACCGGTTTCATGGCCATCCTTCTAAGTCACTTTCGGCCTTCTGGCACCATATTTGCCTTTACTAATGAGTAAGTCTCGTAATCAACAAATTGATGGGATATACTTTCTTTGAGCTTATTTAATGAATATGGTTTTGCCTGTATCATTATCTTCTGCTTGTGTAAATTTAAGTAAACTACACAAGTTTTATAAGCCTTCGTTTTTTTGTAACTTCGAATTTGTGATTGGAATGCAGGAAGAGAGTACAACAGAGGCTGGCTTTGTATCAAGGCGTGTGCCCTATTTACATGGATTTCATGGATGATGCAGAGGAAACATTCTCAAATGCATTAGCCTTGTTGCAGGTGCGTTTCCTCCCTTTTGTTTTATGGTTAACCTGCAGTTGAGTTTCTGATTGTAGCAAGCTTGCTTATTCTCTCGCTCGCTTTCCTCTCCCAATCTTTTCCACCCATTAAGGTTTCGACCATACTCTACCAACGTGCTTTTCAGTGGTGTTTCAAAAAGTCAGTACAAAAAAACTGTAGACTGGCGGGTCTGTGTTTGCATGAAGTGTTTGCAGCATGTCAAGTTTGCAATATTACTGAAAGATCTGCATGGGTCTACGTTTGCATTGAGTAATTTAAATTTTTCTTTCTGCATTGTTTTCTGGACACGATCTGTGATTTACACCTAGTCATGGTCATTTTCAGAAGCAAGGAATGGTAAAGGAAGGAGAACAAGTAGCTCTTGTTCAAAGTGGCAAACAACCGATCTGGAGGTTGCAATCAACACACAACATCCAGGTCAGGACGGTTTAGATTGGAAGGAGTAGTTGCTGGAAATCTGTACGTGAAGCCATGCTTGACCTGCGTGTAATATCCTACCATACACCGTCTACCGAAGAAAGTCTGCAAAAATCTCCAGAGGGGAACCTTGCGCGTGTGGTTGAAACCATATGAGGCTTCTTCGTCATTATTTATGTTTTTCTTCGCGCCGAACCTTGTACTTCGCTTTGCCCCCTCCTTGTCCCCGCTGAAGATATTCGTTAATTAGTCTGCTGTTGCCATCATTAGGATAATTAATGAAATTGAGTAAGAAGACATCGCTCTTTTCTCAAGTTTAAACTCTTTGATTGTGGGGAACCGCTGTATAATTTGTGAAAGAAAGAAGACACTTCTCAGAAATTATTGCAAACTGATTGTCACCTCTTTTCTTATATATTGCGTTACTGCTCCCTTCGTCCCATAATAATTGTAATTGTCCAGTTTAAATTTTCATTTCTAGTTCAAATTGTACTAAAAGTGAAATTTCAAAGAGAATAATTTTGGGACAGAGGGAGTAACACATAATAGAAAAACTGAAGAAGTGAAGAATTTTGAGAGCAGCCCTAGGAAACTGAAGAAGTGAAGAATTTTGAGAGCAGCTCTAGGAAATAAATGAGGTAACAAATTTTCTACTCAATAGATTAGTGAATCAAATCTGAAAAGTTATTACTCCCTACATTTCAAAATGTAAGTCACTTTAGCGTTGGCACATAAACTAAGGAGACAATCATCCAACAATTAATTTCTGTGTTAAATATTTGTTTTACCCCTTATTAATTACATTGGAACTATATACAAGACTATATGAAAATAAATTAGCATCATTTTTTGAAGGTAAAATTGAAAAAATAGTCATTAATTTGCCTAAAATTTGTAAAATGACTTACATTTTGAAAAGTCTCTCCAAATTTAAAACGATCAGCAAATTGAAATGGAAGCAGTAGTGAATACCACTAACGTGATGTTACGATTTCCTAGGTTTAAAGGTTCTTGAAACAGCATACTGTAGTATGATGACAGAAGGGCAGTAACCTCCTTCGAGTTTCTAGAACTGGGAAATAAATCCAAAAATTCATTTTTCAGGAACTTGACAGGCTGATCCACAACCCAAAGAAACATCAAATATTCTTTAAAAATTCATTTCGGACCATCCTATGTTTAAGGTTCTTCAAACTGAAGTACACTGTAGTCTGATGACAGAACGGCAGTAGCCTCCTTCAAGTTTCTGGAACTGGCAAATAACACCAAAAGTTCATTTTTCGGGCACATTACAGGCTGATCCACAAGAAATATCAAATATTCTTTGAAAATCCATTACGGACCGTGACAAGTCTTCGAGGAACATCAAGGTCATCTTACAATGGAGAAGAGGACAAGAGTGCATGCTTCGAGGTTGAGAATTTATTGAGATGCTTAAGATTATCTAGAAGTACAAAGTACAAGATCAGCTTCCTCCCTTATATTATTTCATTGGTTCTTTGGAACTGCAGATGTAAGAGAGTTTCAGAGGATTTTATGGCTCAATCACTTCTGAATCTCATAAGATAGATTCCAAATTTGTTGATGAATAACAGTAATGTTGAAGTGATTACGGCGCAAGGGGATATTAGATCAGTAGCGGAATCGGGGAAAACAAGAGGAGAAAATAACCCCAATTTGCAAACAAATGAAAGCAATGCTTTAACGGGCCACATCATCACTGTTTAAAGCAAAAGCCATTACGACTAAATTCATTACAATATTCACATTTATAACTAATTATGAACAAACACAACTAATTGGTTACATCACAATTGAACAATGGGTATTTACAGACATACCTAATCTAATAACCAGAACTGAAGCCTATTCTTGGATAAATGCATTTGCGACTAAACGCTATTGACAATACTGATGGCAACATACTAAAGTATTTACAGTTTCACAAAGACTTTATGCACATTGTTGATGACCACCATCCTTAAGATCGGGCGTTCTTATAATCGCATCTATTTTCAAACAGAACCAAGAATCGCCCGGAAGGAATTGTAAACATGGACATACAGTATTACTTTTACCTAGACATGGGATTACACTGGTCCAGGTTCCAATCTGCCACCTACACCATTGCTGATTCAAAAGGATGTACGACCTCTGAGAATGGCCATCAGGTTCCCTCCATGCACCCTGCCCTCCGGTACTGACATTTCAGTAGAATCAGGCGTCATTTCAACAGATATCTGCGCAAGTCCATCATTTCTAGAGCTGAACAGGTTTCCTCCAGAGCACGAATCTATACCACTTGGAAACGTGAACCTCCCATTCATTGTGCTGGATATTGGTTTTTGAAGACAAGCAGCATTACTAATCGACTTTTCTTGCATCTGGGCAGCATGAGCAGCACAAAGCCCAGATTTTCCCCTAGCAAACTTATCGCATGTAACTGCAGCTTGGCAGTTAAACACTGACCCAACCTGTCCCCAAGAACATCTTGTACCTCCACCATGTCCCTTGCAGAAATCTGTTCTTCCTTGCGCACTCTTGGTGCATCCTTCAAATTGGCACCTCTTACCCCCACCATGCCGAACACAAAAGTTTGTTCGCCCTCTTGCGCTTTTGGTACACCCAGCCACCGAACACCTCTTCCCCCCACCATGACTGACACAGAATAATGTACCCCCATGCACACTCTTTGTACAACCTTCAAACGTACACCTCTTACCCCCTCCGTGCCCTTTACAAAGTGATGTACTCCCTTCAGCACCTTTGGTGCACCCCAAAAATGTGCACCTTTTTCCGCCACCATGTGCTTTACAAAACATTGTACTTCCCTGAGCCCCCTTTGTGCACGCTGGATATTGGCATCGTCGGCCCCCTCCATGGGAGATACAGAGACCAGAAATGCCCTCAGCACTCTTTGAACAATTCTCCATTTTACACCTTTTACCGCCCCCATGACGGATGCATAATCCAGATTTACCTCTAGCAGCACGAGTGCAACCTTCATGACTGCAGCGCCTACCACCACCATGTCCAATGCAGAAGTCAGTTCGCCCCTCTGCACTCTTAGTACATCCAAGATGTTGGCAACGCCGCCCTCCTCCATGAGCCTTACAGAAAACTGTCTTGCCTTCAGCACCCTTTGGGCAACCAGGTTTCTGACACCTCCTGCCACCCCCGTGGGCAATACAAAGTCCAGAGGCACCCCGCGCTCCTCTTGTGCATCCTTCAAATCCACAATTCTTCACATGAGTCCGCCGCTGTGGACGATGAGCTGCCAAAGAAGCAGAGGAAACAGAGGGCTTAGGTGTGTCCAATGCAGCAGAGGAGACAACCAGTGTTGCCTGGATGGGATTTGTCTGGCTTTTGTCAGGGTTAACCGCCGTAAAGGACCCTGAGCTCTGGAAAGGTTGCAGAAGAGGCCCACGTTTCCATCGAGACGATGTTGAACCCTCATCCCCAAGTTGAAATGTAGACAAGGATAGGGCTTCCAAATTAGTCAGGCAAGGACTTGACGCTTGTGTAACAGTAGTGACATCTGATTCAGCAGGTCCAGTTGATAGACTTAACTCGAGATCTATTTCAGACCTTTTAACCCCAACTGCTCTTGAGGGACCATAGGTTAGACAAGATGTCTGCCGATTTCCCAGATGAAGATCAATGCTTAGACTAAGATCAATTGAAGACTCATCATCTGTTTCTTTCCCTATGGACAAATTAGGGCGGTGACTTGATGAGTGGCCCAATGCAAGAAACACAGAGGAATCATCGACATCACACCACTTTCTTTTGGTTCCACTGGCATAAAGAGGATTTGGGGGAACACGGGCATCTAAACCCGATGTATGTAATCCATGGTGATTAGACTGAACATTAACACCATTGTTCAGTCGAGATAACTTAGCAGTATAACCTACAGGGGCCTTGTCCATGTACTAAAAAACAACACGTTTATTAGGCCCAACCAACACAAATTTACAAAACAATAGCTATCCCTACACAAACTGGAAAATATTTACCCAAACAGAGTGAGAAATTCATCACTTCAAAGATCCAAGCAACCTCCACTAACAAAACCAGATGTGTCCTGACGATCCATTGCAACTAATTTCACGAACACTTGACCTAATCACAAGTTGTCGGTAAAAGCATGTGACAATGCAATTTCACCCCAAGCTCATCCTGCCCCATGATACAAAACATGTAAAAGGTTAGTAAAGGAAAGCCAACAAAGATCTCTTTTTAGGAGAGAAAGAACAGAGTTTTTTTAACAGAATCTCCTTCCTATTATAATTAACAGTTCAGACACATAATAAACAACATTCACAGATCACATCAAACGACCAACTCTCAGACCGACTTCTCAGCATCAAATCGGTCTTGCGACCTCAGGCATCCATAAACTAAAATCAAGCATTAAACACGCTAAGTGTGACAGAGGATACATAAACTTAATTACGAAAGGAAAAAGTCTAGTCAGCTACTAAGTAGATTGCAATAGATCAAGATACACAGTAACCAAATTCAAAACAAAAAATTCAGAAAATTCTGCAATTTTGACAGGAAAACTCGGCCAAAAAGCTTAACAGACAAGTGATTAACTCCTTTCAAAAAAAAGACAAGTGATTAACAGTACCAACCAACTAAATACTTCTTCAACCCGAAAAGAAAACATATGAATCAAACAGCATCACTGCACTACTCCGAAAAATCAGAGTAATCAAACACGCGCGCGGGCAACACACAAAAAAAAAAAGGAAAAATACTTTTAAATAAAATATCCGCTTCTAACAGCCGGAAAAAAACGCCCAGCAAACCACAGAAACTCCAATTATCAAGGCAGTTTCCAAAGAAGCAGGACATAACAGCGAAATACACGATTAAGACCCGACCACAACAGTAAAAGAGAACTCTTGTGAAGGATTACCTTCAGATGGTGGATGGTTCGGTAGAGCAAGATAGCATGCCAATTCGCCGATACAGCGGAACAGGATAACTAGGGCTTTCGGCGGTGCCGAATAACGTAGAAGTGACAAGCTTATAGGAGAGAAAACAGAGAGCATGTGTGAGGAAAAAATGAGGAAAACGGTGATTTGTGAGTATGGAAATTATTAGGGAGAAAGAGTATTAGCACTATTATATTTTAATGAACAGGCGTACGTTAAGGGGTTTTGGATCCTCCGCGCGCTGGATCATCCTTCTTGCCCTGCGTCATCTTTCGAGTGGTGTTAGTTTTAACCCACCAGGTTTGACAAATTTTTAGTTTTGTACCTTACTCGATTTTTCTTCTTTCTTTTTCATTTTTTAAGTTCTTAGGAATTTATTGAAATGTTTTACCATAATATAAACTCATAAAAACAAAACATTATTGCTCATATTAAGTTTGACATTGAGTAATAAAAACATTAAAAATAAATTCCCAAAATAACTAATCGTATATTATAAATCATTTTATGTAAGACACATTAACTGGAACTTTCTCTTATTTCGCTTATACTAATAAATAAAACATAAATGTAGCACATCAAAATTACACATTTGAGAAATGTTAAACTCAAAGTGGACGGTGAGGATGGGCATAGGTTGGATAAATATTAAATTCGAGGGGGTTTTGTGAAAGGTATTGAAAACTCCTGGGTATTTTGCAAGTAAATTGTCAAACGGCCCTTTGTCCGCAATCCGCATCCGCCACTCACTTTTGATGAGACAAGATCTTGCTACGTCATTGATGATGTCATCATTCACGTAGGCAGCGGCTCGCCACCGCTGAAGGTGCACCCTCTTAGGCCCACAAGTCAAGCAAATCTTTGGGCCACTACTTCTTAGGGGCCGATTAGAGAAGAGCGGCCGCCAGCTTGCCGGTGCTGAACTGCAGCGGATCATTTTGATTTTCCAATTTTAGTTTATTTTGTTATTTTCTTTTATTATAACCAAAAAAAAAAAAGGCTTTCAATTTACAATTACGGCATTAAAAAAAAACTTGAAGATAATTCCAAGAGTGACTAACAGATTCTTGAAGATGGTACCTTACGAATATGACAAGTCATTCGCTTTCTAATTGCTAATTAGGCAATTTCGCAGAAATCAATCAGGAGAATAAGACAGTGTTTTTGATAATAAACAATACGAAAATCAAAATCAGTTTTGAACTGTACTTGTTAGTGTATGTAAATATAGTTAATATCAGTATTACCATAATTGTAGGTTTAATTTTTTTTTTAAAAAAAAAGAATTAAGATCTCTTGGTCAAAAAATAACATAATCAAATAAATTAAGAGATCGTGATTGAGTGATGAAGAGTAAGGACCTGTGAAATTTTTGCCATAATAAAAACTCTCTTTTGTTCTTAAATTATTGTTGAGTTTAACTACTTATTTTTAGTACAAATTGTACTAATAAAAATTTAAACGAAATAATCATTTTGAGATGTTAGAGTATAATAATAACTTGTTGTTAAACCCACACGATGTGCGGGATTTATTCATATGCATTTAAAAAATAATATGTCAAATTTTAAATGTTTTCAATATAAATAAAATTGTTGAATTGCAATAAGAAATTTTATATAAGTAAGAATGAATTAGACCATCATCTCGTAAAATAAATATTACACTATAAAGAAATAAAGCCATTAATGCAAATATAAGATGGAGACATGGTTTTGTCCAGAATGACTTATCATTAAAAAAATTATAATTCTTATTATTATCATTCAAAAATTTTAGATCGTTGAAATTCAGAAACAAAAATTGTCTTGTCCAACGCTGCCACTGGTGGTTGGCACAAGTTTCCCTTTTCTTAAAATATATATATATATATATATATATATATATATTACAATTGCTTTAAAGCCCTATCTTATAATTAATAAATGTGGATATAAAAAATTTTTAAAAAATAATAAATAAAACGAACATGAATCTTCAACCCCTCCATTTATAATCTCACAGTAATCCTTATCTAGCATCCACAAAGTGCGAACCCATTAATTTTAATAAAATATGAAAAACCATCTTCAGAAAATTGAACATTCTTTTTAACTCACATACCTTGCACGTCACTATTCATCAAGTGAGAAAGCTTCTGTTCCAGCAGTAAATTTAACTGCCCTGCTACTGAAATCCATGTCCAAAAATTTATGAGAATATATAATATATATATATATATATGTATATATATATGTGTGTGTATATATATATATGTGTGTATATAATTTATCGTTTATATTTTTCTCAACATATTGTCATAGTCCGCCATGAATTTTATCGTGACTATTAGTTCTTCATCTTCATAACAAATAGAAATTTACAATCAACAATATGTCAATACTACCCGATTTATGGAAACAATCATTGTTTCACGATTTACCTAGTTAATTGACCACTCCGATAAAATTATCACTATCAAAAATCTTCAGTGAAAAAACAGACTCATCAAAAAACAGATTAAAACGCCTCATTTGACTGTTAATTTGTTTCTATGGAAGAGAAAATTTTGTCAACCTTCTAAATTTATGAAAATCAAAAGCATACGATTGAATTCTACAAATTTACCTCCTGTCTTATGTGTTTTTGTATAGTAGACAATGAAGCTGTAAGCATTGCCTCCTGTTAACAAACATTGAAAGAAAAATTGGTTAGCAAATGCATAAATTTGAAAAAGTGTAAGAAATTCGGCAACAATAATGCATGAATAAACTTTTCTTATGGCCATTTCAAATACATATATATTCCTTTCCATGTGCGGTTTTCAGGGATTGATTTGATAAAATTTTGAAAAAACATAAAATCATTAAAAAATTTCCATTTCAAAATTTTATTCAAAATTCAAACCTATGATATGTTTTGAACACGTAAGAGATCAGATTCCGTGATCATATTCGAAACAATTAATATTGATTGATTAGTTTTAAATAAATTTAGGAATTATGTTCATTTTTCTTTATGAGAAATAATTACTTTAAAAAATCCGAGAAATCATCCCATATTGTTTTTTCAAATTTCTCGTCATTCAATTCACAACATTAATTACTTATTAATATTGATTGATTGGTTTTAAACAATTTAACCGTCCATTACTATAAAATTAAGGGTGATAAAATTATTTCCATAAAATTTCAAAGACTTGTAGTGTAATTGTATAAAAAAAAATTTTGACATTTATTCTACGTGGCACATTTAGAAATCTTTTTTGTTTTATCTCTGGTTTCTCTTTTAGTATATAATACTATAGATAGAAATTGCTAGTGACTTTTTTTTCTAACAAAAAGAAAAGATTTGATCGATAAGCCTCAATTTCCTTAAAACAATAATAATAGAAGTAATGACTGCGTGTGATTATGAAAATAAACCCAAAAGAGGAAAAGTGAAATGAAAGCTTTTGTGTGGGGAGGCCACTCACCACTGGCTTTCTATATTGTGCTCGACGTATATTTTTGGGGTGTTAAAATATCCGGGATGTATCTAACCAGAAATCCAGTCTGGGTGCAGGTGAGAAATAAGATACTAAAAGGACATCTATTACAAAAAAAGAAGAAAAAATTTTGGCAAATAGATTGAACGCCGAGGCGATGTTTGCACGTGGCACATTTAAACCGCTGACTCAGATAGAGTGTTTTTTTCTTTTTTAATTCAATCCTGACTTTGAATTATTGTGATTATTTTGTTATAATAGATCTTAAAAGAGTATGTTGAATATATTAATTAAAAATATTTTTAAAATGAATAACCCTAATTGAGGTGAAACTAAACAGAGATGTACACGACTCAAGGATTCACTTTTCTTGAAGAAAATATTTTTGTTGGTAATGTAGGGAACTCTACTTAAAAAATTATAATCATATCTATAGTATTTAATTAAAGCTGCAAACAAAAAGGATATGTGTCAGTACCACAATGAAAATTTTTCCGCTAAAAGTCATTTTCAGTACAAAATCATTTTTGACACGTGACACTCTAACTAATCAGAAAAAAAAGATGAAATAGATAAATACATAAATTCCTTAATTATAGTTACATAAAAATCTTTTAATTATAGGTATATACTGATCCTTTAAAACAACAATATTTAGTTAATAAAATCAAATGTAAGGAAATCTTCTTAAATCCAGTGAAACATCAGTAATGCCTTCCCAATCTCCAATTTCAAAGGTTCTCTTCCATTCCGCTCCTCTCTCACACACGGGCCTTTAAATCAATTACTTAAAATGTGACATCAATTATCAATCCATCTCTTTTTACAACAGAGAAAAAATACGCTGTCATGAAAGAAATTTGATCTTTTAAGGATGATTTTTTTTTTATTCTTCTGTTATAGATATTGGTTTATGATTTATGTAAACTCGGGCATAAAATTAACTGTTATAGATTAAATGTTGTAAATCTGGTATAGATTTATGTGTAATAACTCACTTTCTGTCCTTTCAATCGATTTTTTATTCTTCTAATTTTTTTTATACTTTTAATAATGATTCGTATTTTTTATTTAATCAATTTAAAAATACAGGCGAACCCCCGAGCATTCACGCGGGGCAAGCATCTAGTATTTATTTATTTTCAAAAGGCGGACGAAATTAGTAATGGACAAAAAATAATACACAGACAGGTGGACTCGAATGGTACATAAACAATCACGTCGACCTTTTTTTTGTATCCCTGTAAAAATCGACACAACATGATTTAAGTACTGTACAGTGTACACCATATTTTCAACTTGTTCACTGAATTCCTAATTTGCTATAAAGTCCGCTCCATAAAAAATTCTATTGAAAAAGTTTAAAGATGCTTTTTTCTTTGATTAGTGAAAATTTATTGTGTGTGTCGACCTTTTTTGTGGTTTGTGTGTTGTGAATGAGGAAGACGAAGAGTTTGAGGTCGTCATTGTAGTTGCTTTAAAAGAGATATGAACCACATAACAAGTCATTGAATTATCGAAAAATTTTATCACGAGTCATCAATCAATTTTATTCTTACTACATGTACTTTTATTAATCCAAAAATTTTTATGAGGTCATTTTATAAATTTTTGCCGTTCAATCGTGGTGAAAGCTATTTTTCACATACAAACATGTGAGTTGGGTTCATAGACAATTTCATTATTTTTTGGGTTAAAAATAACCAACAATTACATTGCATTTTTTTATGATTTAAAATATAAATGTTGGTTTTTTAATATCATTTTAAATAAATTTAAAATTCAAAACTCCATACAAACAACAAATAAGTTATGTATAATTCATATATTTGTCATACAAAAAATATATCACGTTAGACATTCATAAACCGATGAAAAAGTAAATGAATGGAAGTAATATAAGGATCAAAGTAAGATAAATAATTGTCTTAGTTTTTATTGATCGGTGTGAAAAAATTAACATAACCAAATTGAGTATATAAACCATGTTTTTAACTTTTTATTTTGCTTTTCTAACCGAAATATAAAAACAACGTGAACTTTTTAAAAAGTCGCAACGATTTATTCATAATATTTTACAAATTTTATTTTTGATGTGTTGTTGTTTTCTGAATATTGATATCAACGTAAAATTTCATTACAACTATTTATAAGATGAATATTATATGTCTCGACTTTTGCGTCCACTTCTAAAAGGCGACGAATAGGGATATTTTTTATTTTTTATAGTACTATTTGTTGATTCAAAGTCATTTAGTGGTTTTGTAAACATACCTTGATACAAACAATTTATGAGTACTCTCATTATATTTGTATTATTTTTATAGAAAAAAAAATTTACAATGGACTTTTATTTTGGGTATAGGGAGTAACTATTTTCTTACAAAAGTCGATGTGAATTTTGATGGACAAAATAAATGTATGGAGTACTATTAATAATCTTGTAGAATTTGCTTAATGTATTTATTATGTTAAAGTTGACGAAACACTACGATGTACACACATGACATTCTGATGTCAAATTTTATTCGGATATTTTAAATATCTTGCGTGTTCTTATTCTTTGATACATCTATTTCAATGTAAAATCCATTGCAACTATTTTTAAGGTGAAAATTGGGTTCGTCGACTTTGTTTTGGCTTAATAAACTCGACGGAAAAGTCGACGTAGAACGTGATTCTTAATTTTTTTTAATTTTAAATGTAAATTTTCCTGCTTAAAAAGTAACTAGTGATAATATTCCATTATAAATAAAATCATAAACTTAAGAACTATAAAACCAGCAAGTTATGTATATTTGTACCGTAAGGACAAATTTTTTTTACCTTTTTTTTTTTTTTGAATTTAGCGAAATGGAAATTAAAGTTCGTTAACGGTATCATTGCAAATTCAAACCAAACATACCAGAAAAGAAAAATAAAAATAAAAATCCCAATACTCAGTGTCAGTGGAGTGAGCCACTTGAGCACCCTATTTGATTTACTACACAAGTCAAATGACGCTTTTAAAAATGGACGCACTATATCCAGACTGATCATCCCAGTACTTTGACCAAAGCATCACCCCACCATACTTGGGCGACTTCTTTATCTCCGGCAGAATTTGGGAAGTCAACACATCCGGCGGAACGAACCCACTTCCGGCTGCCTGTGGAGCTGCCGGCAACCCCAAGAAAAATTTCCGAGCTTTAATGCTTGTAGTCCACTGATTCCAAGAACTCAGGAGCTTGTTAGTATCCCCAGCAGCGTACGAGCATGGAGGATTGTTGTAAAACTGAACCCAAACGAAGTCAAAAAGACCTTCACTGAGCGCAGTTCCGAGGAATTTGTCCGGAAATGGACATTGTGGGGCAGCACTTAAGTAAACCTTTCTTCCTCTCGGCTTACATGAAGACGAATAGCCCTTTAAGAATCTTGCAAGATCATTCCAATAAAGGGTTGACCCGAGTTCGATATCGAAATCGATTCCATCCAAAACCGCACTTCCTAATGGTCTCGAATCCGAGGTTCCACCCAAGAAATTGTTCCATAAATAAAGGGATACGTTTTTGGCATCTTCTGTCGATGCTAAAGAATAGCTCCCAACGCCGCCGCCGAGGGACAGCAACACCTTAATGCCGCGGCTCTGGCAGTAACGCACGCCGTCGGTGATGATTGTGCATCCATTCACGGCGGGATTGCAGTGGCCGGCGAGGTTGATCACCGGGGTTTGGCCGTTGCCGAATTGGATTAGAAAGGCTAAGTTGACATAGGAATATCTACCGGTGGCGCAAGTGGCGGTTAAGTTTCCCTCGAAACCGTTTTGGCCCCAGTAGATGCTTATGCCACCGCGGCCACCGGCGAGGGAGGTTGGAAACAGAGCTAAAGAAAGAAAACAGAGGAATACAGAGGTTGCAAGAGCATTTGGTTTTTCTGCGGCCATTTTTTTCTGATTGGCAGCTTCTTGTTTTTGGTTTGTGCATCGTGCTGGAGGGAATTTCGTTCCGTTTTAAAGAATTCAGAAAGGAGCTTCGCAATGATTTTATGATTAGAATAATGGGATCTCAGTACTAATGATTCTGCAACGAGTTGACTTGGTGGTATTTTATGCAGAGGAATATCGCAAGTTTGACTCTAGTTTTGGCATTATTACCTCTTAGTTGGTGTGCCTCTTCTTGTAATTTATTTTATATCTATTCCTAAATGATTGTCGTATTTCTAATTTGGCCTCAAATGTAAAACAATAAACTTGTAAGACAACAACATCAAATGCATATACATCCGTTGCATCTTCAATTCCCAGAGGAGTTTAATTTTTTTAGCTTTTAGACATATATAAAGAAGTACTGAATCCGGAGAACTGGTCCAAAGTTCTTCAACAACTAAAGTGGGATGTTCTGGCAAAAGTAACATCATGTGTAGACAAGGGATTATATGTTTTTCATGGTGCGCAGAGCTTTATTTCACAATTTCTATAGCACGATTCCAGAATGAGTAGTAGAAAAGTACTGAAGTTCCAAGTCTCAACAGAAGCCGCCACTGGCCTTTGATGACGGTTAACTTTCCGGACACTGGCCAAGTTATGATCTGGAGCGGACTTTGTGTATCGTGATCCTTAATGTTAAAGCGTTGAAATGGATTGCAAATACTAAAAAATAAAAGTTGCGTGAAGTAGGTTAAAGAAAAGAGCCATAAAATGTGGCTTCTTGATATTATGATTGGATCAGAATTCGTCAAAAGAAGAACTGACTTGGTCAAAAGATAAGAGAACCAAGATAAGTGCCAATATACCATCTCTCTCTCTCGACCCTCGATTGATGATAATTTCATTCTACTGCTAATTTTATGGTTCGTATAGAATTTATTATGTTGTTTGTGACTTTTGACTATCCACCCAGAAAGTGCATTATTTATTGGAAGAAAGTCTATTTAATTACAATAATTTTAGACACTGCTCTTGATTGCCGAACTATATCCATTGTCAAAGAACTTGTTCCACACCATCACCCCTGCATACTTTGGAGACGACTTAATCGCCGGCAGAACCTGAGAAGTGAGCACATCCGGCGGGATATGACCGGGGGACGCCTCCGCCGATGCTGGAACCCCTAGGAAAATCTGGTTGCACGGAACTGAAGTCCATTGGTTCCAACTAGCAATGAGGTTGTCGGCGTTAGCCCCATACTGACACTGTCCATTGTTGTAAAACTGTATCCAAACGTAATCAAAAAGTCCAGTTTTGATGGCCGTGTCTAAATGAGCATCCGGGAACGGACATTGCGGCGCCGCCGATAAATACACGTTTCCGCCCAACCCTTTGAGCGCCCTGGCGAGATCGTCCCAATACTGACCCGAACCCTTTTCAATGTCAAAGTCTATGCCGTCCAAAACCGCATCTCCGAGTGGACGGGAGCCCGATTGGCCGCCTAAGAAGTTGTCCCAGAGATACTGGGCGACTTGCCTGGCGTCGTCCGGCGAAGTAAGGCCGTAGTTTCCGATGAAACCTCCGAGGGAAAGGAAAACTTTGATTCTCTGGTTCTGGCAGGACTTTATCTCATTGCTCAGAGAGGTGCAAGTTCCAGCTGCCTGGCTGCAGTGTCCGGCCAAGTCCAGTCCAGGTGATTGACCATTGCCAAAGTCATTCAGAAAGGCAATGTTCACGAACTGATAATTTCCGGTGGCGCAGGTTTCTGTCAATGTTCCTTCACCCCCGTTTTGACCCCAGTAGACGGCAATTCCAGCACCCTGTGAAGAGTTAATCAATAATGATGCTATTGCTATCAGCAGGGATAATGCTGAGAAGGTTGCTCTCACAAAACCCGCCATTTCCAGTTGCTCTGTTTTTTTTCCTTTTCTTTTCTTTTCTTTCCCCTGTTTTGTGTTTGCAATTTTATTTTATTTTTTTCTCTCAGGCAAGCTGATTCAGGTTCATCCTTTTTATAGGGAGAAGCGAGGGTCCTGTGAGTCAAGAGAGATGTGGAAAAAAGGTGCCGAGATGCGTGCCCCGCGGGCAATTAACTCCGATCCAGACGATATCTTAGGTTATTGACAAGACTTTGAAGAGACTTGGATCTGTCGGTGCTTCTCCTCACTTTCGCCAGTCCAAGAATTAGAACATTCAACGATAAATTTCAAAAATCTTTCTGTTAAACGAATAGAAATTGGACAAATTGCTTTGGTACAAGAAATGTTTTCTACGTTCCCCCGTATACATTTCAACAATTAACATGCAGAGCAGCTTAAGATTGAGAATTGATCAGAAGAATCAAATATAATTTGGTTCATAAGGGCCTACGCTGGTACAAAACGTGCTATTTCTTTTTAGTTCATAGACATAAGACTCGACATAGACATCCGTCTCTATCTCATTTGACAGTTACACGATAATGCAGACAAGGATAAATTGATCAACAATGTCCAGGAAAGAACCTCCAGGATAAGGTTGCATTTGTTCCTTCTTTTTTGGTTAAACTGATTTGCCGTGAACTTTACTCCAACATCAATCCATGAAAATTTCTTATGAAGATTTCAGAAATTCTCCAGAAATGAAAATAGAACATCAGTTAGGAAAATGTTTAATCAATTGGACGTGTAATTCTGTTGCAATCGTTCTACAGCAAACCTTTTGTAACTTTCACGGCTGCTTTCCAGCCTACTGCTCAAACACTAATGCAACCTGCGACCCTCATCTTACATAAGAAGGATACATTAAGTTTGGTGATGACATCAGTATATGTTGTAAGAATCTAATTCAGGTTAACGTAGTTTCACCAATAATCGCCACACGAGCAAAATCCATTCTCAAAGCGATGAAAGCGGTTTATATCCCTTACAATGATTTCGCGTTCAGTAACTTTGGAAATAAACTTTGCAGCATTGTGGCAGTCTCCACAGACACGTAGATTCTTTGTGATCCTGATAGGAGTCCCGGGTTTGGTGTTCATTAAAGCAAATACAATAGCCAGCTTCTCGCTATGAACAACTAAGTGATGTTCTTTATCTTCCTCCTCGACATCATGAAGGGCATCATCTTTTTCTGGGACATAACCTGCATCCTTTATCTTTCCAAGTAATATATCTAGCTCTAGATAGATCTCCTTTGATTGGGGATGTGACTTGTCACCTGCGAGGAAAGTATGAATCTGATCATTCAACTCCACATTACTGATTCCAGGAAGTTTATTGATTCCTCTGCCTTTCATGATTTTTCGGATGGATGTGACTTTCTCCCATCTCCCAGCCTTTGCGTAGATGTTTGATAGAAGCACATAGTAACCGGATTGCTTTGGAGCCATTTGGAGAAGATAATCTGCAGCTTCAAGGGCAATGTCCATTTCATTGTGAACACGACAAGCACTCAAAAAGGAGCCCCAAATCTTGTGATTTGGTTCCATTGGCATCTGCTTGATGAAATCATAGGCCTCATACACTCTTCCTGCACGTCCTAACATATCAACCATGCAAGAAAAGTGCTCTAACCTTGGCATTACCTTGTAATCGGATATCATTGAATTGTAAAAAGAACGGCCTTGCTCCCACATCCCAGCATGGCTGCAAGCTGACAAAATTGAAACAAATGCTATCGGATCAGGAGTAAGAGCCTTTGTCATGTCTGAAAATAAGGAAACAGCATTGGCACCCTCCCCAATTTTACCATATGCACAGATCATTGAAGTCCATGAGACCACATCCTTTAGAGGCATCCTGTCAAACACTTCCCTAGCCTCCTGCAAACATCCACACTTGGCATACATATCAATTAAGGCGTTCTCCACAGACAAATTTGGCAAAATTCTTTTGCTCATGGCATATTTGTGGATCCGCCTTCCCATCATTATGGCCGAAAGGTCTCCACAAGCTGGGAGTACACTGGATAAAGTTATTGCATCAGCTTCTATCCCAAGATCTTCCATCTCCAAATAAAGCTCAACAGCCTTGTTAGGCATAGAATTACTAACATACATGGCAATCATCACATTCCAAGGAACTAATTCTCTATTTTTAAGCTTCGTGAACATACCCTCAACAAAGGCAACATCTTCAGCTGATGTATTAGTAACAGCAGGCAGAAGGCTAGCCATGGTAGCAGCATCAGGCTTCATCCCCAGCGCTTCCATTTCCCTACAAACTTCTAAGGCACCTTTAAACCCTCCATTTTGTGCAAATGCAACAATTATTGAGTTCCAAGAAACAACATCTTTGGTGGGCATATTGTCAAGGACGCGACGGGCACACTCCAAACTCCCACACTTCCCATACATCGTTATTAGACCGTTGCCAACATACAAGTTTGTCTCAAGATTCATCCTGAGGACTTGGGAATGAATTTGCAACCCCATTCGCAAATCATTAGAGGCCGAACAAGCTTTTAAAACACATGGAAATGTATAGTTATCAGGCTTCGTCCCGACATAATACATACTCTTAAACAAAATAAGAGCTTCACGATAAAGTTGGTTGTTGACATATCCTCGGATCACGACGTTGAAAATGGCCGACGTTCTTTCAGGAATTTTATCGAATATCTGGCGGGTAACTCTGGTTTCGCCACAAGCAGCATAAGCCCGCATCAACTTGATTTTGAAGGAAGTGCTGGAGCTCAAATAAGGATCGAAGATGATTTTGGAATGGAGTTTTTTCAGGGTTTGTATGTCCTGACATTTATCTAAAATTTGACTGAACAAGGAAGCCTCCGAGTGGACAGGGTTGGTTGCTAAGAATTTTGAAGTTGAAAAATGGCGGGAGTGACGCAGGGGGTCTCTAACAGCTTTCGGTAACTTAACAATGAATTTCATGATCCATTGATAAATTAAGAGAGAGAGAAGCAAAAAACAGAGAGTGTGAGAGAGAGAGATACAGAGAAGAGGAGCAAAGCAGATGAAGACGGTGACTTGTTCTAACCTTTATTTGGGGTCCCAATAAAGTAAGCAAACACCATTATAAATGGATATTACAAATCTTACAGAATCTTTGACATTTGTTCAGATCACACACAGTTGTCTGTTTCAGCTTATTGAGAACTCTATGGTTACATTGATACAAGCTTTCAATGATTTTATAAGCAGTATGAAGAATTCATGTACATAGATCCATTGTGACCTAGTCCTAAATGAGAGCGGATCTTTGCTTTCTAATCTGCAAATTTGTTCCTTAATACTGTCTCGGATCCTAGTTATGAAGTACACATTTGAACTAAAATAGAAACAAATTTGAACTAATTTGCGTATAATTAGGACCATAGAGTAAAATTTAGAGTTTCTTCAGAGATGGGAAGCTGTATACTCTATTGCTAGGAACACATGGCCAGGCTGCTCAAAGAATTTCAGTCCTTAATCTTCTTGGAACAGAGCCTTTGATACAGAATAAGAAAAGTTACCGGGATCTTTGCTTTCCTCGTCTTGAGAGCATGGACGTTTCCTACCCGACAACGGTGTCTCGTACACCACGCTGCGACTACCTACCTGCCGATCCTTCCTCTTGGATTCCTTGTGAAGTGAATCAGGTTTTCCGTTCACTCCCTTATGCTGCTTAGGTGCCCAAACTCTTTGCAGATCAGGTATCCAACTTGTGAAAGACATAAATCTTCGAGCCCTTTCTCGTCTTGCACGCGCTTCACTTAATTTATGCTCAGGTTCCTCTTCTGGAATCCCTTCAGAACTCTCATCAACCATTTCTCTATGCTGGCATTTCTCATCTTCCACTGAGAATGATTGATGTACGTCTTGGCTTTCAGACCTGTCACATTTCTCTTTATCCCTCCAAGATTGACTACTGTCCTCGCTATTGAAAAGGAAAGCCCCAGTCTCATCCTCATCACCAAACGGCAACAAATCCATTCTATTGTAGATATCCTTCACAATGTCCTCAAGTGCGTCAATGTATCTGATGACAAGGTGCCATGATGGTTAGTCAACATTTCTAGTCTGAGAAACTTTTCATGCCGTGGTAAACAAGAAATTCTGATTTACTATCTAATTCATTAATTTGAGATAAAGAGTTTCCGAAAGTAAATTTGATGCGAAACTGCACAATAAACAACTTGAAAAAGGGACCATTTAGATGATTCAACATGGCAGCAGAAGTATGTGGTTGACCAGTTAAAATCACATACACTAGGCAAATTGCACTGGGCTAGACTATATTTTTTGGCTTCAAAGACATAACTTGAGCATCATTAACTTTATCACATTTATTAAGACATTACCTAGCTTTGATACTCCGCTCAACATAATCATAGAGGCTGACATTGCCATGAAAACCTCCTTCAATATAAAACTGAATGATGTATAAGAATGAGCAAATTTGCTTCAGAAGCTTCTGTTTTAATGGCTCCTCAATACTGGCTGATAAGAACGATCGTAAAATCTCCATGCGCAGGAAAATCTGCAGCTCGTATCTTTTGCCAGAGAAAGTATAATAAGACAACATGGAAATAGTAGTCATATTTTGTAAATCTTAAGAGCCTGCTGACTCGGAAATTCAAAACATATTTACCCAAAGAAGTAAATTACCTTTTAACAGTCATTTCTGTTGTTGTGGTCGGATTGCATGATTTAGAAGATGAATCACATTCATTGCCACAATGCATCTCCTTTGGATCACTCAGCAGTAAATCTGTTAATTTAGAACTGAGTGATTTATGAGGATTGCCTACCAGTTCTGGATCTTGGGCATGAGCATTTCCATTTTCTTCACAAGTTTGAAGCAACCAAAGAGTAGATGACTTGACAAGTTGTTCAGCTAAAGTTTGCACGTTCACCCCAGACTCAAGTCCAAGTTGGACTCTTTCTGAAATATTATTGAAGAATAGTCCTGTGGTCTCTGAATATGAGCAAGTCCTAGCTTCCTCCTGCTTTTTAGGTTGTTCTGATGAATAGTTGGGAGATCTTGGGCTTTGGTTACCTGCGGACTTCAATCCACTCAGCATTTGTGGGTGTTGTTGGCTGTACTTTGGAATCTGCTTCATCCAGCATTTCAAGAATTTAAGCTTCTTGTTTTTCTCAAACTTTCTGTCAAAATAAATGTCCGATAAGTCAAAATCGGTGCATTCGGAGGCAGCATTACAGTAAGAGGCCCAAGGGAGGCTGTAGGACAGGTGCTTTTTATCCTTCTTTTTCTTTCCAGCTAATACAGCTTCATAGGCACCAGAAGTTGAAGTCTCAGTTTGGGAACCTACCAACCCATTTGAATTGCTAGCTTCAGCACACAGATTCTCAATCTTTCCGTTATGTGATGCATAACAGTCCTGAATTCCCCGATCACTGCTTAATATTGAGAGGAGAGCTGAATGAGATGTGAAAGGCTTGAGAATACCGAGAACTTCATCTCCATTACTATTTGAGAGGGAGACCAAGGCCCAGTAACCTTCACTGCACAAAAAGCTCAAAATAATCTGCCAGATGGGGATGGGTTTACAAATAGAGGCACCAATGGTTTCTCTTGATAGTAAATCAAGAACCCTATCAGCAAAAAGTTCATTGGAACTTTTTCTTTTTTCCTTAGTTTCCCCAGATAACTCTTTCACCAGAATGATGTCTGATGAGGACCCTGGAATCTTCTCTACCTCATTAGGCCTCTTTACAGCCTTGACGCAAAGCTTTATGGCACCATCACTGAAGCCATGCCAAAAAGCTTCGCTACCGCCTAGTGGGTCTCTAAAATTTGAGGAACTCCATACATTATTGGATTTATTACAGGACACCTTCAAATTATGCAATTCAAGATCACAGAAGTTGCATTCCAAAGGTTTACCATTAATATCTAAAATGTGAAGGCTCAACTGCACATCACTGCGTTTGTATGACTCAGTAATATTCAGAAAATTCACTGGAACACCAATGTTTGGGTAGATCAATCTAAAAGGAATTAGAGCAGATCCCAGTACAACAGAATCAGTTGAACAAAATCCAAACCCCAAATTCCTGATCCCCTTTTCAATGACTCCTAATTCTGCTCCAAAATCATTTCCATTACCTTCTTCTTCATACTTGACATTGACCCAACTAAAATGGATATCCCTACTGGAGAATGCATCATTCACATCACCAAACACATTGCAAATCTTCTTTAAAAGTTCATCAGGATCACAAGAACCAAGAGACTTCACATCGACATTTACATAGTCAGATAAGCTACAAATCGAGCAACAAACAGGCGAAAACAAAACAACCAAATTAGGTCGGAGTGGTGGGAAATGGCCAATACCTTTTCCTGTCAAAGTCCCCAAATCAGCATCCCAAGAATAATCATGCACCAATTGTAACAATGACCCAGCTGTATGCAAAGCAAGAGGCTTTCCACCTGATAATTCTGCTGCAAATGGCTCAATTGAAAGAGAATTGAGGATTCTCACGAGGAACTCAAGAGTTTGAGAGTGATAATCAAAGGAAAGAAAACTCCGGGCTAGATTGGGAAGAAGGCGGTGAACTACGGAGGCAGAGCGCAGCGGGGAAAGGGAAGAAAAGAAGAGCCTGTAGGCGCAGAGGGATTTGCGTAGAGGAGGAAAATTCAGTAGGCGCTTAAGGGATGCAACAATTGAGGTTAAGTAGGCCTTAGGGTTTTGAAGAACGAAGAGTGGGTGAAGATCTATTACCAATACAATTCGTTCCGTTCTTGAATAATCAATGGGCTTTGCCATATTAAGAGGCTAAGCTGCCCCTGATCCACTTCCCCGGCTTCACAGGATCGGGAAAAACTCCGGCCGGAACGAGATGTATTTGGGCTGCTATGAAGAAGAACGCCACCGTGAGCCGCCGCCGATGTCGGGTAGTCCTCCCGTATTCCTTTCTTTGACCTTTATGAATTTTGAAGGTTTGACCTCTGGCGACTACAATCTCTTAATCCTCGCAGGGATGATAGTAAATTAATGGAGCCGGCATTAGTGAGACAGCAGTCGCATCTGGAAAGGCCACTCTTCGGCGGGAAAACGAGAAAGAGAAATGGCGCGGAAACGACTGCTGTTTAAAAAATTCCAAAAAACAAAAAAGCAAGGAATTGTTGCTATCATGCGCCCGGAGCCTTTTTAAGCCACGTGGTTAACAAAGATAATCACGCGACGATGACGTCATATAAACGACGCCGTTGGACTCTATCTTCAACTTCCACTTTCAGGGGACTCGGTGCCACTGCAATTCTGAGAGACTTTTGTATCCGAGTCATCCCGGATTTTGTAACTGGCCGGTTTTTCTGTCGTAATTCTTCAATTATATCACCGTAATGTCTGTGGTTTGCAGCTCTGGAACAATTAGCGGAGATTATGCGGCGTTTGTAATTTCTTCGCCGCCGTCTACCTCCGCCTATGCATCGTTTTCATTCCCCTTGGCATCCTCTTCCGCAAAATTCTCTAAATTCAAACCACGCCAAGCACTGCTGTCTTCATCTTCTTTGTCATGTGATAGGAGAAAATTTCCGGTTTGTTTGAATAAGTCTTCCGAGGAGGAGGCGGAAGTATCGGAGGTGGAAGACGAGTGGTTGCAGAGACTTCCGGATAAGACGAAGCCATTGTACTCTCACAGTTTACCTTCCTTAGAGGCGTGGTTGAGAAGCTTAGGGTTTTATCAGAGCAAAGAGGATAGAGCTGTTTGGTTTGTGGAGAAACCTGATTGGCATGCCCAGCTCTCTCTTGATGTCACTGACCTCTATATTAGGTCTGTCTAATTGCGCATGTTTTTTGGATTCAATTTATTGGTTTTTTTAGATATCATTGAAAGTTGTTTTGATCTTTGGAACGTTTTGTTGCTACCTGTGTATACATGATTGGAGCATTTGATTATAATTTGAGCAATAAGTCTTCAACTTCTCCTGATTTAGCTATTTGTGTTCGGAAGTTGTGAGAACAAGATTGCATTTCATTTGATAGTTCAAGCCCGGATCTTTATGCTAAGTGGTAATATTTATTATGATACTCTCATTTAGGGCCAAATCTTTTAAATGCAATTTGTTGAGGAAGTGTAGAACTCCTATCGTATCGGTTCGTGTTTCTACTCATGTATGTCATTTCAATTCTTGTAAGTACTAACTAGTGCAATATGAACTGATTATGCTAGCCAAAGGCAGCATGCCTGTTAGTTGAAACACCGGTTCTTGAACATAGGTCCTGCTGTAGGGTTTAATGGGAGTCACTACACTATATTTTTGCTGTTGTAGGGTTGAATCTAAACAAAGTTAAATTTGACCTATGAGCGTATGCTTGTGCAAAATTATGAGAGGCCTTTCAGTTCTTTTGTTTTTGCGATTTAATGTGAAGGTTTGATGACCAGAGTCTCACTGCCTCTTCTCCCTCTGTTTTGTCCTTCTGGTTGCCGAGGCCTCATAGATTGTTCACTTGCATTGCAGGTATCTGAAAACTGGACCAGGGAATCTTGAAAAAGATATGGAAAGGAGATTCAGTTATGCCCTAAGTAGGGAGGATATTGAGAATGCCATACTTGGAGGTCCATGAAAGCAAATATAAGCCTAATTTTTCCGGCCTTTGGAGTAGGAGAGCCTCCTTTTATTATTTAGGAATAGTTAGGTATCCCTCAATCAATCCATTTTAATCCGTTGTTAATCATTGTTGATAGTGCTGGATTCAATTCTGAAATGCATAGAGGCCGAGGTTTAGAGCGTTCTTCCAGATGTCGAATGATTCTATAGTGCACATTCAAGTGTAACTCCCATACATACATTTTTGAATACGATTACTGAACATTTGAGTTTAAATCCAGTAATGGATAATATGGATTACATCTCTCTGTTCATGAGGAGATGTTTTTGGCTTCTTAAGTCACGTAGAACTTTATATCCGAAACATTTTCTTTTTGTGAACGAGGAAAGATTTGAAATGGCCCGGTCTTTTCTGAAACATATCTACATTGACGAATATACATAGCATTATGCTTGTTTGAAAATACAGATACAGTTACAACCACTCCAGTGCATTCAACTGGCAGGCAGGAGTAAAATACTAATAGCTATAGCTACACAGCAAAACTAGCCATATGCAGGACCTTCGCTGCAGCAAACCGTTAAACTACCAGAATCCTATCACTTGACTCATTATTCTAAATTACCCGGCGGTAATTCAATGCTTTCTTGCATCTCGCATAGCAGAATTGAGGGTTTGGGAATACTGTTTGATCACCTCCTCAAAATATCACCACTTTCTTTTGGCTAAAGTTGGCAGCTTACGTCTGATAGCCCTCTGAAACCTCAACTGAAGCATAACTTTTTCCACTAGATCATTTTATGTCCACCGAGTGATTATGAGACCAATATTCCTTTACAAGCTTGCCGAACAGTGAATCTTCTCTTTTCATCAACTCCATTGGCTCATCATACTCCACAAGTTTTCCTGCAATTGAGTCAGAAAGATATTTTAGTGGTAAAGCACCCACTAAACTAGCTAACAGAAAATATCCGGTGTCTGAAGCTTACCATCACTGATGGCAAGAACTTTCGTACAATCCATCACGGTTGGTATTCTGTGAGCAACTGTGATCACAGTGCAATCAGCAAATTCTGCTCTAATAGTTTTCTGCAAAATCATATCCGTAGCATTGTCTATAGATGCGGTTGCTTCATCAAGAACTAATATCTTGCTTCTTCTCAGAAGAGCACGGCCTAGACAGAATAATTGACGCTGCCCCATGCTCCAGTTTGATCCATCTTCCACAACTGCAAATACGACATGATCGTCAGCTAAATGTGGTAGCAGACACTAATGAAGCATAAATGCTCAAAGGACTCAAACACGTACCCAAGGCGTCAAGGCCTTCTTCCTTCTCTTCGACAGCATCCTTAAGTTGACACTTCCCAAGAACCTTTTTAAAATAGACACAAACTTATCATCAAGATGATCATATCAGTGTTAGCTTAGTAAGGAAAATTCAGCAAACAATTGTCTTGAAAGGAAAAGACCACTGCTCCTAATGAAGGATAACCTTATGGTAAACAAAGAAGTACCTCCCATAATTCCTGGTCAGTGTGTTGACCGAGGGGATCTAAATTGTATCTCACTGTTCCAGTGAAAAGTGTAGGATCTTGTGGTATAATACCAAATCGAGATCTCAAATCATGGAGTCCAATTGTACAGATATCAATTCCATCAACTAAAACTCTTCCACCCGTTGGCTCTACCAGACGGAAGAGGGCACCTATCAGAGTAGTTTTCCCGCTACCAGTTCGGCCAACAATGCCGATCTTATGTCCTCCTTCAAATGTACAACTGATCCCGCGAAGCACAAGAGGGCCATCAGCCCTATACTTAATCTGTTATCATCACAATTAGTCCACTGTCGAATATACATAGGTTTCTTGTAAAAAGCAGCTGAAGAAACATACCTGCAAATCTTGAATCTCAACTTTGCCCTCAGTTGGCCAGTTGGCTGGCGGTCGTTTGCTTTCTATAACTTCAGGAGCTTCACTTGGTATGTGCATATATTGGTTAAGCCTCTCCACAGAGATAATATAATTTGCCAAAGTGCACTGGTTTTGAATGGAAAACACAAGGGACATATTCAAGGAAAGACCGTATGATAAAGCCATTCCAATAAATCCTGCAATGACATGAAAAGGTTGATGATTCTAGTGTATGGCTTTACTTGAGGTATTGAAATGTATAACAAAATCATGCCGAATAAAATCTCCAAAGCATCAATTGCGAAGACAAAAACTTCAGAATGTAACGCACCAGAGCTGAAAGTTCCAGGAGGAAGAAAAACCATGCAGAGAGCTGAGGAAGCAAGAACAGTGGCGCTCACTGTTTCTAGCCTTTGGATCAACCATTCATTTGCTGCAAAATTGTGAAAGAAAGGACTAGCATTCGTGTCAACAAGTTCCAGATTTTTGTCAAAGAAACGGTCTTCCTGTTCAAAAGCTCGAATTGTCATGGCTCCCGCTAAAGTTTCAGCTAGATGATTTGCCACAAAAGATTTGGTTGTGCCATTAATACGCATCAGCTCTTTTGCAGAGGCAAAGTAATATCTCTGTTCAAACAAAAGAAAGTTCCTCAGTTCAATTCCCTGACTATAAAACGCTAGATTCATATCAGATTGAAATTAACTCCAAAATAGTAAAAATTTGCTCCATCCATGAGAGAAAAAGAATTCCTACAGCAAGTCTAGGCATTTCTGATGTACTCCAAAGTCAAAGAGCAACCATTTATTATCAAACTACTCTGAACTAAAGAAACAAAGTTTCAGAATTTTTTGCATGAATCCAAAAGTTTAGAGCCCTATCGGCGCCAGAAGAAGTTCCCCACATATTAAGAGCCCAGTTACTTACCTGCAAGCGAATAGCCAGATAAACCAATGGGATTGAGACAAACAAGACTTGCCAGGTAACAACAGTTAACACCACAAGATTAGAGTAGAAGTTTATGGTTGCTCCAACTGCAAAAATCAAGTTAAATGGGACATCAAGATCCACAATGCTCAAATCTGCGGAGACCTGCCCAAACACAAACCAATGTTACCAGATTCTGTTTTTGACGTAAGCTTTCAGAATCACTGCTTTTTATATTATATTCAAGGCACTTACCCTGCTTAATATCCTCCCTAGAGGAGTAGAGTCATAGAAGGACATTGGTGCACGGAAAAGCGAATTCAGTAGCTGCAAGAACAGTGATTTTGATGATTGCAGACCCAATACAACTGTGCTCAGGGATCTACTGAGTAACACAAATGTTGATGAGAAACCAATCGCTAAATAAACTGCGATCAGTCTCAACGTGCTAACATCAGGTTTGTCAACGTTTGCAGCCATCCAAGAGTTTTGTGATATCTGACAGATGACAAAAGTAACATGCGAGAGAGCAGCCAATGTAAAGAAAAAGTAGCCCTTGTTCTGTCCTAAGTACTGAGTATAAGGCTTTAAGCCGGTGTCCCCAACTTCCCTCTCTTCTTGCTTAATCAACTGGTCGCCTCCTGGTGCTTTTGAACTCTTGTTACTCAGAGTCTTCCTGATTTCTTTGGTGGGAGAGTTAGTTTTCTGGGAGCTACTAACTTCTGATAACCTCTCAGACCCCGCAGTCTCCTTGTGCGCATCAACCAATCTCTGGAAATCATTGCTAGAGGCAAGTAATTCATTGTACGGACCAGCACTTAGAATTTCACCTTCAGACATAAACTGCGAAAAAGGAGAACAAGTGATTATTGAGGAAGTGAATTTGCTCCTACTGTTTCATTAGAAAACATTCAAGGTAAAGAATCTAACTTTTTATTGGTTTCAATGGCTATATTGCAAGTTCCCTATAATTGGACAACAATTTTTTTTTTGTCAGCTGAAATCAATCTGATAATAAAAGAGAGTACTCGTTTGGAACTAAATGTCTGCAAACTAAGGTTGCTGAGGAAAGATACCTTTCTCAGGCTGAAGGATATAACATTTAACATATTCCATTCAGTTTTTTTTCTTTAAAGAAAAAAAAAATTCTCAATCACGAGACAATAGTGTATTTAAGTTGAGTGAAACATACCAGAACATAATCAAAAGCTGGAAGGAAATCAACTTGATGAGTTACAAGTAAGACAGTCTTCCTCGAGAGAGCCCCCATGACATACTCCTGCCATCACAAGAAAGAGCTTGAAGGTCATGCCAAAAATATGAGTTTATGATTGATTGAGCCCTATAAAATGAATAGAATTTACATTGAACAAGTTTGTGGCCGTGTGTGCATCAACAGCACTGAAGGGATCATCCAAAAGATAAATGTCAGCATTCTGATATAAAGCCCTGGCCAGCTGGATTCGTTGTTTTTGTCCACCACTAAGATTAACTCCTCTTTCTCCTATTTCTGTGAGGTCGCCATGGGGTAGCAAGTCAAAATCCTTCACCAACGAACATTTTTCTAATGTGTCATTGTACCTCTGGTAGTCCATTGGGGATCCAAACAGAATGTTATCTCGGATACTTCCAGTCTGGATCCATGCCGACTGAGAAACATAAGCAATGGTGCCTTGCACTTGAACCTGTACAATGCATTGAAACAGTCAAAAGCAAATATTCCCTGCTTAGGTCCAGAAGTAGACCTTTTTACGGACAGATGTTCAAAGTCATAAATGAATCTGCAACATAATGCTAATACCCAAAAACTTCAGCTTACGAAACTTTCATGTAGGTTTAGGATTTAATTGGCTAATTAAAATGGTAAAAGGCTGTTTACTCACAGTTCCATGGGTAATAGGAACCTCTCCAAGAATAGCTGCTAAAAGTGTTGACTTTCCAGAACCCACCTCTCCGCAGATGGCGACCTTTTCTCCTTTTCTAACCTCTAAGTTAATGTTTTGAAGTGTGGGTTTTTGGGGATTTTCTTCCCAGGACAGGCTGGCTGACCTTATAACAATGTTATGCTTTGTATCTTCACCACAGAATTTCTGCCTCACACTAGCAATATCCAATTCAGGTGCCTCAAGAAACTTCACAATCCTGGTAAAAGAGACTCGAGCCTGAATGACTACACCAATGACATCAGGAATTGATCTTACTGGATCTTGTACCAGACGTAATGTTGCAACGAATGTGAAAACGTTACTTGCATATAGGGGGATACCAAGGAAATAACAAGTTCCAAAAGTAGCGGCCGAGACCAACACAGGGGATGACCAGAAGAGAAAGCTATTGTAAGCTTTTCGCAACTGAACAGCCGACAACCACTTTTCTTCGACATGCCTTAGCTTCTCAATTACATTCTTGAAGTGGGTTTCCCAGGCATATAACTTCAAAACCTTCATATTCAACAGTGCCTCTGAAAGAGCCTTCAGCCTGTCATCTTGAGCTAAGCTAAGTTTTGACTGGAATTTGTGCTGCAATTTTGCAAGGGGAGTGTTACAAAGAACAGTAAGAACTATGACTATCAGAGAAGCAATTGTAGCAAGCCCAACAGCACGGTAGAGAATGAAGAGAGCTAGGCAGAGCTGGAGGCTTGTTGTCCATGTCTGATGAAGCCAGAAAGGAAATTCTCCTACTCTATAAGCATCCACCGTAACATAGTTCATAATCTCACCACTTGAATGCATCAATTTGGCAGCATTTGACAGTCTTAGTTGCTTCTTATAAATAGCTGCTGTTAACAAGGACCTTACTTTCACACCTATTAGTCTGCTCCTGAAGTACCATTGTCGCTGAGACAAAGATTCCAAAGTCTTGGAGCAGAAAAGCGAAATTGCCAACACATAACCTTCAGATTTGAAACTTCCCTTTCCTTCTGCAACCTGAATGAAGGCATTGAGGAGCAGAGGACCAGCTGAAAGAGTAACTATTTTCAGGAACGCAAAGACTCCTGACAAAAATATATCCCTGTAATAGCATAGCAAGATTGTCTTTAAGACTGATGGTTGAGCTGAAGGATCAACTTCTTTCTGTTTGTTGAACAGATCCATAAACATGGAATAACAGGGGCCTGCTTGATCCACCTGACGCAACTTGGGTATATCTTCATCCTCCAGGGTTTTTTCCTTTCCCCGTTTCATCAAAGGATTCAACCACCAAAATGACATCTTATTAAAAAAACCAGCTGCTTCAAATGGAGTGACGCTGCTAACCGAACCATATGTTCCTTTTTCATCAGCCACTCCATTCAAAGGGGCCAAAAGATCATTTTCAGTGCAATCCTCAAGCGTATAAGACTTGTAAGCGCTTAACAGCAGCAAACAAGCTCCAATTACAAATAGTACATCTAAAGCTATCTTAAGAGACACCTCTTTATCAAGAATGGCAGTCAAAATGGAGAAACCGCAAGCGGTTCCAGCAAACAGGAAGGCAAGAATGGTCAAAAGCCTCAAAGGGACTTTAGAAAAAAACTTCCCCTTGAGACTCACTGTTAAACTTACTAATACCCATGTCAGACCGTGGAAACATAAAGACAACCACCAATGTAGAGGCAACATACTGTGGGTTTTGTTCAACTCCTTCACCAGCGTCCAAATGCCAAAAGAGACGTACAGAATCCCAAGCAGACCGTTAAAGATGGCTGCAATCATCTGAAGTGGAGAAATGCCCCGACTTCCTGCAACCATCCTTGAGAATTTCGCTGATGGTCTGTAGAACACAAGGACTAGGTAGAAAGCTAAGAGCAGAACATCGAAACAGATGATCAACGCATGATTGATGCATGAGGACGAATCTGAAACAGCCACTAAATCAGCATCACAAAACCTCCGGTCCGTGCAGTCATTCGCACCACAGAACATCCTCCAGATGTCCTGCATCTCTTTCCGGCCGTCTTTGCGCTGTTTAAACTGAATTTTTAACACACGAAGGAACAGCCACACCAACAACAAACAAAATAAGTATTGATACACAGACCTTAATCACCTAAAACAAAACAAGTTCAAATATCAAGAGTAGGAACAGGAATCACATTCCAGACAGTAGAAGAAAAAAAAGAAAATGAGAAAAGAGACCTTAATCGTACAATTTAGAAAAAAAGAGGGGCAAGAATTCCTCTTCATGTGGTAAAAACCACGAATATTATAGTTTAAATGACAGCGTGTGTCACGTCTTTAACAGTGCCATTGATGAATGACATGCTTTGACGTTTACACTTTACATTTTTTCAATCAGTTGAGACGTCACAAAATTTAGTACAGAACGAAAGATAGTTAAAACAAAAGAAAGAAAAAAAAAAAGCCACACACCTTGATGGGCAAAGAGCCAAAGACGAGAGTACGATTATTACTTTAGGTCCCAATGATAATGGTAATGGAGCAAAATCCCACGGCTTTATCGACGAACAAAAAGGTACTCTGTTTGTATGGATCTCCCTGCATAGAACAATAATGTGGAGAAATGACTAAACCAAAAACAACAGGAAAACGACATACAGCCATACTCAATTAAAAACTCCTTATTACAGTTGACTAATGACTAATGAAATCGCCCAGCATACTCATCTTGCAAAACCCATTCAGGTTTTCACTGGAGCATTTCAGAAAACAGATGAATGACATACTCATACGGAAGAATTAAGAATATCAACGGAACTAGTACTTCTTTTTGGTTGGTCCACATCAACGGAGTTAATGACCATATGTAGTGAGATCCAGACTGATAGATTATATTGGACATCATAATTCAATCATACACTCTGTCTAAAAATAGCTACTACTATTCTATTCCCAGTAGTCAGAAAGACGAAGACTTAAAACAGGGGGACAAAGAGGGAACACAAAAATGATTTCTGTGTTCTTGAAAGGGGAGAATTCGAGTCTACCTAAAATATCATCACCCGCAGACCCGCAGTTCTTGGGGATGGATAGGCTCCTTTTTTTAAGAAAAATAAAATAAAATAAATAAAAAATGCAAATATAGTATGAATCAGGAAGCGGGCTGTCAGGATCCCCTGACAAAATTTTCCCCTGTTTTTTTGGTTTATAATAATGCTAAATGACTAAGAAATTAAATTATTAAGTATATAGCAAGCAACAGCATGATAATGATCCAGTTCTTGGGCGTGGCTGAATATGTGGAAAAAAAAAAAAAAAAACTAAAGGGAGAGAAGTCCGGTGGCGTTGGCTTTCTAACAACAATATCAATGGAGAAAAGGAAGTCAAGAACCACCAAAAACAGAGAGATGTTGATGATGATGATCAGCTGAGGCTGAGGAGTTTAAAACAAAAGGGGGAGGGAATTTTGAGAGAGCGTCATGGCTCACGTCTATCGCCAATTTGACAAAAATGTTTTCGTCTTCTTCTTCTTTCTCCTTCGTCGGGTCAGTCTTTTTTTTCCTTTTTCTTTTACCCCTTAATAATTTCTGGTTTATTTTCAGGTATTTATGCATTTATTATGGACAGACAACCAAGATGGACACGTACCGGTTCTGCCTCCGCATTTTTCATTAGCCACCACATTTTTTTTTTGGTGTAAATTATTATGAGGAAATCGACATAACTTGGCAATACCTTATAACCTTACCTATCGCCCAAATCACAATGCTCTCTCTTCCGTGACTTGGCTGCCGTGTAAAAAATTGCTAGATACTCTTTCCGCATCAAATCTTTAAATTTGTAACCGTAAATTATTTTTCTGAGATAAAAGAAATAATTAAAAAATTCTTCTTCACCTTTGGTATAAAAAGAAATTGGAAGATGTTACGCATTTATAATGAGATTAAATTATTGCGAAATTCCACCTAACACTACGCTTGGAGGGGTAGTCAAATATCTTTGATCTGTATATCTAATTAAGATTTCGGATCAATCTATGGAAATTTCAAGATTTGGCTGCATGCAAATTATAAAAGAAAACAAAGCAGCGGTGATTAGAAACCTTTCAAAACTTTGGTGATAACCCTCATCCTCCATATCAACTACCAACAGGAAAGGAGACGTTCTTATGATAATAGGAGTACAAATTAATAAACCAGTTTTTTTGTGTGTGTGTTCTTTACCATATTAAGTATCTGTCTGGTAGTAGATTAAGCAACAAAACTGGTCGGTTAATCTGGCGATTTCTAATCTGACTATAACGATTTCCAAATACGAAAATAATATAGTACTCGCTCCGTTCCATAATTATTGTCTAGTTTGAGTTTTCATTTTTTGTTCAATTATACTAAAAATGAAATCTCAAACTGGACAATAATTTTGAGACAGAGGGAGTATAATAAGATTCCCAATCATGAAATGGTGAAATAAGAATATTCGCCCAAATTGAAAAAAGGAGAGATAAAGTTCACTGCGGACGTGTTTGAGACTTTCTTATACAGAGGAAAAAAGTGAGTAAGCAAGTGGATGTACTGCAAAAGCTTTCAATTCTGGCCAGAAACTACAATCGACCACGACGACTGACTAACGCAAAGAAGAAGAAATTTGTGTGTTGGTATCATTGTTTCGGCCTATATTGGGATCCCGAAACTTGTTGTCACTCAAGGCGATCAAGTGATTTCGTATTCCGAAATAAACCCAACGTTGTTGGTCGTACTCTTTTATATTGGTAGCTCCATTAAGGCATTAACTCTTGGGGTGAGATAAGGACTTGAAACTGACTCAACCTTTCCCTCAAAGAGAGTTCCTTTACAATTCCCTTGCGGTGCGCTTGTGCACGCCTTTCATGATACGTTCCGACGGACCACCATCGCACCACCACTGGTGCATACTCGTTTTATTCTATATGTCACCAAATAATTACTCCCTCCACTTCAAAATGTAGCTCGTTTTAGATTTGGAGAAATATTTCAAAATGTAGGTCATTTTAGGATTTCAAGGCACATTAAAGATTAACTTGCCAACTTTGCCCCCAATAAATAATGCTAACCACTTTACATCTAATTTTTATTATATTCCAAAACAATTAATGAAGGGTAAAAATAAATATTTAGCACACAAATTAATCATTAAATGATTGTCTCTTCAGTTTACGTGTAGAGACTAAAAAGACTTACATTTTAAAATGGAGGGGTATCAAATTTTCATTTTTACTACAAATTATACTAAAAAAGATGAAAATGTAAACATGGTATAATTATTTTGAGATAAATGAAGTATTTCTGAATACATTTACATTAGAGGCATATGCAACCTTAATTATTTTATTGGATTCAGGATCGAGATTTGATCGACCGACCCTAAATTATTGTCCGCAGTTGGATCTCCACGTTGAGAGCCAGTCTCTATGAAATCTTTTGGCCACTACATTTAACACCAGCAAAAACGTGGAAGGAAAAATGATAGTCTGCTCTACCTTGTACAGAGGCCACTCAGGAAGTTAATTGACCTCCCATGTAAATTCACCCAGTTAATACGTTTCAATAATTTTCACAACTTGATACCCTACTTGCTACTAAAAGTAGTTGCATCCATTAAGGCCTGACTGTTAAAATTATCCCTTTCCGGAATGAAATGATTCTCTCAACGTAAATAGATCTATATATGGTAAATAATGCCTGTTTTCTGAGCCTTGCAACCACAAGAATTTTTTTTTTTTTTTTTGAGGCAAAATCTCGTCCGATTGGATTAAGATCATGCTTTACTTCGCCCGTTAACGACGAAATAGGATAAGCTGCTGATTAAAGCCAAACTTTTCTCAAAGCCAACATTGACTAGTAATATGTTGTACTCTAATGGATTATATTAATAGCAAAGGGATAAAATTAATCAACCTTAGATAACTTAAGTTATTGGTTCATGCATGTTGATTCTAAATTAATCGGCCCTTTCTAGTTCCAGCTGGCTACTTGTTAGTAACAAATAGGTTGGGGATAGATAATTAGATTCATGTTGTAACCATAAAAACATTAGATTCATGTCCAAATCCAAGTGAGTCAGGACAAGTGTAATAACGCTGACATAAAACATGGAATAATAGTGGAAGTAGAGAAATTTATTAGGGCTGATGATGTATGATTGATGAGAGTCTATTTCTTGGGGTTCCAATGACGCAGGAGATGATGAAACTTGATGATAAGAGAAGTTGAAAGACCATCATATTCAATGATAATAATAGTCGAAACCAGAAAGCCTTCTTGTCCCGTAGTAAAAATATTCAGTGCAGATCTGTACAGGCAACAAAACCGCAGGAACCCAACGCCCCCCTATTTATTTTAAATTTTATTTGTCCTCATTTCGATTTTAGAGGGTATCAAAATTGATGAATATATGCGCCACATCACAGTGTCCGAAAGCCAAAAAAAGCAAGGGGGTCTTCATCTAAAATCGGACCCCATAAAGAAAGGTTGCAAGACGACTCATGTACCGAATGTCAAATAGCCATAAACGAAACGTCCAAAAACGACCAAAGAGAAACACCACTCCTTTTTGGGTTTTTTTTTTTTCCCCTTTTCTACATGGGTGAAAGAACATTGGCAACGATTCCAAGCGCATGTAGGGATCGCATTTTACCTTTACGGATTTTATTTCATTTAAAGTTGTTTTGAATGAACTTGGGATTGTTACGTGACTTTAAATAATTATTCTCTCCGGTCCTTATTTTAATTTGTTCTAAATTTTATTGATTGTGTGATTTTAATTGAAAATAAAAATCTTAAAAAAGTATTTTTATATTTATTGTGTTCTTCATATATTATGAAATATTTTTTAAAAAAAATTTAAATAAAAATAAAACTTATGACAAATTAAGACAATATTATAATAAGATTAGATGGATGAAATTTAAAACAAATTAAAATGCTTTATAATGAGAATTGAAGAAAATACCGGGATATGGGATATCCATGCATGTTTTTGTTTTCATTTTTCCTAATGGCAACATAAACCTCACACTATAGAATACCCTTTTTAATTTAATTTTTTTTTTCTCTCCTTTCAATCATTGACAGCTGCTTACACAAATTGTCTGTTCACACATATGTTTCGCTTTACACTTGTGTGGCTGGTACCAGTAAACACATTGGATAGTTTCCAACTTTATTGTTTTGAGGCTAAGATTCCAAATTTTGTTCGGGCTTAAACACATCTTATGTTGTATCTCTTTATTTTAAAATGACTGGGTAGATTAAATTTTCACTTTTATTTTGGAACGGAGATAATATTTTTTATTCAATACAAGTTATTGATTCAATGGTAAAATTATCTTTGCACTCAAGAAAAACTCCAATTTTGTATCCAAATTTGTTACTTCGAACTGGTCTATGATAGTTATCCTCTCACTATAGGTTACAAATATTGTAGTGAATGTAAGTTTACGCATCTCTAGTAGATTTCTGGTGTTACCCAAAAAAAATCTCCATGTGGGGAAAAAAATAATAGTTCATATTGAGTTTTCAAAATTGTGCTAGAAATAGTATAAATATTAAAATTCAATGTAGACTATTTTTTTAGAACGGAAAGAGTATTTAAAAATTTATTTTCACCTTTCACCATTTATATGTACGGACACACACTGATGGTAGTGCAGTTAAGTTACATATTATCTTTTCGAGATCGAGTTGAGTAAAGATAACTATTACGGGGTTAGTATTGAGAAAACGAAAAGGATTGCCTTTGCTGCGGGAATATTTTTAACCATTGACGGGCTGAATCCTTGGTTTCCTAGCCAATATTTTATGGATCAGATTACATGTTTTGGTTGTGTCACGACCGGGGACCTCAGGGAGGTGACCGGAAAAGAGAAAGGGGAGAATCAGATGGTGATCGAAAAATTGGGGGTACGAATTTGGGGAGAACGAAGAAGAAGAGATAAAAATTGGAAAAATCCCATTTAGCATAATATTTTCGATATTCCTGGTAGACTATTTATAGTCCACCTATTTTGAGAAATTACAATTTAGTCCTTAAGTTTCTAATTCTTATAATTAGGTCCAGAGGCGTGACAAACCCCTCCCATTAAAACAGTCTTGTTCCCAAGACTGTCATTACGGAGTTACTACTCAAAAATCTAAACAAACAGAAATTGATACCAACACTATTAGTGCTAAACAATTGAGAGTAAACAGAGATAAATGAAACGGGATCAAAAAACAGCTAGGTTGAGACCAAATGACACTTAGATCCGTTGTGATTTGGAAAAACTGCCCAGGTGAATCCTTAACCAAAACACAGCAAATCACCCCAACAAAGCTTCCCAAGACCACCAAAATGGAAAAAAGTGATCACTCGCTGACTCATTTATTGGCAATTTCTTATTTCATGCAATCCTCCAAATGAAATTCTCCTCATCAACTGTTATCACAGGGTCTATGCTGCCTTGGAAAATGGATGTGCCCCCTCTAAAAGTTGTTACCTTTTCGATCCAGCTATGATTCCAGTCTGCAGTGTTCCATGATCCATTAAAACTTGATCCTGCTGTTTCAGCTTCAAGGAGGATGTTTTGAGCTGCATTTGTCCAGCTCTCCACAACTTTAAGCAAATGAGAACCACCAGGATTCTGCCTTGCTATCTGTTCAGCAACAAAATTTGTGAAGTTGTAATGAGTATAATACATTTCAGTTCCGCTTAGAGTTACTAAATCAACCAACTTCTAACCCTCTTCCTTTGTCAAGAGGACATATCCAGGCGGTGCTTCCGCACTTAGCAGATTAGCTGCTTGGGAAGAGTTAACTTCAGGTCCATGTTGTTTATAAGATTTGACCAGTAAACCTGGTATGGTGTTCATAAAATAATTCCACTTGGTAACAGGGACATCATCCTCATTTTCTTGCACAGAGCGGTAACACCTGATGCTGGCTTTAATCTCATAGCTTTTGATATTGCCAGGATCAATAAGAAAGAAGCTCAGTTGTGTTCCAGTACTAAAAACAACATCAATGCCTTCACCAATGTTACTGACTACCCCATCCACATTAACAAGTCCATCAAAAAGATAGAAATTATATGCCAAAGTGTCGCACAGACCACTCGATTAATCACAAAATAGCAAAACAACACCAATATTACAGTCATTAAATTCATTATCATTCGCAAACTCAGATTTTATCAATTGGAGAAGATGGCTGACAAATGACTTCTCCTTCATGCTGTAGAACGGATAAAGAATTGTAGTACCACCTCTGAAGCAAGTTACACATTCAGACCAACTTTTATGCTCTTTACTGGTTTGTTTAACTGTCATTTCCATAGTATTTGGAACACTCACTTAAAGTTGTTGTTTGGTAATTTTCTCCACGCTAAAAATATCTTGTCATCAAGGATTAGATCGACAGAAATGGTCGATCTTCTTAAATCAGTACCACCTTGAAAACCAGTCGAAACTTCAGGCCAGGACTTAGTTACTCTATCATCGTCACCAAGTCTCGCTGTGATTAACTCATTGCCATAACCATTAGTCAACAAAGCTTTACGCAGGATTAAACCAAAATCAGTAGCTAACCACATATCACAATTTTTCCTCCAATAACCTCGTGTACAGTTAATTTTAATACCCATATTCTTGCAGCGAGAATTAACAAACCAATGTCCATCTCTGTCATAATTAATATTGTTCATCTTTCGAGTTCCTCCAAAAATAATAGAAAGAGGCTCGAGTCTTTACCACCATTGAAACGAGAACTCACCGCACCAAATACAAAGCAACCACGAGGAATCCTTCGAATTAAATTGTTCACACTAAAACTGTCACCAGGCTCCATAGTGAACCTGTTCAGTCGAATTCCAAGGTTAAAATGTCGGTTCTTCTCGCCATCAGTCACACAATCACTCTCTTTATTATTTCCTACCAATTGATTAAAAACAATTGCAGCTTTTCCCTTAGTTCCATAAACAACACCCATAATATTCGAGAACAGAGGAACCTTCTTCACACAACTCACAGTACAAGAATTCAGTTTCGCAGTTAAACCAGCATCATCATCAAATAGTAAACCACCCGGATCATCAATAAATGACACTTTAACAAATATAGGACTCTCAATATACTTCCAGCACTTGACACGATCAAATGAACTCTTATCAGCAGACACTCCATCTAATTTCAAAGAGTTATGGTTCAATTTCGAACAAGCATCATTGACAGAATCATTTAAACTCGAAGAATCAACACTCCAATTACTCAATTCTAGAGTCACTTCACCATCAATTAAATCCAAAATCACATGATCATTTTCTTCATTCAAATATGCAGGAGTGTCAACCTTGAGATTCCCACTATCTTTAAAAGGACAAAGTATACCAACAGACTCTTCTACACTAGCAACTTCAACAGGGCATTTAATTCCGTCCGGTACAACATGAAATGAGTTTTGGCCAAATCCACCGTTCCAGCAATGATTTATACAATCAGCAATAATAATTCATCACAATCATCTAAAATCATTTCACCATCAGGACAGGAATCAAATTTAACCATCCCAGTGTCAACATTCGAATCATTTGACATTAAAGAATCGACAGGCACATGATTCACAATACCCGCATTCAAAACCTTAAGCAATTCATCGTCATTCAACAACAGAAAAGCAACACTCACAACACTTTCTTCACCTGTTACCTCATTACCCTCAGAATTCATACAAGTAACACCCACACACTCAAGCGAAAAATTAACATCATCATTAACAGAGAGCATACTTTTACTAATGATTTTTCCAAAACACGAATTTATCATTCCACCTGGTTCAATAGCAAACAAATTCCGATGTTTTCCTTTATTATCAGCCCCATTCAATTTTTCAGAATCATGAACCAAAACTCTAAAGTAGCACTGTTATCATTCAATTCATGAACAAGGTGATCTTTAACCACAACCATAGATTTTCCCACCTCTATTTCAGAATTTTCTACCTTCTTGTATGAAAGGAGAGAAATATTACCATTTTCATCCAGTTCCTTCATCTCAGAGTCGAGGACTTGGAGCACATCAGCCGAAATTTCAGCGGATTCCTCCACTGGTGGATTAGCTCCTTCGTCATCTTCCAAAGCTAATTTACACCTGATGCATTCCTCAAATGAGGGGTCTGTGACTGGAACCTCTTCAATTGACGCCTCCCAAACATTAATCCTCTCTGTAGGTTGGATGTATTTGCCGAATCGAAGCTCCAGCTGGTACGCGAATTCCTCCCAAGTTGATAATTGGGAAACATAGGTCAATCCGTAGAGGATCCTCAACGGTTCACCGGCCATGTAGAAGGAAGAAGTAAATAGCTTCCAATGAGGTGAGACGCGATTATCAAAGAAAAATCGCTCAATTCGGTCAAGCCAGTCAGTGACATTCTCGCCGGGAAATAGGGGAATTCCGGACGACGAGGGTTCAGGGAGATCATACTGCGCCGGGTCTGGCGGATTTACTTCTGATGACGGACAAGATAGCAGGGTTTGAACCCGACGCTGGGTTTCATCAGATTTTATGAACTCCATCAACGAAAATGAAGCAGAACAAAATAAGGGCTTGGTGCGAACCGAAGAAAACGTAGAACGCCGCACAGATTTCAGAAAAGGAGGAAGCAATAGAGGTTAGAGTTCAGAGCGTTCGAATCAGAAGGGGAAGAAAAGAGTGAACGAATCTTGAATCCGATATAGAGACGGCCGAGAATCGTCCGCTCTGGTACCAAATGTCACGACCGGGGGCTCAGGGAGGTGGCCGGAAAAGAGAAAGGGGAGAATCAGATGGTGATCGGAAAATTGGGGATACAAATTTGGGGAGAACGAAGAAGAAGAGATAAAAATTGGAAAAATCCAATTTAGCATAATATTTTCGATAATCCATTTGCATTCCCTGGTAGATTATTTATAGTTCCATATTTTGAGAAATTACAATTTAGTCCTTAAGTTTCTAATTCCTATAATTAGGTCCAGAGGCGTGACAGGTTGTTAGAATATAGTAAATATAATAGTTTCAAATAAATTTAAGGCCCAAATTTGACCACACTTGGGGCGCTACATTAAAGGCCAATACGGCCCACTTCTGAAGTATAGAGTCAGTGTCCGTAATCAGAAAACCATTGCGAAACAGTGTTTCCCCAAAACCTGTCCCATCTGGAAAATTTCGGTGATTCGTTACTTGACTCCGAAGTCGTTTCAACTGAAAAAGCTCCTTCCTGCTCTACTTTATACATCGATTCAAGTTCGTAAAATCAGCAGCGATTAAAGTTTATCTTTCCATGACTGATCCAACGAGCAAAAGAAAAGAAATGCAGAGTAAAATGGCGTTGAGTAATCGGCATTCTTCTGGAATTGTAATTCGATCTTCGATTTCTACTCTGATGCTCTCCATGTTCGCTACACTTGCTTCCTTCTATATCGCTGGAAGGTGAGTATCATATTCATATTTATGGATTCTTCAACTTTCGCGTTCGGTTTGGCTTTTGAATTATCTGCTCAGTCGTTAGAGATTCGCTATTGATTTAAATCCGTGCTAATCCGGATGCGGTTTATCGGATCACGAATTTGGTTTCCATTTTCTGATTTTTCCACGCTTTCAAACATTAAAGGATATTAATGCAGATTTTTTATTCGTTGTTTTGCATAGATTGACAAATTGAAGTGATCGTAGATTTTTGATGATTAAAATTCTGTTTAGCCTGTTTTGAGCCTTTTAAGTGGCTTTGTCGTTCGCATTATTAGTTTAACAGGATTATTTATTTATTTTTAATTACCGTAATTTCGTGGATATAGGTTATGGCAAGATGCTGAAGGGAGGGTTTACTTGACAAAAGAGCTAGATAGAATCACTGGGCAGGTATGGATCCTTTTTACCTGATGTCGGATGCATTCAATTCCGTCGTGAATTGTTCAATAAATGCAAGTATCATGTATTACTGATGCACTGTCGTAATTAGGAAGTTGTGCCGTTGCCCTCCAAATGATGCTACAATGATCAGATTTTAGGTTAGAGATGAGTGCATATCCATTATGAATCTCTAATGAAATCTTATGGAGAGTATTACTAAACTGGCTGATTGATGATTTTGTTTTTAGATGCAAATGGATTTTTTCCAAATGCATCCATGAGTTCTTGATGACGTTGTATGAACTTGTTGGTCTTTCCTTTCAAGTTAACATCCACTATGGTTGGAGTTGGACTGTTTCACACTGGATAGAAAGTTTTCATCGTGGTCTATTGTATTTGCTCCGTCCTCAATGGTTTAAGATAACTTCTTTCTTTTGTGTTTAGGGACATTCTGCAATATCTGTGGACGATACTCTTAAAATTATTGCCTGCAGGTGCATATGACTCTCCTTGTGATTTATAGACCATTACTCACCAGCTAATGTTGTATTCCACGGTTGCTAGGGAACAAAGGAAGAAATTGTCGGCTATTGAGATGGAACTGGAGGCAGCTAGACAGGAAGGCTTTGTTTCCAGTTACCTAGTAGAGAAGGATAAAATCTCCGACAAAAGGCCTCTAGTTGTCATAGGAGTTCTTACAAGATTCGATCGCAAGAACAATAGAGATGCTATACGCAAGGCATGGATGGCATCTGGTATTTTATCATCTTTCTGTCTTATTAACTCTGGTCTAGTTTCAAAAGAACTGCTTATATGTGTTTCCCAACCCTGCCTGTTTGTTGCTGCTTCGTGGTATTATTTGGTCAACATTTATTTAATTTTTTAGTTTGCTGGTGTTTCAACTTTCAATTATATATGTATTATATTTCTATGATTTCTCTTTTTAGGCAGAGCTTCAAAAAAGCTGGAGGATCAGAAGGGAATTATTGCACGATTTGTGATAGGCAGGAGGTTCTCTTTCTCGTGCTTTCATTTTTATATCCTCTTCTTTAATTTATTTTTGGATTTAATTAGTGAATTGCCTTGCAGTTCCAATCGTGGAGATTCCTTTGATAGAAACATTGACATTGAAAACAAACAGACAAATGACCTTTTCATCCTAGTATGTCTCTGTCATCTCATCGAACCAACTGAAAAATCGATAATTTTCCTGCAGCACAAACCCTCTCTAGCTTTTCTTTCTAGAATATCTGTTTTGATGGAGGTTAGATGGATACACATTAAAAAACAGAAAAAGAAAAAACGTTACAGAGCCTTGTACTACATGGATATGTGATTATAGATAATGTGGTCTATTTGACAGGAAAACTATGTTGAAAAACACGAGGAACAAGCACAGAAGACAAAATTATTTTTCTCCCTCGCTGCAGAATATTGGAATGCTGACTTCTATGCAAAAGTTAATGATGATGTATACGTAAATATCGGTGAGCATTTTGGTCCCCTCTTTAAATAAAATAAATCTGAATCGTATATGTGGTGAACCTTGCTTGGGTTGTAAACTTGCATTTTTGGTGATAATCTTACTTAAGGCTTTTGTTACTCCATCTTTGTCCACTTATGTACCTTTAATTCTGACATGCAAGGTTTTTCCTCTTTTTGGGCTGCAGATGCATTTGGAACTACACTTGCTTCATATGCGGGTAAACCTCGTGTGTATATGGGCTGCATGAAATCGGGAGAAGTATTTTCTGAACAGTGAGTGTGCCATGATTGATCGAGCGAATATGGTTTGGAAAGTGAAAAATTAATTGTTATATCTGATAGTAATGTATCATGAGTCCACAAATTTGGCAGGAGCCACAGGTGGTATGAACCAGATTGGTGGAAATTTGGAGATGGAAAAGTGTAAGTACATAGTAGTATTATATCTGCTTTGTTTTCTCAAAAGGGAAAATAACTGCTAGGATATTCGATTTCTCTCATTTAATAGGGAACCCAAGTTAGTAGACCACCCCGATTACCTTATCGTATCCAGTTTGTTGATATTCTGCCTTTTCTTAAACTAGATGGAAGTATGTGTACTTTGAAGAAATTCTATGGAGGAAAACTTGGTTATCACGATGTACATCTTAAACATAAGTAGAAGTGCCCTTCAACTTTTTTAAATTCCAATAACTGTTTTCTTGACGCAATCTAGGCTCTATGCGCGTTATAATTAAATATTTTGGGGAAAAATGTTAGCTTATTTGAATAATCATAATCTGTTCAAAAGTCTGTAGTATGCAATGGATGGGAACTTCTGGAGTGGTTTGATTGTAGCATATCAATGCTTCTGGCTTCTAGTGATGCTATGTATGGCAATGGTTTTCACTTTTTTTCATAGTTGCTTTAAGTTTCAACTGATTCTCTTTTCTGCAGGTACTTTCGCCATGCATCAGGTGAGATGTTTGTCATATCAAAGGCTTTGGCTAAGTTCATCAATATAAACAGGTATGTTCCTTACTTTTTGGGTTAACAGCTTCGACATCCAGAATCATGGAAAGCATATAGTGATAACTTTTGGGTCCCCAGGTCCATTCTAAGGGCCTATGCCCATGGTGATGTAACTGTTGGTTCCTGGTTTATTGGAGCTGATGTTGAACATATTGATGAGAGGAAGCTCTGCTGCTCATCTTGGTCAACAGGTATGCTGTATTTGTGTTTCTGATAGTTTGAAATATCCGCGATGGATTTATGGTGGAAGACCTTTCCCATTTGTTACTCGCAGCAAAAAACTGAATGTATGATGATGCCTGGCTCTTGATGAAATTTGAGCTTTTGATTGGACTATCTGACTATCTTGATGCATGTTGCTTGTTCTTTTCAGGAGCCATCTGTTCAGGAGTTTAATGTATATATTACAAGTAATTGAGTATGTTCCATGACGGTAACAAATTCAGCCAGGTTTAATATACTTGATTGTGATCTAGTTAGCTTCAGCCATGCGGAGAACTTCAGTAGCTATGTTTGTTATCAAGTTCACGAGGAGTTATCGTTCTCATAGGCAGAAGGGACTGGCCTATGCTGACAGTCTTTTATTTCATCGAAACTTTCAGCATTTGAGCATGGTGGCTAGACATGTAGCAGATAAGTGAAAATGTTTAATGGATAAAGTAGGAAATAATAGGTGGCAAGAGAAAAATGGAAGCAGGACCTCGTTTCCTCGATTGTTTCCTCGATTGTCCCAGTTTATACATAGGAGAGAATGTAGAATTGAATGTACTGTATTTACATTTTCTGCTCTTATCTGCTTTTCTTTTGTTCTCTCCCTGTTTGAAAATTAAAACAGAAACAAGAACCAAGACATGTTTACTAATGTACAAATTAGTATGGATGCCCTCCAATTTATTATTCGTGCACTTCTTGTTGGTCATTGCCTACCTAAACAAATACTTTCTCGATCTCGAAGTGATTATCAGGTTTAGATTTTCATTTATTGTACTAATTGCTGTACAAGTGAAAATCCAAACAGAATAAATCATTTTGTGACAGAGGTCTACTACGTATACAAAATGGGTTGTATCTGGGGGGAAACCTTGTTGAATCTGAATGATTTCTGGCTTTTGCACAGTTTGGTCGGTAGTTAGCTTACTGTAACACTGCTTAGTCATTTTTTACTCCTCCCAGGGAACTGGGTTGAAAGTGGATCAGTTTTTCACTTTTTTTTTGTTGTTGTTGTTATTTATTATTAGAGTAAAATGTTGAAATTGTTCCCTTACATTTGCCCTTACTTGAATTTACATCCATTACATTAACATTTCAATATCGTAGTCTCAAACATTATAAGTTCACACTTTTTTGGTCCCATTTTACTGTTTCGACCACATTTCCGTCCAACTCGATGTTGACCGGCCGTTGACTTGACGAGGTCAGGGGTATTTTTGTCCTTTCACGTAATTTGACCTTCCATCAAATTAAAATCATTAAAAATATTAAAAAATTCATATTTTAAATTATTTAAATAGTATTTATTAATTTAAAATATTATTATAATATTTTAAAATTTATATTTTTTAAAAAATAGTTTTTTCATTTACCATTTAGCTTAGGTGAAAAGTAAACAGTAATTATTCTACATTTTAACCCCGGACCCACAATAAATTTATAATTTTACCGGATTACAATGAAAAATTCAAATTTGAAATTTTAAAAAAATAAAAAAATTTAAATTCGGGTTTTTAACCTGAATTTAAATAATTTGTAGGGTTAAAAACCCGAATTTAAATTTTTTTAATTTTTTTTAAAATTTAAAATTTAAAATTTTCACTGTAGTCCGGTAAAATTGTAAATTTACTGTGGGTCCGGGGTTAAAATGTAGAATAATTACTGTTTACTTTTCACCTAAGATAAATGATAAATGAAAAAACTATTTTTTAAAAAATATAAATTTTAAAATATTATAATAATATTTTAAATTAATAAATACTATTTAAATAATTTAAAATATGAATTTTTTTAATATTTTTAATGATTTTAATTTGATGGAAGGTCAAATTACGTGAAAGGACGAAAATACCCCTAACCCCGGCAAGTCAACTGCCGGTCAACATCGAGTTGGACGGAAATGTGGTCGAAACAGTGAAATGGGACTAAAAAAGTGTGAAAACATAATGTCTGGGACTACGATATTGAAATGTTAATGTAAGGGATTTAAATTCAAGTAAGGGCAAATGTAAGGGACCATTTCAACATTTTACTCTTATTATTATGTTTTTTTGTTTTTTGTGTGTGCGTGTGTTTTTTGTTTGGGAGTGGGAGTTGTTCGCTTACCAACCCAAAATTTAGAATTGTTCGGGAGTGGGAGTTGTTCGCAACAACCCAAAATTTAGAATTATTCGGGAGTGGGAGTTGTTCGCTTACCAACCCAAAATTTAGAATTGTTCGCGGTAAAACTTATGTGAAAGTCAAATTTGAATTTCGAGGTTGTGTTTTGTTTAATTTTCCTTTACTTGCAGTGCATATGATTTAGTTTTCCAGTCAGATGTCCTCAGATCCAAGAAATGATGCCTTGAACATGCCACTGGCCAATAATAATTTATAGAATGGGGAAGATAATATTAAGATTTCAATTATGTATAAAATAGAAACCACAAAACCACGACAATGCGCGTTTATATTATAAAATGTAACCTTGATTCATCCTCATCATGCCCGTCTATATACACATAATGTTGATGATCCGACAGGAGAGGTGAAAAAAAGAAAGAAGATGGAATTAACAGCTGAATGCGCTGGATATCTAGCCATCTTTACAGTTTTGGTCTTGAGTTTGATCATGAAAAAACAAACAGGAAGAAGAGACCAACCTCCCAGTCCACCATCACGTCCCGTAACAGGCCATCTTCATCTTCTGAAGGATCCACTCAACAAGACATTACAATCCCTTTGTGGTGAGTATGGGGATGTGTTGCTTCTTCGCCTCGGGGTCCGGCAGATGCTCATTGTCAGCTCCCCTGCTGCTGCTGAAGAATGCTTCACCAAGAATGACATTATCTTTGCCAACCGTCCGAAAACTATGGCTGCACAACACTTCAGTTACAACTTCACCACCATGAGTGTAGCCCCCTACGGAGAGCTCTGGCGAAGTCTTCGCCGTTTAGCAGCAACAGAGATTCTCTCTCCAGCCCGAATGGCTTCTTTTGGAGCCACGCGAAAGACGGAGATAATGTTGCTTCTAAGTGATCTGATGAGGAAGTGCAGTATGAATGGAGGATCAGCAAAGGTGGATTTCAATTCTATTTCTGCTGAGATCACCTTCAATATCCTTTCAATGACATTGGCTGGCAAGAGGTACTACGGAGCGAACACAGGCGATGATGAGGAAGCGAGGAAGACCAAGCTCATAATCAAAGAGATGTTTGCTAACAGTGGCAGATCAAACTTGGGGGACTACTTTCCTTTCTTGAGGTGGTTTGATTACAAAGGAGTGGAGAAAAAGTTCTCAAATTCGATGCAGAGAATTGATAAATTTCTACAGGATTTAGTAGATGAGCGCAGGCAGCTAATGCTATCAGGCATAGAAGCAAATGGAATCCGTGGACAGCATGAGAAGCCCACCATGATTGATCATTTGCTTAAGTTGCAAAAAGACGACCCAAAATACTACACAGACCAGCTCATAAAAGGAATTATAATGGTGAGTAAAGTATTAGTATTATTCTAATTCTAATCAGGGATAAGTTTAGGACGAAGAGATCATAATGGAATTGATACTTAATCATCTTTGCTGTTGGTATTTACAGATATTGTTAGTAGCAGTGACAGATACAGTATCAATAACAATGGAGTGGGCTATGGCTCTACTCCTTAACCACCCTGAAGCAATCGAAAAGGTCAAAGCCGAAATAGATGCTCATGTACCCGAAGACAGGCTTTTGGAAGAGAAAGATTTGTCTAACTTGACTTACTTACAAAATGTAGTGAAGGAGACATTGCGTTTCTATCCGCCGATTCCATTTCTGATACCTCATGAAGCATCAGAAGATTGTACGGTGAGTGGCTACAGCATCTCAAAGGGTACAATGTTGCTTGTGAATCTGTGGGCAATTCATAGGGACCCAAAGCTCTGGGAGAATCCAATGGAGTTTAAGCCAGAAAGGCATGAAGGAAGGAAACAAGATCAAGATTACAGCCTGATGCCATTTGGTGCAGGAAGGAGAGGATGCCCTGGAGCAGTGCTTGGAACAAGGATGCTGGAATTGGTGTTGGGAACTCTTGTTCAAGCTTTTGAATGGGAGAGAATTAGTGAAGAATTGGTGGACATGTCTGAAGGGAAAGGATTCAGCCTTCCGAAACTCAAGCCTTTGGAAGCCATTTGCAGACCTAGAGAAGCCATCTTTCGACATCATTTGATTTCCTGAATTCGCTTTTTTTTTTTTGTGTGTTGAAAAAGATCGTTTGATTTAGCTTGCTTCTAAATTCATTGGTGTCATGTCCCGATCTTCATGTTTTCAGGGTGATCTGCTGTTTGATTTTCTCCCTGATTATTTAGCAATCAGATTAATGATGAATAGTTAATTTCTTGGGTAATGTTATTATATTCATCGAATCTGTTGCAAACTTGCAATTTCGAATTGATAATATCCATCATCTCCGTTCGGTTCTGTTCACCACAATTGTAGTTGATGCGCCCATTATGGCATTATCCTTTTCCACACACACACACGGTTGAAATGCTAATGTAAAGATCAAATAGCAAACGTTTCCACTCAAATTGTAAGAAACTAAAAAAATTACTCCCTCTTTCCCAAAAAATTAGTTTTCAAATTTGTACTAAAATTAATACCAATCTCAAAACTTAATGTGGACTATTTTTTTGGGACAGAGGTAGTATTTAGTATGACACTGGAAGATTTAAGAAGTTCATCAATTAGAATATGAATGACACATGTGATATGATTATAGCTTAAATGAAACAGCAAACATGAAAAGTTTCCTTGCGATGCCTAGAGGAAAATGTTGTAACTTCAATGATTTCAATAAGTTTGAATCATCATGTATAACAGCTATATTATGGAGGGAGTACTATAGAGTTACTTAAATGTATTTTTTTATGTATATATGTGTGTCTAATATCGAAAAGTCAAACCTCGCTAGTCTCGTCTAACACGTGTCGTAACCATGACTGAATTTATGATAGCAAAGGCGCCGTACAGATTTCAGTACAAAACATAGAGTAGTAAATGTATAAGATATATGAACAGTACCTATTGGGAATATTCCCTCCTATACCTTCCTATAAAATTTGACTGGAGGAAAAAAAAAAAAAAAAAATGGGTTATGTCACCGCTAGGAACATTATTGTAGCTCTTTTACTAATTTGTGTGAGGAGTGATTTAGTAGTTTCTGCAGAGAACGATAACGTAAATGACTGGGAGAGGGATTTTGACTTGTACGTTGTGAGTGACCTCCCAGATAATGCCAATCTGCTACAAACTCATTGCTGGGGAATCAACAAAGGTGAAAAACAAGATTTCGGATGGCAAAACCTGCACGTCAACGAACGAGTCACCTGGAAATTCAATACGAATTTCTTTTTAACGGCTAAGTATTATTGTAGTTTCAGCTGGGGAACCAAGAAGAGAGAATTTGCTGTTTTCGATCACCGGATATATATGGAAGACTGCGGTCCTCTGTCCAGAAAACAAAATGTGTGTTATTGGCTGGTGAAATCAGATGGGTTTTATATAGCCAATGTAATTGATCCTCCTTCTGGTGCTTTGCGTAAAGTGAGTGATTGGATGTGAATGATAAGTGATGTATGGTTTCGTTTTATAAGAATGTAAAAAGAAGAAGAAGAAAAAAAAATGCGTATTATTAATTTTTTGCATCTTTGCTGTCTCTTTTTGATTTGAGAATGGATCTATTAATACTGGTTATGGAAAAATAATGGAAATCACATGATTGATGAGCGTAAGAATCATCTCAATTTTCCCACAATACATCTCATTTTGCGTTTAAACGCAAATAAAAAATGACTAATTCGCATTGTATTAGTCGTCTATTTGGTTTGCGATCTAATTTTGGTGTTTTCAGTTTTGACTTGGTTCTTGAACCATTGAAAATGACAAAATTGTTGCTTTAGAAAATTCTTAAATAAACAACGCATAGCAAACCGAGTAAAAACAAAACAACATAAAATGTTTTATTCTGTCCCAAAGTTTGATAGGGTCATTTTGTAACTGATCTTAGGTGAATTGAGACAAGCTAGCACACCTGAGATAATGTCCCTCCAAATTATAGAGTCTCATCTGGAACAGTTAGCGTGTTGGTATAGATCGAGATCGATCCTAGTCATTATTATTTAAAGGATCCAAATAACACTTCTTTCAACCAAAAGAAGAAGAAGAAACACGGTAATTTCCCACGACATACATTTAACATCAGATGTGGAGCAATCGGCCAAGAAACATACTTGGTGTAACCATAAAAATAGGTAACGGTCATTCACACTAGGGGTGTATTCGAGTCGAGTCGAGCCCGAATAGTAATATACCCGAACTCGAACTCGAATACTTTTGGTTCGACTTGAACTCGAACTCAGCGAATACTAAATTTAAAACTCAAACTCGACTCGTTGACAAATTTAATGAGCTCGAGCTCGACTCGATAATTTTTTAAACTACAAAAATTTAAAAGCTTATTTTTTTTAATGAAGTTATATATACTACTATGCAAATTGTTGCGAGAGAGAAAACTAAAATCTAAAATGTATTTTTTTATTTAACACTGAAATTTGAATTTTTATCAAAAATTAACTTAACCAAATGATTTAAGAAATAAAAGGAAATAATGAAAAAAGAATGGAAGATGATAAGTGAAAGAGCGAAGAGAATGCAATATAGTATTAGATGAAGGGAGATGGGCTGTTGATTGAAGATGAAAAGCGAGACTGGGGAGAAAACATGTGGGAATAGGGAAGAGGGAGGAGAGAGGAAGGTTGGCCGATTTTTTTATCTGAAGGAGGGGAAGGAGGATGAAAAATTAGAAGAGTGAAATAAGATTCATGAAGTAGAAAAGTAGATGAGACGGTGAAAATGGGTGGCTGGGCTGCTTTGATCTGCTTTGATCGACAAAACACATTATAGATACTTGGACAATAGTAAAGTGTTGGTAGAAACTTCTAAAATAATTACATTATATATGTACATTAAAAATAAAAATAAAAATTATATTATTAAATATTTGAGCCAAACTACTCGTCGAGTTTTCGAGCTCGACTCGATTAACCAACGATATTACTCGAATTTGGTCACACTCGAGTCGAGCTCGAGTCGTTGACCGAGTTATTCGTGAGTACTCAAACTCGACTCGGTTCGTTTAACACCCCTAATTCACACATTTTCACCGCGGTTAAACACTAGGCCACTCTCTCATTGGCGCATGTGTATACAATTTTGGATATATAAACATCTTGTTTTCAAAACGAGGAAAAAAGGCCCCATTTTTTACATGTTCTTCATGGCCTAGTGTTTAATTAGCTACGTAATCAAATGTTGAAACATGATATCACAAGAATTAAACTTTTTTCTAACCCTATATTTATAGCAACATCATCATTTCATGATATAACACTGATTTAACCATACATTCGTCAACAAGTTAAAAATATATATATAAAAAAAAATTAAAGTTAGTTTTCAAGTATTTTACCCTTACGAAAATAATGCGGGTATTCCTTCCTTCATATCTTAAAATTCCTACTTATTTTATGCCCTATATTCATATTAAATATAGTAACTAGTATGTTGTAAGGATAATTCGAAATTAGATCATGGGCAAAATTTAAATATATTTTTTAAACACCCGTTAACTAACTTCACATAATCAAATTCTAAAACATGATTTTGCTCACGAGATGTTCGTAATTTTCACAAGGATTAAATTTTTCTCTTACCCCATATTTATACCAACATCATCAATGGCGGAGTTAGGGGGACGAAAGGGCGTCGTACCTGCTCAATTTTTTTAATCAGTAGATATATCCTCAATTTTTTATAAAGAATTATATATTATATAATTTTTCGTACCCCTACATTGATTTCCTAGCTCATTGGTAGTTTTTTTTTTTCTAAATTTTGCACCCCATGTGTTGATTTTCTGGCTGTGCTACAGAACATCATCATTTCAGTGAAACAATACTAATTTTAACTATATGTTCATCAAAAAGTTGAAAAAAGAAAATTAAAATTTATTTTTTTTATGTTTTTTACCGTTAAGATAATAACGTTGGTATTGTAGGTATTCCTTCATATCATAAACTTTTACTTATTTTTTTACTCTATTTTCAAATCAAATTTCTAACAAATATGTTATAAGGATAATTCAACTTTAGATCATGAGCAAACTTTAAATATATTTTATAAACACTTGTTAACTAACACGGCATATTCAAATATTGAAATATGATTTTGTTGATGGGTTGATCGTAATTTTCACAAAGATTAAAATGTTCTCTTATCAAATCATCCTTTTTATTGATACAATGCTGATTTAACCATATATTCATCCACTAGTTGAAAATTATAAAAGAAAATTAAAGTTCATTTTCCAAGTTTTTTACCCTTACGATAATAATTCTCGTATTGGGGGTGTTCCTTCATACATTAAAAATTTTTATTTACTTTTTGCTCTATATTCATATCAAATTTTTAACTATTATGTTGCAAGATAATTCAACTTTAGATCATGGGCAAAAATTTAATATATTTTTAAAACCCTCATTAACTAACACCGCATAATCAAATTCTAATACATGATTTTGCAAATGGGGTGTTCGTAATTTTCACAAGAAGTAAACTTTTCTCTCACCCTATATTTGTACCAAAATCGTCATTTCAACGATATAATACAAATTTTACCATGTGTTCTTTGAGTAGTTGAAAATTATAAAAGAAGATTAAAATTTTACACTCAGTAGACCCTGATGATAATAACGCTGCTATTGGAGGGGTTCTTTTATCTCTTAAGTTTTTTTTCTTATTTTTGGTTCTATATTCAGATCAAATTAGTGACTCTTATGTTGCAAGGATAATTCAAAATTAGATTCTAGGAAAAGTTTAAATTTATTTTTTAAACACCCGTTAACAAAATCCACATAATCAAATGTTAATGCATGATTTTGCTGAAAGGGTGTTTGTGAAAAAGGTATTTGTAATTATTACAAGGATTAATTTTTTCTCTGACCCCATATTTACCAACATCATAATTTCATATCATACTAATTAACTATATATTAATCAACATGTTGCAAATATAAAACAAAATTGAAGTTCATTTTTTAAGGGTGTTAGTTTTTTAAGCCACTAACTTTAGTTCTTTCAACCACAAATTTTTAATTTGGACCATTTTACTCATGTCATTTTTTCAAATCAAATAACTTGACTAGAGAGAAAATTAAAAAAAAAAAAACGACCGACCGTACAATAAAACCGTCCCGAGTTAACCCGGAACGGGTAGACCGCCCGCCCACTTGTTTGCCCAAATGGGTTCATTGCCCGTCCCGAGTTAACTCAGGGCGGTTTCATTGCACGGTCAATCGACCGAAACCGTTCCGAGTTAACTCGGGATGGGTGGACCGCCGGTCCCGAGTAGGCAATGAACCCGTTCGAGCGAACAAGTGGGCGGACAGTCCACCCATCCCGGGTTAACTTGGGACGGTTTCATTGCACGATCGGTCCCGGTTCGGTCCGATATGGTGAACCGGTCCAGTCAGACCCTTTTTTTTAAAAAAAAAATTTTAACTTTTTTTTGTTATTTTTTTTGTACTTTAAAAAAAAGCAATATTTGTTATTTAAAAAAGTCTAAGAATTAAAAACATATCAATCGGGTTCATTGCTATTTTTTTAATTTTAATTTTTTTTAATTAGTTAATCTAGTTTTTAGGTCATTAAAATCTTTATTCCTTAAATTTATGAATAATTTATTATTTGAGTTATATTAAGTATCTATTTATTATCCCGTTCTCTCCTCTCTCTTTCTCCTTCCCCTCCTCTTCTCCTTCTCCTTCTCCATTAATCACATCTATAATTTACATCAAATTTACATCAATTGGTCTCTATATTCTTTGTTTTCTTTCATAAATTGGTGATTTGGGTTACTACAATTCTTTCTTCTCATCCTTTCTCTTTCTCTACCACTTAATTTTCTTCCCCATCTTCTCTTCCGTATGAGGATGTGGGAGATAATTTGTCTCTAGTTTTAGTTTTTCTTTAATCGAATAAATTTAGTCCGTCAGCATATCTTTGATTTTCTAGACGTGTATTATCTGTTAGTAGATCTTGATCTACTTGGTGTTAGCAGTCTGTCAATAAATCTCTTATATTGATTGTTATTTAGTTCTTTTGTGATTGTGTGTGATCTTTAGTTCATAGTTTTGTCCATGATTGTACTGTTATAGTTCATAGTTATGGTTTATGTTCGAGGATTTACAGTTAAAGTAGAGCTACGTTTTAGATATGCTTTTTGGAGCCTTCATTTGATGATAAGTAAAGTTTGCGAGATCGGGCATTTTCTATGGTACGTGATGGTTCCAACTAGTATTTACGGGTGCTACAGAAGAGTTTAGTCATTTGGTCCTCCGTAATAAAGACGGTCGGTTGATTCTTAGAAATATAATTTTAATTGATTGTAATATGTTAGTAGTTGTAATCCACTGTCAATCGTGGTTGGACGTTTTCCAACAAAGTTAATTAAAGTCTCTCTTTATCTAAAAAAAAAAAGAAGTATCACCAATCTATGTAGCACAAAAAATAGTTAATCTGTTTGCACATATTTGTCACAATCTTTGTAGTACAATTATTATTTTTGATTATAAATGTATAATTATTATTTTTAACTAAAAATTATCTTAAAAAATAAGGATTGAAGCAAAATTTTATATTTTAATATCAATTTAAATAAATTAACTTAACGAATAATCTTAAATTTATTTTCAAGTAAAAATTAATTACTTGTTTATTTTCAAGTAAATATAAAATTGAGAGTTTAAGCACTAAAGTATAAATATTATTAATAATATTAAAGTACGAGGTATTCAATATGCAACGATACTGCGAATAAACTAACATTAAAATAAAAATTAATAATTTATCCGTTTTCACGTGAATCGGACCAGATGACTTGCCCGGTTCGGTTCGAGTGGCTTATTCTCTCTCTGTCTTTCTGCCCATCTCTTTCTCTCTCTCTCCTTCAATTTGGTTTGATTAAATGGCGGGACAAAATGGTCAAAATTGAAAACTTGTGGTTGAAAGTTCGTGACTGGAAAAATCCTCCCTTTTTCAAGTCTTTTACCCTTAGCCTTAAGATATCGGGAAGGCGCGTGTTTTTACTTTCGCCTGCTTTCTTCTTCTCGTGACTTTTCTTAAGGAGGAAAACACTACAGATTTTGGTTCGAAAGCTCAGGGAAGCTTCGTGCATCAGTAAACATCCTTCCAATCAGTAAAACTGTTCCTTCCTCACTCTGCAGAAGATTTTCTTCGCGTCCGTATAATATATTCCCGGGAAGATCCCGCCGGCGTCGGGTATTTGTTTGGGTGATTGGTGCTCTAACCGATCATGGACTACGATTACAGGAATCGACCAAGGCCTCCGTACGAAACACAGAATCCGGCTATTAGACCCACCAACAGCGGCCTCCACCCATCGGCCCATCCTATGTACGGCCATCCCTCGCTTTACCCTAAGGTCGGTCAACCGGCGGGTTCCTATCCGATAAATGCTCCTCCTGCTGTCCCTCCTCGGAACACTTCTTTCAATCAACCCCATCCTCCGGCATCCTCTCGTGAGTAATTGAGGTTTTCATTTGTTACCGGATAGTTGACACTTGATACATCTACGTCTGTGTTATAGTAATATTCTCATGATTCTTTCTTTTTCTTTTGGAAAATGTGCAGCTGGGATTGGGATTAGGGTTGTTTTGAAGCCAGAGTATCGAATTACCCCACCGGTATGATTGACTACCTGGAACTGGCCTCTTTTCCGTTTAATTTGTTTCTGAGTATAATTGATTTAGTGTAATGATTTCTGTGTTGTTCAGTTCCGTATTTTGATCTTTAATATCCTCTATTCCATTATAGCAGTTAATTAGAAGATTCTACCTGTGGATCAAACCTAGTTTGCCATTAACCCATTTCAATTGAAAATGTATCCTCAAAGACTCTTTTCTATATTTCCCTGATGCTTCAGCTGGAAATATTAGATAAGTTTTGATGTGAATGTGATCAAAGCTGTAATGCTGGTGTCTAGTACACTACTTAAGCAACCAGTTAGAATACTTAACCTGCTGAGTACTCGTTGAGGATTCGTATTCTATGTTGTAACTTGCTCAAAGAACCTATGCTTTAGGCTTTGCCCTAATTTGTTTGGGAGGAGTTGACTGTCTCTTGAGTCAGATTTCTGTAGACGAAGAAGCTCTTTTTGTTTTTGCCATTGCCTGAATGTTAATTTGTTAGATTAGCTAAAATTTGCTTTTTTTCAGTTCCTAATACTGTCGCAATGAAACTTATTTGTTTTACTCCACGCCACCGTAATCCTTGTGATCTTTTAAAAATGTGAAAGAGCTCCATTTCCAGTAGTACCAAGCAGTCTCATTTATTTTTGGTTAGTGTTGACTGTTCACTATGTATGCCCATGTAGCTCTTTTTGTTTCCTTTTTACCCCTTATTGACGATAGTGACCCATCCATTACTTATAATAATTGATTTTCTAATTTGGTAGCCTCCGCTGTCTCCTCAAATTCGAGACATTCCTCGAAGCAATTTCCACTTTGATTTTGAATTTGAGAGGAAGGTTTTGGCCGAGGCAGAGAAAGAGGCCCCAAATTGGAGCAGATTGGGACTGGAAAACCTTCCGTCCAAACCTCCAGATACTACACCGCTGGTATGCCCCTTTTTTGTTCAAATTTATGAAACTGTGGGACATGCGACCTTCGTCCTAAGCCATGATTTGTTTGTTTTCATGTAAAAATCTTTGTTAATATATGTTGACTGGGACCTCTTCGGTAATTACAGGGAGCCACACCCGACCCCGTAGTGAACAAATATATTGCATCAGGTCTCGGCAGAGAGGCTGTGAGCGTAGCAGTAGCAAACTATGGAGATAATCCAACCAAGGTATATTTGCCCTTCATTGTTTTTCCCTCCTTTCCTTTGGTTCCTTGCACGCATTAAGAGTGTTGTTCTTCTTTCTTCTATATTTAGAAAAGTTGAGTTTTGAAATTAAGTTATTGCTGGGATGGTGGTGAGTGATTCTGTATAACCTTTTTATTGGAAGAAAGCTTCCATGATTGCATGGAACTTTGACAAATCGTTTTACAACTTCTTCTCAGGTTAAGGAATTCTGTGATGGTTATTCTGCTTTGCTTGAAATGGGATTCTCACCAAACACTGTTGTTGAAGCCTTACTGATGTATGAAAATGATACCTCCAAAGCATTGGCATTTTGCCTAAACGGTTCGGCCTAAAGATGCAGTTGCTGTTCTCCTGATGGAGTTGCTCTTTTTGTGCTTGTATTCTAAGTTCCTGAGTGAAAGCATAATACAGGTTAATTGGCTGGAAAGGAGAATGAACCGCTTGCTCGTTGAGATACACGTCAGTATTTTATGCGAAATGCAAATTATGTACATAGGTATCTTAGATTTGTTTACCTAAATTTACAGAGATTCTTGCTTGCTCTGTAGGTATAAGTAACTGTCAGCTTGTAATTTTTTCCCAAATTATGATTTCCCTAATTAAAGAAAAAGATGATGCAACGGCAGGATTATGATTTCCAAAATTAGAAATACGCACTTCACTCTGCACTTAACATTTAGTTATATTTACATTAGTGGTTCTGAAAATGAATGATCACAGACCAAAAATGTGGTCACTAGCACCAAATATGGCAGCACTAAACTGTCTCGTATTCAAGTCATTCCCATCAAGAGCAGAACCAAATCGATCAAGCCATTGCGTTGGACTAGAGTTCTCTGTTTCCTCCACCCATTCTGATGACATATCTATGTCGTCAAGCTGAAGTAGATCCACTTCTGAAGACTGTGATAGCATAGATCTAGCTAGCTTGAGATTGTAATGAATGTATACGAGATCATTAAAAGCTTCCTTGTCAATCTTATTGCGTTTCTCAGAATGAAGTTGCTGGAATGTGCTCCAGTGCCTCTCGAAAGAAAAGGTACCACAGACCTGGCTAAGTATCCTAATGGCAACTCTTTGTAACATGGGAGCAGCATCACCGAATTGTTCCCACCAAATTCCTGCAATGCACGTCCATGAATAAATGTCAGATGCAAATTCAGAAAAATGACTTTACAACAAATGTAACCATAATTAGCATCTGAATGTGCAGAAATATATTATATTTGACGTGGAAGCAAGACCACCAGTCTTCGACTTCGGTACTCATAGCAAAACTCAACACAACATTCATTCAACAATCTGTGCATTTCTGGATTTCAAGAAAAAAGAACTACCACTGTGTTGACACACACAAAACGGAAGTAACTGAATTCTATTCCAGATTATTCATGTTATACGACATTCAAAAACTGGACACAAGGGACTTGATGATTTAACGGTTGATCCAGACAGCAAAGATTGTTAGCATGAAAAAGAAAGCATACCTGGTGGAACAGTATCAATTGCTTCCTTCGCCAGATTACAACCAAACATGCCGGATGCTCGGGTAAATAAAAGGATTTGATTTGTTATGTCTCGTCTTAGTTCAGGCGTTGGCAGTAGTTTCTCCAATACCCTGTAAAAATCTTCTTTGATAGATCCAATAAATTTTATTTCTGGATTGTATTGGATGCTAGGATTGAGAAATGCTGCAGCAGAATGCAGAGGTGAATGGAGGTTGTTATGCCACTTGTTATCAACAATATCTAAAAATGTAGCACACTTTATCTCATCCATAATGTAGTATGTCCTGATTGACTCTTTTGCCCTGGTCATCAATTCGTAAATGAACCCTACCGCAGGCTTTCCTCCCAAGATTTCCCTCATCACTTTTAAGAAGGGTTCAGAAAGGGAAACACATTCATCCACTGCCCTCCAGAAATCATTATCATCAAGAATGCCAATACAAGTCAAACTTTGAGGTTTACTTGCAAAAGCTGAATTTGCTGAGAACTCAGGGCTAGTGAACATATGTTTCAGTCTTGCCCTCTGCTTCAACATAGATTGTAAGGAGAGGAAATCAGAAACAGGTTTTGTGATACCTGACTTGAGGATGTCCTGTCCACCAGTGAACTTTTTCATGAGATCAAGAAGCGATGAAGTATTGTAAATGAACTTTGAAATGGTTTGTGTCTGAACGATACATCTGTTGACCCAATCTACTTTAGAGAACTCCTCTAAGATTGCATTCAGGCACTGCCAAGCACAAGGTGACACAAAAATACTGCCATAGTTTTGAAGAATGTGGTTCACCAAACCAGTGCAATTAAGAGTGGTATCCAATATAATTTGCACAACGTTGTCTTGCCCAATTTCTTGAATGACCGAGTCAAACAAATCGGAGAGGAACTTGATATTCTTGAAATTCGGAGATGCATCTACTGATTTGTGGAAAAAAGTCCTAGAAGGTGATGAAACTAAGAAGTTAATAAGAGCTCTCGATTTGTTGTCTGTCCATGTTTCGGCAATGATAGTGCAACCAGTCATAGGCCATTCTTTCTCAATCTCTTTTGATTCCAAGGTTACTTCAGACTTGATTCTTTCCAACCATACAGTTTTCAGGGATTCAGGAGATGGTCCTGTGAATCCACCTCCACACTTAGCTATAGCATCAATCATTTGTTGATAAGTTGAAGAACGGGCCGCGCTAAACTCTAGTTTGTTCTCGAAAAAGAACAAAGCAATGCACCTCTCTGCACTTTCTTGATCACTCAAGACAGGGCCATTCAACATCATTTGCATGGAAGTCGGAAAAACCTTGCCATGATGAGCAGGAGGTGGTTCTGCAGGTTCTAAACATTTACCTATGGAGATGCTTATGGGAGATCTTTCTTCAGCTAGCTTCTGTTTCTTTGCAACCGGAGCTTCTTTTCCATCGTCCTTGAATGCTAATAATGCTCTTACCCTGTCAGTCACATCATCCCTCACTTTGCTACATGGATTTACACCTTTGCTGGGAAGCCGAGACAAGTGATGTTTCAATCTGCTAATTCCACCATTCAGCACTCGAAGACAGAACTTACACCTTACTTTGTTCCCGTCCAATTTATCAGCATAATCCCAGCAAACATCTTTCTCCCTCACCACTGACAAACATTTCTAAATTTCAGTAACCAATTTTTCTCATCTTTGGATAAGCAGACATCAGGAAATTCTCAGAAGCTTTGTCCAAACATTAGGTCATTTAAAGTGTGGATAAGAGTAATGCTTGGGCATGATGGCTTGTTCCCACAGAATTCTAATTTTTTCAACAAACAAAAAACCCTTATGCATTCTTCATTACTTTCTAGTATCTACAGTTCCTCAAGCAACTCCACTTTTTTCTCGGTTCCTCTAGTCAACCTTTAAAACAACCCAGATTTAACATCTCCCTACACCTCCAAATCCACCAAGAAATTCCCACAAAAACGCGGTCCAAAGTACTCCTACCCAATCAAAATAAGTTAAAAATTTGTCTGTTTTATTCAGATATTGGTCCAAAGTCAGTGAAATTCTTCCAAAAACAGCTTTTCTTAGATATTGTCCTTAAGTGACTTGCACTAGACCTAAATTCCAAAAACCTAATACAGAACAGATCCATATTTAGTTCAACCAAGTAGTATCTAACATCATCTCTTATAGCCCACCGAAAAATTGTTTCATCAGTTCAAATAAAAAAGATTCGATTATATCGACGAGTTTTTTTATTTTTATTTTTCCAGACTAGACTAGATGCTCCCATTTTCTCAGTCAGTATAGAGTAAACAGAGGGAAAAGGGAAAAGGAAAAACAAAAAGAGGAGAAAATAGCGAGAAACACGAAATATAAAACTTACTTGGAGATACCCAAAAGATCTTATCGGTGAAGAAGAGCGAAAGAAGCGGAATTCGCAGAACTTTTTTGAAGGTCAGCTCGCTGTATGGTGTTACTTGCTGGTACATATCGCGATATTTTGAGGATTGACAAGAGAGAACCTTCTTGGGCCATCAGCTCTCCAGTTGGGTTTTTAAATTTGCCTTTGGAGTTTGGACAAATACAAAATTGTTTTTATCTTCTCTTCTTCTCGTTTGTTTGTTGGGTGTTGTCCACTTCTTCTTCTTCTTTTCTTTTTTTAATTACTTTTAGAACAGTAGAGGGTGGCTTAAATTACTTTTAGAGTGGAAAAATCACGTAGAAAATCACAAAATACAAATACTTAAATGCTTAACTCTAAACAAGAAGTCTAAAAATCGATAAATGTGATTTAATTTACATTATCATTTTTCACTTTTTCACTATATTATTATTTTCACTCTTATCATGTTAGGAATAATGATTTGAGATGAAGTTGAATATATGACACAAAAAATAAAATAAAAGAAATGAGGATAAAAAAAGAAAAGTGGAACACATGGAAATTTAATGAAAGAGAGATACAATAAAAAAAAAAAAAGGAATTAAAGGAAAATAACAATTTGAGATGAATTTGGTTTTGCATTCAAATCTCTATAAATTAATACAATTGAGCCACCAAAAATTTTATTAACTTTTGTAGTTGTTAATTTATCAATAAATCAATATTATTAATTTAATGAATTTCTCGATCATAGTAATAAACATATTGCTAAATTGATTATTTTCACAAATAGAAAAGTCGGTTGCTTTCCGATTTGTATAATTATAATTTTTGTTATGTCACAAATAGATTACATCGCTAATATCAAATAAATAATTAAATTAAATCCTAATTTAACCTTCAAATCTTCCCTTTAATTATTTTGAATATTTATTAATTTACGAAATATGGAGACATATACTCACATAGCGTATTTTTGAAAATATCATATTATTTAATCGATTTTCTTCATCTTTTATTTGAATTCTAAGTTGAGACTGACCAAAAAATATTTTTACTATTATTTAAAAAGTTTATTAATTTATAGATAATTAATTTATGAAAGTTTTATGGTATAATGCAAAAATAAAATGTAAGGAACGAGGACAAAAAGGAACACTGAAACATCTGAAAAGCAGAAAAAGCATCGAGAGAGAAAACAATGGTAGAGAAGGAAGAATAAGGGGCGAGAAAAATGTGCGATAAGTAGCATTGTGGCGCAAACCAAATTAAAGGAAAAAAATTTATACACGGAAGCTACTCTTATCAGAGCCAGGTTTCGATCCTGGGACCTGTGGGTTATGGGCCCACCACGCTTCCGCTGCGCCACTCTGATTTATGTCTTCTGGCAGACAAAAAATAATATAAATAGTTTATTTACTAACACACATTCACCGGGCTCCGTTTGAAAAGTTTATTATCCTTCTATCTTTCCTCTCCATTTTCCCTTTTATGTTTATAATCCCACATGAAAATTTTGATAAACGCCTCTTAACTAAATAAGAACATTGAATTTAAACCATATATGTGAATCACAAAGAGTAACTATTTGCTAAAAAACCATGCAATAAATTCAACCATAAGTATTTTTTCATATCAATTGATCGATACTTATTTAATCTAGATATATAAGTTATTAGCGAAGAATATGTTTTTAGAAAAATATAAATGATGACGTTCCATCACACAATGCTAAACAAGTGACCCTAACATGTTTGCGTGAAGAACATTGAGACTTGAGACTACTATATAAAATTACATTACATTTACTCATTTCCTTAATATAAGACATTTTGATTTTGTCATATGTTTAACCTAGTATGCATTTTTAGTTGATAAAAAAAACTTAAAAAATATTTCATAACAATCACGAGAATATAAATTTGTACTAAATGAAAATATTTCATAACAATCACGCGAATGTGGAAATATAATTTTAAAGTTTTTTCGTCAATTAAAAATGTGTACTAAATGAATCCTAACACAAAAACAAAATGTTTTATATTAAGGACCGGAGGGAATATTAACAAGCAACAATGGTATAACTTTGAAAAGGAGGGAAAGTTCTAACTCATTGATTAGGTGGAGATGAAGGTGATTGTTACCAAAACTGATAAAGCGGAAAAGGGTGACAAAAATCACTCAACATTATTCAACAATGGAGACGTCCTCCTAACGAGAAGATCTAAAAGTCTAAACTAAAGATCGATCCCAAAGTCAAAAGTACAGCCAAGGACGTCTGAAAGACAGATAATACTCAAATATATATTAATTAAACTAATCACATTGGCATGCCCAACAAAGCATTAGGCATTAAACACTAAAAATTCCAAGTTACTACTTTACTATCTAATCTGTCCTCACTCCTCAGTCCTCACATTCCAGATTATTAGATTTCTAAATTTTCTAGTCAAATAAAGTTAAAAAAAAAAAAAAAAAAACATCATGGGAGGTTTCCTTTTTGTATACGAAATTTCAGTAAAACGTGGGCGAAATGGTTTGAGCAGCATTTCCCCCCATTTCTGTCCCCATTAGCCGGAACCACCACCTCCACCACCCCACAACCACCGCCATTCTTCCATAATCCCCGGACTCATAATCCTCTATACAAAGACCCACTTGTTGTGTGGATTGTGATTTTTATCGTTCTTGATTGTTTCTGAAAATACAATAGTAATCTCTCTGGTGATCGATCTTCTTCTAATATATAAAGTCAACAAGACAAAAGCTGACGGGATCGGCACGTGCTCACTCCCGCTCTTCTCGCGCCATTCCAGCTGAGATCCACGAAGAATTAAAAACCAAAAATAAAGTCTGGAATTAAGCAAGTTAAACAACTCCCACTCTTCTTGCGTTTCTTCTTCTGATTCTGATTACTTCTTTTCACTCGCAAGTCACAACAATTTCCCAGTCAGTCATTATTGTTTTTGTTCCCCACTTCCCAATCATTTTTGCTTCTCCCAGCTGTTCTACAGTTCTTTTTTCCTTTCTTTTTTTAATTTAAAAAAAAAATCAAAATCATTCTCCTCTCCCATCCCTCTTCTTTCACTGGGATTCCAATATTCTTTCCTTCCTTCCCCATTTCAGCTCTGGGTCTGATCAGGTCAGTACGTTCATTCTTCCTCCTTTCTTTTGATAATTTTTTTTCCACTACTAAATATTAAAAAAAAAGGAAATGAATTAAATGGCATGGATGATTGCGTCTAAGTCAGAAAATGACGAAGGAAGGCAGAGGAAGTAATGTTGAGTAGTAGTTGACCGTAACGGTCCCGCGTGCCTCTTCGTTTATTTTAATCCCCTCTGTTTTCTTGACGTTAAGCAAATGTATGAAGGCTTGAATCATCTTTGATGAGCCGGCATTTCTTCATTATTACTACTATTAAACAGGAATAGGTGGCAGTCTTCTTGAGTATCAATTGGGTTTTTTATTCCCTCATTTTATGCTTTTCTTCTGTTTCTCAATTTTATATGGTGTTTTACTTTTATTACAGCAAAAATGGAGCTAAAAGAGTGAGCTTTTTTCACACTTTGATGTTTGCAATTCTGGGTTTCAACTGATTAAGGGAAAAACATGGGCGGCGGCGTCATTGGTTTCAAAATTCTGTTGATTTTCTGTTGTGGGGTTCTGTTTCTGCGGGCTAGAACTGAACCCATTGAAGATAAGCAAGCTTTGCTTTACTTTGCGAATAACAGTTCACACTCCCGGCCTCTGAATTGGGATGTGAGGACTTCCGCTTGCAATTACTGGGTCGGCGTCACGTGTAACCATGATCAATCCAGAATCATTGCGGTTCGGTTGCCCGGATTTGGTTTCCGGGGATCTGTTCCTCCGAACACTCTCAGTCGGTTGTCGGAGCTTCAGATCTTGAGTCTCAGATCAAATGCTTTTACTGGGCCTTTCCCTTCTGATTTAGCCCAACTCCGCAATCTGACTTCCCTGTATCTTCAGTTCAATAGATTTCAGGGTCCGCTGCCTGAGAATTTTTCGGTTTGGGAAAATCTGTCTGTTCTCAATCTCTCCGGCAATGCTTTCAATGGTACTATCCCTTCCTCCATCTCCAATTTGACTCATTTGACTACTTTGATTCTTTCCAACAACTCATTTTCGGGTGATATCCCTGATCTGAATATTCCTAGTCTTCAGCTACTAGATCTTTCTCATAACAAGCTGACTGGAAACGTGCCTCCGTCTCTTAGTAGATTTCCTAGTTCTGCTTTTTCCGACAATAATCTTAATAATACACATGAAGTTTCTGTACCACCGGTTCTTCCTCCAATTGAGCCGCCGAAGAAGCATTCGTCACGTCTTAGTGGTACTGCAATACTAGGGATCATAATCGGAGCTTGTGCTGTGGGTTTCGCCTTGATTGCTGTTCTGCTCATCTTTTGCTATACCAATAAGGAAACCTCTCCACAGCCAAAGTTACCTCAGAGAGGAGGAACTTTTAAGAAAGACAAGAATGCGGTTTCGGGAAGTCATGATGGAGATGGCAGGCTAATATTCTTTGAGGGTTGTAGCCTTGCTTTTGACCTTGAAGATCTGCTGAGGGCTTCTGCTGAGGTGCTTGGGAAGGGATCGTTTGGAACGACTTATAAGGCGGCATTGGAGGACGCAAATATAGTTGCGGTGAAGAGATTGAAGGAAGTCACTGTGGGGAAACGAGAGTTTGAGCTCCAAATGGAGGTGGTTGGAAACTTGAGGCATGAAAACGTGGCTCCATTAAGGGCGTATTATTATTCCAAGGACGAGAAGCTCATGGTGTATGATTATTACTCTCAAGGGAGTGTGTCTGCTCTATTACATGGTATCATTCTCCTTACTTCAATGTGTGATTTGCTTGTTTGCTAATTCTATGGACTTCGATTTTTAACTTGCTTTTGCTCTGTGGATATCATGCCTTTAGATTTGATCCAATTGCATAGAGTGGCCGGGCGATTTTAGTTAACTCTGTTCTGTTCAGGATTGCACTCGATTGCTTTTTGATAGTATGGTTTCATAAAGAATAAACTCACATCTGTCTAATGTGTCATCGGTTGTGCTCGGTTGTGTTGGAGGTTTAAGCTATTCTCTATTGCATGTCCCATGTATTGCTGTTTGACGTTTGCTTGCAACTCATCTGTGACTAGTCATCTCATTGATCTGTTCTTCATTGCTTTACTTTTAGAAGACCATCCGGTGCTTTTGCAGTTGTCATTAGTGTATCATATTATACATTTCGAGAATGTAGCTGAACGTTGAAGATGGTAATGCGTGTTTGTTTAGATTCCATGAACTTACATGGTTTACTTTCTTGTTTCCCAGCGAAAAGGGGTGAAAAGCGGATTCCTTTAGATTGGGAAACCCGTGTTCGGATTGCAGTTGGTGCTGCAAGGGGTATTGCTCATCTTCATCAGCAATCTTCTGGAAAGCTGGTTCATGGAAACATAAAAGCCTCCAACATTTTCCTGAATTCCCAGCAATATGGTTGTGTGTCCGATCTTGGCTTGGCCACACTAATGAATCCAGTAGCTCCACCAGTGATTCGAACTGCAGGTTACCGTGCACCAGAAGTCACTGACACCCGCAAAGCCTCTCAGGCATCAGATGTCTACAGCTTTGGGGTTCTGCTGCTTGAACTTCTGACTGGAAAATCACCTATACATCAGGCAGGCAGCGACGAAGTTATCCATTTGGTCAGGTGGGTTCATTCTGTTGTTCGTGAGGAGTGGACTGCTGAAGTATTTGACATAGAACTTCTGAGGTATCCTAATATAGAAGAAGAGATGGTGGAGATGTTGCAGATTGGAATGACATGTGTAACAAGAATGCCAGATCAGAGACCAAAAATGATCGATGTAGTTAAGATGGTAGAGGATATTAGAAGGGTCAATACAGGAAATCGGCCATCTACTGATGGAAGAACAGAAGAATCAACTCTCACCTTGACGCCTTCATCTGTGGAGATGGCATCATCTTCTATTCAACAGTAGCATTTTGTTCAGAGATAGGTTTTCAGTGATACCTTTTTGTGCTCGTTTTAACTTTTAACTGATTTCAAAAGAGGTCTTAGTCACACTTGTTTTGTAATAGGTCAGTGTCGTTCTTTTTGCTTCTCCACAAATTAGTTGACCAACCTTATAAAAGGGCCGGTTGGTATACAAGTTGAATTCTTTAATCCTAATTTGTTAATTGTGATTTGAATCTGTTTATCCCTACGTCTAGTTATACAACAGCTAGTTCACAACAGATTAGTACACGGGGTTTCTTTTGTTAGCCTTTTGCCAATGGTAAGCAGTCTAATTGTAGAGTTTTTCTAATCATGCCACTCAGCCTCATTTTATATATTTCCAACATTTTTACATTATGCATTTTCGTAATAGATCAATGGCAACAAAAGGATTTCTGAATTTGAATTTCCACAGAATAATGCAACAATAGTAACAGAATAAGAAGATTGTACCCTCTATCACCCTGAACACACGAGCAGCTAATCTAAGAATACGTATGAAACACTCCAGACAAATTTTATATTAACATAAAAATGAGTATTCACATCCATATAAAGATTTTCCACTTCAAAAAATTGATTCTCTCCCAGCTGGAAAGCTGAGATCATCAGATTCCCATTCAGAAGATCATCAGCTTCTCTAATCCTAAAAGAATCCGTAAACTTTACACGGAACAGCACAAGCTCCAATAGTTCCTAATCACTTACTTTTCGGCCATATATCAACCATCTTCCACATATAGCAATACAAACAAAAGAATGCACCTCATTTCCTCAATATTCTCGTTTTAATGCCACCTGAAATTTTCAATCCAATAAAGTTTTAACGTCACCGCCACATGGGACAACTAGATCTGAAAAATATATTGCCACGTCATAGAACTCAAAATTAGTCACATACCTTCCACTTCTTCAAATTGTACTTCCTTAACCAGATCTGCGGCAGCATGATACTCAAACCTGCCAAATTGAACGAAATTCATCTTCTATACATGATAAATTTGAAGTTTGGAAGGATGAGAGTTGAGCGTTATGCAAAGCTTATTAAACAAGGTAATACAGAAACTTTGAACTCTAAGAGACTTTACTAGATAAGTCTTACAGGGTTACAGCTCATACAAACACAACCAAATGAAGCGAGTAAATCTGACAATCCTAGAGTGAAATATATCCATATCCAGTTTTAGAACAAACAGATATGAAAATTACAAGTAGCATCAGAAAATCGGTTAGGCCACATGCAATATAGTGTAGACTATGTGTACAGAAGTAAAACTTAGCAGCTATTTAGATCACATAAACTAGTTTGTCGTCAAGAAAAACCTTCAGAAATATCTTACTATTCAGAAAAATATTAGCAGTTATTACAGTCTTATGTAGCAAAACAACAAACAAAAATATTTGTTTAACATTGAACTGGACCTGCATCAGTGTTGACAATCAAAACTCGTGAAGGAAAAGTAAGAAGTAAACTGAATTTTACCTTGTTGAATAAAGCACATCCAGTTCATAATCAGAAGCGCTTTTGGTAGCTTCTAACAGTGCAGATACTATCTCTGACTTCCTTGTGCTGGCCATAAGTATATCATACTCTGTTGGGATGATGATAGCAAAAAAGTGATCGCCTAGTCCACTCAAACACAGTTTCTCAACAGCAGCAAGAGCTATCCTCCTTTTGAGAGCATATGTGTCTGGGTCTAAGATATAAATGGCGAACTCAGTAATCAAAAGTATACGCTTCTTCATCTTGCCCGACCCAGTAAATTTCATTACTCTATCTGCAAAGAGAACATTTCGGTCACCTGAAAAAGGGAAAAATACCATTAAGATTAGGACCAACGGAAAACATTTACGTTCAAAACAATAACCCAGAACTAAGAGCTCCCTACATGATCACAGTAAGTTCCAGACTAAAACTACTCCAGGAGTCCCAAAGAAATGTTAAAATGGCTGGCAGCAAAGGGATATATCTCATCCACAAATACTAAAGTATACGGTAAAACAAAGCCATGGCTAGATGTAAGCATCAGCCCCCAAAAAAATACCATTCAACCACATTACATTCTGTTGCCAAATCAACATGAAATAGATTAAACAACTTGAAAACGGATAGAAGGAAGAACTTGGGCATTAAGTAGATGCACGACACCAACAGCTTATTTCAGCTCAATATCACATCCGAAACAATGAGATTATGAAGAAACTAAAAAATTAGAAATCGAAAACAACAAAAAGACAGACAGACAGACAGACAAACCTTCTGGTTTCTGAGTTTTCAAATTTATAAAATAAAATTAATTAGATCCACAACATTAGGGCAGCTGAGTAGCTAGTACAATGATGTCTCTAGGAATCAAACTCCATACCAGCAACACTATGGAATGCATAACAACTTCAATATTGTTAAATAAAAAGAAACTAAAACCCAACTTTTGGACAAAGGAATACGAGACGTCTTACCCAAACAAAGGAATTCCAACAACCGAGTCACTAAATTAGAATGCAGTCCGACATAGATATTGGAAATTTACCTTGTTTACTAAGAATCTTCATGATATAGGGTTGAGAAGGCACGTTGACATAATCTCTGCCGGAACTTGCATCGTTTTGGCCTCCTCCTTTTTCGCCGTCGTTATCCCGAGCCTCTGGTGAAGCATTCTCTTCGTCGTCGTCGTAAACCGGTTGGTTCTTTTCCAACCGCCGGTTGGATTGGAATCGTGACATCTTTTCCTCTATCGGAAAGTATCCGGCGGGTCGGGTCGGCGGTGGATGGCTCGGTGGTTGATTTGTTTTTAGTGGGTGCGTTCAGGGAATCCCGGGGTTAAGTACAAACCGCGCCTTTCGTTTGTTGGTTGGGTCCAGCTGTTATTTTTTAATCATTTTTTATTCTTATTTTGTTTTTCCTTTGGGATTGCTTTCAATTCTCGCTGTGTATGAATTATGAAATATTAGCTGAGTAGCTGTTATTATTTCGATTCGAATATTTTGGTTGGCAAACTACGCTCAAAAGAAATTGGCGCAGCTTCTAATTTGGAGTGGAGTTAGACAATTGAAGTGAAACATGTCAAATTCATTGTAATTTTTATTTTCTTGTTGAGATTCAAAAGGTTATAATGAATTATGTGTTTTGTGAAAGACCAATTATTTTCTTGTAGAGATTCAAAAGGTTATAATGAATTATTCGATCTGTCTCAAAATAATTGTCCAGTTTGAGATCCATTTTTAGTACAATTTGAACTGGAAATGAAAACCCAAACTGGGCAAAAATTATGGGACGCGGGAGTATGTGTTTTGTGAAAGACAAATTCACCAATGTGACTAGATCATGAGTATAATTGGTAATTTTAATAAAAGGCCAATTTTTTTAGTCTTGAAACTATTTTTTTAATTCAATTTTCGTCTTGATGGAAAAATAAAAAAATAAAAACTCCATGAATAATAAGAGATCAAAACCAGCAACTTGATGGTTGAATTTTTGAGCGTTTGCCACAAGTGATTGGAGTTTGATTAGTTGAACGATTCAAGTTTCGTTTACTCGATTTTTATTAGAGAGTCAATATCCACTCCACTCTATATTTAGCAGCCAAATCCAGATACCAAAGACATGAAGTACTAACTTTTATCTTTCGTTTTTCTTTTCTTTTGAAATAAAACAATCCTTCTTTGTTAAATGGATGGAGCATTAACAAAAAGCCTTGTATTTGTATCATTATAGCCCTTTCAAATAACCTAAGCAACAACCATCCCAATATGTTTTACCTCGTTTTTTTTATCCTTTAAATTAAAAATGACACAATTTCAATAATTGGGGAAAAGTAAAAATTGCAAGAACATATGTTAACATGAATTCTTTTTTTTTTTTTTTTGAAAAAAGATCTTACAGAACTCTTCGAGTATTTGGAAAATTTTCATATTGGAGTTGCCGGTTGGTGCTGGCTTTCGGCGGAAAATAAAATTACACGCTGTAAATCCAACTGGACTACCGGGGGGGGGCCCATATTGGCCAATTCAAATTTGGAAACGATAATGTCCTCGTTTGACTTGTCGTTTTATTTTCTTTAATCGGTTTCAGAGCGCTCTATAAATACACAACCCTGAAGATTCAGGGTACAAAATATAGGATTTTCCCTATTTCTTTTTCTCCCTCTAATTTCGTTATCCTTTACGTAATTGGCTTTACCAACCCCGACCGCCACACCGAGCCGGATAAATTCATTGTTTCCAGGTAAAAATTCTAGACCTCTGATTATAATCCCGTGTTGTTTTTGTGAGTATGATCATCGAATCGACTTCGTCTGTTTTCGATTGTTTCTGTACATGAATATCAAACCCAAGATGATCATAATCATCATGATACGTGGATCTAATGCTATGAAATCATTGTTGCAGGAAGGTTTAGGACATGGCTTCCAAGCGAATATTGAAGGAACTTAAGGATCTTCAAAAGGACCCTCCTGTCTCTTGTAGCGCTGGTAAATTCTCGCTCTCTCTACTTTTACGCTTGCAATCCTTATAAGTTTCTGTCTGTTTCTGTTTTATTTTGTTTATGTGCGGCGGGCATGCAGTAATTCTAGTTGGATTTTGTTTTCGACGATTGATTGTTATGGATGGTTGTAGTTAACCTTGGGTTTGAGGTTTCGGTTAAATTAAACAAGTTGTAATTTACTACACTACTTTGGCTTTTTCATAGATCCATCCTGTTTCAGAGTTTTGAATTCAGTCATGTTGTAGGACAGGCTTCCTTAACAATAATACTTCCTGAAATCTCCATTGGAATTTAAGGGTTAGGTTTACCACTTTTAAGTTCAAGGACAGGCAAACATTAAGGAATTTTTAGTTTTTAAGTGGGCAGGGGTTCCTAAAGTTGCTAATAAGTATAAGGATACAGAGGCCATTATATCTCGTGTTATTATTCGTAAATGCTGGGTTTCTCTATCGCTGTAGCTTTCGTTGGTTATGGTTTACATGTGTGTCTTGACTAAAGATATGGTTTATTTGTATATTTCAGGTCCTGTTGCTGAAGACATGTTCCATTGGCAAGCAACAATTATAGGCCCTTCAGACAGTCCTTATTCTGGTGGAGTCTTCCTGGTTACCATTCATTTTCCTCCAGATTATCCATTCAAGCCCCCCAAGGTGTGTGGTTTACTTTCACATTCAACCCTATTATTGCATGAATTTTACCAATTATCCTTTGTAGCTTTTGCTCTCCCAGGCCCTATGTTATGCCTAGGGATACAGGCTTAGCTCTGCATTCTTATATTTGTATTTTTGCATTCATGTTTTTCAATATATATACAAGCATTAAGTGTCATTAAGCATTAATCTCATATTTTTCTAGTCAACACAGAATCACTAGCAACAACAGAAGCCCTTATTGCTTTCTTTCTTTCTTTTGTTCACGTGGATATTTAGTGTAAAATTGACCTTACTGAATCTTGCAGGTTTCTTTCAAGACGAAAGTTTTCCACCCCAATGTAAACAGCAATGGAAGCATATGCCTCGACATCTTGAAAGAGCAGTGGAGCCCTGCTCTCACAATCTCCAAGGTATATTTTCTCATCTTTAAAACACTACAGGAGATAGTATAGTAGCAGTTCACTGTTTGTCGGGCATAGAACCTCAATTCACCATGCTTTACGTTTCCATTTTTGTCTGACATCTAATGAGACAAACTGGCTTATGAAAATTATCCAATTATTCTGATTCGGATGTTATTATTTTGTTAAGATTAACGCTTGTGAAATTTGAGCAAGCTTGGATGATTATTTTTCCTTTTTGGTGTCTCCTAAACGTATGGAAAATATTATGCTTGACAACCTTGTTCCACTTTTGACATAACTTTGTGTTTTCCATCATAGGTGCTACTATCAATCTGTTCTTTGTTGACCGACCCAAATCCAGATGATCCTTTAGTTCCTGAGATTGCTCACATGTACAAGACAGATCGGAACAAGTACGAGAATACTGCAAGGAGTTGGACTCAGAAGTATGCCATGGGCTAAGGATGCTTTGGTCGTGCTTTTTTTTTTTTGGAAGATTTGTTGTTGGTTTCTCTCTTTTGGAGTAGTTTGTTCTCTTTTGAGTATTTAGGTGGACAAATGGTACTCTAAAGCTTCCCATTTAGGGAAGCAGAAATTTGTAGGAAGCGATTCAAATATTATAAATTGATATTTATGCTCAATAGTCTTTTAAAGTTTTGTTTCAAAACCGAAGTTTATTCTGCTTATATACATATTTTAATTTGGAGGGGCTTATGTTTGTGCCATTGATATGCTAGGAAAGTTGAATTCTGTGACAGTGCCTTACACTTCATATAACATTCCCACCTGCAGTGTCTTCTCCGGGGGCACCTGGAGTGCTGAAACGGATGAACGGCTGTTCTTCTGCAGGAATCTGTATAAATAATCTATAGCCAGACGGGTAACCCACCCGTTAGTCTGATTTGCCCTAAGTAGGGTCCTCCCAATCACGAAAACAGTTTCTTCTTGTGCTGCTGAATCAATCTTCCGTTGCTCGTAAGCATTTTCAGCACTGTCTAGTAGTTTGTCCAGAATTGAAGCAATATAATCACCTTCATCCATGTCTATGGAATCTTTGTATCCTAGCTGTACCATACATCTATAAACCCCTTCGATTCCCAACCTCCCAACATTGAATCTTTCTTCTGGCAAGGTCGTTTTGATGGGAAGAGTTCTGATGGTAACAATCACCATTATTTCACGAACTAAGTTTGTATGGTGAATGTATCGTCGAATGATTGGTGGGATCCCATTCACTAGGTCAGTGAAAAAGAAACAAATCCCTGGCGTCCGATAAACATTATTGCTCGATAGCATTTGGTTTAGTTCAGTTAAGCTCATCTTCATTTCTGCCTCATACAAGCTCTTCTTACTCCTTCCATAGGTCCAAGTCAACATGACTGTTAAGAGGATAGCCGAGATAGCAAACGGCACCCAACCTCCTTGTGGAATCTTGTTAAGTAGCGACGTCATGAATATGCTTTCTATCAATATGTAAGGCACAAAAAAACACAGTACAAGGAAAACATTCGCATTCCATGTGACCAACATTACTAGTGCAGTCAGAACCGTTGTTATGATCATGACCCAAATGACCACCACACCTGAACCATAACCAGTAAACATGTTGAGGCAGTGAGTAATGAGAGTAAATGATGAGCTAAATGAAGAGTAGCTTACCATAAGCATTTGCTAACGCCACTCCCCCCTTAAATCCGACGACGAGTCCAACACATAGAATCATGAGGATGTAGTTGATTTCTGGGGAGTATACTTGGCCTCCAAACTTGGAAGAAGTATGAATCATTCTTACTCTAGGAAAACAGCCCAGAGCTAGTGACTGTTTCACTATAGAAAAGCTGGCAGATATCATGGACTGGCTAGCAACTATGGCAGCTAAGGTAGAGATAATGAACATAGGCCAATAGACAGGACGCGGGATGGAACTGTAGTACGCATTGTTGATCTTCTCAGGGTGCTTGATCAAGTAAGCTGTTTCGCCCGCATATGATAAGATCAACGCCGGATACACCATGAACGTAAAACCCCACTGCATCATTTGAAAACAGAAAAGAAAAAAAAAAAAGAAACTAAATAATTTAATATCCTTTGCTTAGAAACTAGACCAATAATTCCAAGAATATTGGCTTAAGAGACCTGGATTGCTTTCTTGTTGAAGTGACCCAAGTCAGCAAACATGGCCTCGGCTCCTGAATCACACAATCCATAAAATTTCTAATAACCATTTGTTGTTCTTATAGAATCAAAATTGTAGCTTAATTTTTCTAGAACAACATACCAGTTATGCTTAAGAAAACAGCACCAAGGAGATCCCATGTAGTTTTCGGTCTTTTGGAGACGAATAAAACAATATAGTGAGGGGATACAGCTTTGAGCACCATAGGTTGATGCTTGACGATGTTGTAGATTCCGATGAAAGCATTTGTGAGGAGCCAGAGGAGCATAATTGGGGAGAAAGTGAAGCTGACTTTGCTCGTTCCACATCGTTGGAAAAGGAAGAGCATTATTAGAAGAAAAACAGACATAACTACCACATGATCTGGAGCATGTTAAAACACGAACAAGTCCTGTTAGATTAATTACATACATATATATGAAACAAATAAAATAAAAAACAGTGGGAAACCGACCTTGTGTTATCTTGGGAGAACAGGACTGAATCCCCTGAAGCGCTGACAGCACTACAGGAAAGGGAATAATAACAGTTAAAGTTTCAGTTAACAAAATTTTGAAAAAGGGACAGAAACTAGAATTACCACAAGTAGCTGGAGTAAGTGCTCCATCCCCAATAACCATGCAAGTTCCAAGCAAAACAACAAAGATCAGAAAGTTTTGGAGTTTGGAGTTGGTCTCAAGGAATTTCTTGGTTTTGCTGTTTAGAGGACTACTAGTACTTGGACGGCTATAATATCTCATGCTGTCATCAGAGCTTAACCTTGTGTTTTGATGAACTACAAATTTGCTCCATTGGAAATTTAAATGCTGACAGAGATAGGAATACAGAGCAAATGTGCCGCCTTCGCCGTGATCATTGGCGTGTATGACGATGAACACGTATTTAATCAACACGATTATTGTTAGGGTCCAGAATATTAGGCTCAGGGTACCCAATAATTCTAGCTGAGTGAGGTTTGTCAAGTTAGTTGCCGAGAAAACGTTGACCGGAGATGTGGCAAGGTCTCCGTATACAACTCCCAGGGATTGGAATGCCAACAACAAAGTCTGCCCCCTCGGATATTCCTAGGAGAGAGTTAACTTAAGTTAGTTGATAGATTTTGTCACAAAATAGTTTTAAATGTTTGAAGCATTTTTTGCAATCTTGACTACTTTGATTGATATGAACGGATCAAGATATAACTGAAAATCAAAGCTACCATAGGTTTGCTAACAGGAGTTTTGTATACTCGGGTGAAGCTCAGAATTCTGTCCAGGGCCGGTGCCGGCGGCTCGACGTTTTCAACAGACTGGTCGACATCATTGTCGCTATCTGAACTACTGCCATTTTCAAGATCATCTCCGACTATGGAGCCGTTGGCTATTTTTGCTCCTTTCATGATGATTTTATTTTGATGGTTTAAGTTTACAGTGTTGTTGGCTTTGGAACTAAGCCAGAATTAGCAGCTGCATGTGTGCCAACTTAACATCTGAGGCTTTTTAATCGGGTTTCCCCACCCCCTTCTACTATATACTTCGAAAATGACAATACTGATTAATTAAAATAACAACCTATCTTCTTTTTTAGGGACTAAGTAGTGGTAGTAAAACTAATTTTCTCAAGTACTAGTTTCAAACCAAGTTGATATTTTCTTTTTTCTTTCTTTTTTTTCAGGGAGCCAATTGCTTAGAGCAGGTGATTGGTTGCAATTTGAGAGATAATATTCTTAATCTAATTAAAGTGAGGCCGAAAGGGAAAAGTGACGAATAAAGTGAGGGCAATCTTAGAGACACAATTCAGGTAATGATAAACATAAACCTGTTGGTTCATAGGAGAGCAGGTAAATGAAGCCAAACCATGACATGAAAAGCAAAGTCGCTTAGCTATCAACTTATAAAATGATTGGATAGCTTATCTATATCACAGTGCCTCTTAGAATGCAGCCAAATCAGGGCTATTCCACTCTCAGGTTTTTTTTTTTTTTTTTTGGAGGTTGGATTTAACATAACTAGGAAAATGCGGCTACCTAACTTTCCTTGCCCGACTCCAATCAGGAAAAAGAAAAAGGATCAAATGAAGAGTAAAACAAGAAGATCAAAACTCCTCCAGCTGTAAGAACAAGGGTTTATAATGCTCAGCAATCTAATTCTAATTGATGCATGTAACATGATCTTTTTGTTTCCTGATCGAAATACATGTTCTTCAAATCTAAAATCAGCTGCAGCAAATTTCACCCCCCGGGAAAGGGAAGTGCAACATATGGAATCACTAATCTAAGGGAGTCATCTTGATAGATGATCTTATAGACTTTGATCTCGATTATATGTCTCGGGGAAACACAAAATGAACTGAATCCATGAAAGCAGAAACTATACAATGGTCAAATTTTAACTGAAAGAAACAGGGCAAGTTGACAATTGAATCTGGATTTCGTTTCACCTTATCAGGTGTGTTTACTTCTCCAGCCAGGCTCATCATATATGTAACTTGATAATCCAGGAAGGAGTTTAAATTTCGTAATGCATCCCAACTTGTAAGAACTTTCCAGGCGGAATCCTAAGCGCTGTGAGTGCGGACCTGCAGTTTTTCTGCAAGAATCTATAGAAGTAATCGATAACCAATCGAGAAAGCCACCCATTACTCTCCTTTGATTTCAAGATTGTCCGGCCAGCCACGAAAACCACTCCCTTTTCGAATGATCTCTGAAGCTTTTCCTTTTCTTCTTCAGTTTCCGCAATCTCCTTGAGGCTTGCGATTATGGAAGCAACAATATCATCTTCTTGAAAGCTCTGTGCATCCTTATAACCAAACTGAATCAAACACCTGTACACCCCATCAATTGCCAATCTTCCCACATCAAGACGTTCCTCTGGAAGTACCGTCTTGATAGGCAGTGTCCTGATAGTCACGATGACGGTAATTTCACGCAGAGAATTCGTGCTTTGAATGTAATGCCTGACAATTGGTGGGATCCCGTTGACTAGGTCGGTGCAAAAGAAGCAAATTCCAGGCGGGCGATAAAGTTCTCCGTGTGTTGCAGATAGCAGCTTGGAGAATTCAGCCATGCTCATTTTCCTTTCGGCATCAAATGCAGTTTTTTTGCTCCTTCCACTAGTCCAGGACATCATGATTATCAAGAAGAATGCTGCAATTGCAAACGGCACCCATCCACCTTGTGGGATTTTGTTGAGCAGGGAAGTCATGAATGTGCCCTCAATGAATATGAATGGGACAAAGAATGCAAGGATTAGAGGGAATTTGGTATCCCAGATTATCAACATAACCAATGTTACCAAACATGTTGTGATGATCATCACCCATATGACAGCCACTCCTGAAAAACGAATCAACAAGACAGAATTACCAAGGAATAAAAGAGTGCAAAAGTTGCAATTAGTCAATTAGAAAGAGAGATATGTAGAATTACCGTATGCATTGCCAATTTCGACACCTTGTCTGAATGTTAATACCAGAGCAATACAGATGATCATGAGGATGTAATTGATTTCCGGAGAGTAAACCTGTCCTTCATGTTCGGCGGATGTCTGTTTGATGTTGACCCTGGGGAAGCAACCAAGAGCCAGAGATTGCTTCACAATGGAAAATGTTGCTGATATCATTGACTGACTAGCTATGGTAGCAGCCAAAGTTGCTAAGACAAACATAGGCCAGTAAACAGGCTTTGGGATTGAGCTATAGAAAGCCGTAGAGAGCGTGCCGGGATTCTTGGTTATGAAAGCTACCTCACCAGCATAACAGACCACAAGTGATGGATACACAAAAAAGGAGAATGCCATCTGCAAGAGATTAAAAAGAATATATGTAGACATACATTATTGTGTCTTTAATTCGTTGCAGCTGAAAGTAACTATAAAAATTCTAAGTAACTTGTGTATACCTGGATCGATCTCTTGTTAAAATGGCCCAAATCAGCAAACATGGCTTCAGCTCCGGTAGTGCATAGAAACACTGCGCCCAGGACTTCCCAGCCGCCTTTGCCACGATTTTTGAAGAACTTGATTATGTAGTGAGGCGATAGACCTTTAAGAACAGCCGGATTGTAGGCAGCAATGTTGTAAATCCCGATGACAACAAGCGCAGCAAACCACAAAAACATGATTGGCGAGAAGGAAAATCCAACTTTGCTCGTTCCAAACCTCTGGAAAAGGAACAGAGCCAGAAGAATCACAACCGCCAGGACAACAACATGGCCTGAAAAATAGTCGTCATTCTTGAAGGTGAGTACAAAATATATCGATAGACCATATATAATGAACTACACTGAACTGAAAAACTCCCGCACACCTGTTGTTATCTTGGAGGAAAGTGACTGAATCCCGGCAAGAGCTGATAGAACTGCAAACCAAGATACAATAAGGGGTTCACTAAGTCACTGGGTTGGCCACATGGATCGAAAACAAGAAATTTTCTTGGGGGATCATGCATGCTTACCACTGGTAGCTGGTGTTAAAGCACCATCACCAATAACCATTGAAGTGCCCAAAAGCACGACAAAGGTCAAAAAGTTCTGAGCGAACTTGCTGTTTTCAATGAAGGTTTTGGTCTTGGATTTGATAGCACTTCCTTCGCCTTGAGTATAGAAACTCATGTTGGCATCGGATTCCAACCTGGTGGCACTCTGGATAGTGAGTTCGCTCTTGAAGTTGATATGCCTGCATAAGTAAGAATACAAGGCAAAAGTTCCACCTTCCCCATGATCATCTGCCCTTAGGACAATGAACACGTATTTGATCAAAGGGATTATAGTCAATGTCCAAAAAATCAGGCTCAGGATTCCGAGCAAGTCATCCTCGGTCGGATCCTTGAGCCCAACTGAGGACAGCACATAAAGAGGGGACGTCCCAATGTCTCCATATACGATTCCCAGTGATTGAAATGCCAACAACAACGTTTGCACCGTCGTGTATTCCTAAACACACAGAACCATGTTTTTTTAAAAGTTGAACTTCTTTTTTGTCTTAATAAACAGGAAATCGCACATAACAGTTCTCTGCAAAGAATGAAAATGAAAAATCAAGAGAAAATTAAGAAGCAGCAGTTTGTTACCTTTTTGTGAGGAAGTGAAGTTTGGTATTTCTTTGCCAAGAAAAGGTCTCCACCACCAGAATTAGTAGTAGTTGGCTCGTCCTTGGTGCTGACGGGACTACCCTTTTCAAGATCGCCCTCCATGACTGGAATCCAAATTCAAAGAATAATGGTTCAGTTCGAAGAATTCAAAAAAGGGAATCTGGAAATTCAAAAGGGTTGATGACACATTTGCCTTGATCTCAAGGGTTGCTTGTAAACATGTGTTTTTCTTTTTAATTTTCTTTTTCTTGTAGAGGCTTACATTGATCAACAATTGAACAGCTAATGAGCCTTTTTTTTTTTTTTTCTTTTTTTCTGTAGTTGTCTCAAAGGTAAAAGTTTACACAACTCATGACTTTGGTTGTTTTTAATCCGTGGATTACCGTTGATTTCATAACTACAAGAAATACGTGCAAAATTAGAATGGCGCCATCACACAGATACTAGATGAACGCTCCACCATCAACACATGTGATTTCATAACTTTCTCAATGCGCCAGACAAGTAAAAGTAAAGTATACCCCCCGAGCGACTTGCTCCCTTTCACACACACACACACACACACATACCAAAAGGCCAAACACAAATAACAAAAACAAAAAATGCCAAAAAAAGAAAAGGGAAAAACAAAAGGAAAAAGAGGGGGGAATTCAGAATTCTAGAACAAGGATGACCTGGACAAATCTCCATTGATGGATCAATATGGCTAGCTCGGCGGGAGGACGATGACGCTCCCTCCACTCGACTCATATTTAGTTTTAATTTCTCTGAGCCAAGTGGTGATCAGGCTTGAAAACTAAGGATCGATCCACCGAAAAATTATAACTGATGATGGAAAACTACAAACACAGATTGTTAGGTTTTAATCCTATAAATAACTATGTGTGCATAGTGAATGGCAAAACGAGTTCATCAGTTGTACTACGAATATGGTACAGGGAGCAGTAATGGTGTAAAATTCTAATTTTTCCAACTAAAACCAGTGAAAGAATAATATGGCCATATTACCTTTTAAACATTGTAATTATCCTATCTTTTGCATTAACAACTAAAAGATACCCTACTAAATATGTACACTTGTTTTCCTTGTATAGGGTTTGGCCGTTGGCGGGATTAAGATCACCAATAGGCGTTCCGAAATTTGATCGACGAGCATTTTTTACGCGTACTGTTTTTATCTTATTACGCGCACTGATTCATGTAATAATGGACTTTCGACCCAAAGCTCATTATTTGTTTTGGGCCCTCTGCTCCTTTATCCACGAGCCCGTCTCGAAACTAAAGAGATTGTTCACAGGCCCATCTCACATATGATAGTAGTAATATTTGCAGGGTGTCCAAAAAAAATAAAATAAAATAAAAAATCTAACCAAATTGGTAAAGAAAGCTAGCATTCTCACCACTGCTTTAAATCGCGTAATTTCAGAATTGAGTTAGGTTGAACTAAAAACGTCGAGAATAAATATACTGTCTCATTTCAATATTCCATTTCTCTCTATGATAATTCACTATTCGCATTGATCAGACGGTCATGTAATCAAGTTGGATTGGCCCAATTGGTTTCATCAGTTGCTTATAGTCCCCTTCTTATAACGTATTAAAAATATAAACTAAATAATCATTTCATAACATATTGAATAGTGGTTTTACGACGCTGACTTTAACACTTGTCTTGCTAAGGCGTCTTCAGGAGTTGGCGCTCAGAGAACGCGGTTGCACACAAACTAGCTTTTTATTCCAAAAATAGTGATGCCGATTTTGTAACGTGGTCTACCTTTTGTCAATCACCACCGGGCGATTCCCAACAATCTTAATAAAACTCTTTTTTTTTTAAAAAAAAAAAAAAGATTGAATAGTCGTTTGCATCGTTTCATTGTATAAAAGGGAAAACGGTAAAAGATATTTCGCAATAAAAGAAATGTCTTACTTTTAAAGAAAAGTTATGCTTATGCATTCTATTGAGATTTACATAAATAATCAATCAAAGAATAATTTGCTGCTTAAAAAGAATAAAAGTTCAATTTGAACCAATATACAATGGAGTTCAAACTTTCAGGCCAACAATTGAAGGAAAATCGTTGCTAGCGCGATGATGCGTGGGCATACTTGTTGATTGATATTTATAAGGACAGATAAATAAACTATGTATTCCACTATTAGTTTCCCAAGTTGACGAACTATATATATTTTGGCCAATCCTGCTTTAAATAATTTTTAAAACTACTTATACATATATATGGTCACTATCCCATTTAAAACACAAGGTTTTAGTTATTTCGAAGTTTGATCAAATGTCCCCAAAGAGACGACGTTTTCCTCCTATTTTCCAAGTTGATTTAGTAGTAGTAAATTATTGGTTAAACACAGTTTCTAGGCATCCCCTCGAGCACCTAATTTGTGCACTACCCTATGCTCTGGGATCCAAAATTTCCATGAATTTCTCTCATTTGCCGAAAAACCAAAACTCTTGGGGTTCCCAATAAAAAAATTAATTTATTGGGTTTCCTTTTACGACTGTAAAATTTCAAGCACAAAATAACTACTGCTACTAATTAAATTGACTGCAATGTTAATTACACAAACAGACTAGTGAGCCGCCCAATTTTCTTTGCACTTCTGTTGTTCCCTAATTAATACTCTCCCCTTCTAAAATAAGTGTCATTCTAAAGTTTGCACATAGTTTCAGAAAACATTAACTAAAATAACTAAATTATTAAAATATCCTCAACCAATTCCATTAAAATAAATGCTACCAATAATATTATTTTTTTGGAGGGTATGTTCGGAAATTTTTGACAACAAATGCATTGAAATTCGAAAACAATACTTATTTTAGAATTTCTCCATTTTGTCAAAACGATACTTATTTTAGAATGGAGGGAATAATGTTTTATTCGAATAAGACACCGTCCTGACTCCTGAGTTAGTGACCCATGCCTTATTTATTTCAAAGACGAAAGTTTCTGAAAAACAAGGCACTCTGATTGTACTTGTAATTACTGCTATTAATACTTTATTACTTTTATAAGTCTCTAATTGCACTTGTAATTAGTACTGGTATTAATACTTAATTACTGTTATAAGTACTCCCTCCATTATAAAATAAGTGTCGTTTTAGCAAAATGGAGAAATTCTAAAATAAGTGTCGTTCTCACATTTCAATGCACTTTTTGTCAAAAGTTTCTAAAATTACCCTCAAAAGAGTTGATGCTATTGGTGGACAATTTTATAATGAGGTCGGTTGAGGCTATTCAAATAATTTTATTACCCTATTTAAGAGTTTCTTAAACAATGTGTAAAGTATAGGACGACATTTATTTTGAAATGGAAAGAGTACTTATAATACAAGTGTTTAATGATCAGGTATGATTTGATAAGATGCCTAAATTAATTTAGTTGGTGAGCCCGGCAAAAGGTCGTGTCCACGAGGGGCCAGACAAAATTACATGCAATACAGGTTTTATGTTCTCAGCTCACGAGTCCCGTCGAACTTCCGCAGCTTCCTGAAAATCAGGTTTTTCCTAATTCTAAAATTTTTTCCAACCTAATTCTCCATGCATTTTCGCTTCAATGAAAAGGTACTACACAACAGCTCATCAAAAACCCTTTTCCTGGTTTTATTGTTCTTTCTCCATCTTCTCATTGATTAGTATTCCCTCCGTCCCATAACTATTGTTCAATTTGAGTTTTCATTTCTAGTTTAAATTATACTAAAAGTAAAATATCAAATTGGACAATAATTTTGAGACATGAAAAGTATTTTTAATGAGAATAACATATCGATATAACTAGGAAAACATATACTAGTCCATTAAAACTCGTTAAGTTGGATATGGAGTTTTTGTATATGATTATGTCTGTAGTTATTGTGTTATCTTATCTGTAAGGTTCTTATTTTCTTTAAAAAAAATTATAAGTCTTAAATTTGAATTATTACATACTAATCATTCATCAAAACGGGAGTCAACTAATATATACTTATAACTTATAAATCATAAAGTGGAGCAACTCTCAATGATCATCGAGGGTCCATCACTATTTTCCATTGAATTAATGAACAGAATGTGTAACGTTGCAATATGTTTAAATTGCTGAAAGAAAATATCGGTAGATAGAGTATATATATAATATTGTTATTTAGGAAGACCAGTTCAAAAAATCATCACTTGGAAATCCGATATTAAAATAAAATACTCCAAGTCATTGGAAAAATGACGTGGTTGTTCGCTTTATGTATGGGAAAATACATATAGAAACAAAATAAAAATAAAAAACGAAACCGGGAGACCAGGTGTACTGTAAACAAATTGACGTCCACTTAGAACTGTTGAGTCGGGAGTGGGAAAAAAACGTGGGGAACTTTGGGTACGTACCAAAGAACACAGAAGTCGCAGAAAAGATTTTTGGTACGATAAAGTGAATGAATAATATCAAGGGTTTGTGACTTTGTGTGTAGTGGGAGGCCAATATGAACATTTGATTCATCATATGCTAATCATGCTAATTACCTGAATTTAGGCAAATACTTAAACCGGGATTTCCCATCATTTGATGTCTAACTATCCAACCATTATATCTATTTAATAACCTTATATAATGCGATTGATTACTCGACATATCTGTTGCTTAATTGTACCCAAAAATTTTACTTTCTCAAATGTCTGCTATGTGTAGGATGTCTGAACTCGAACCACCACGTGTACTTTTCATTCTCAGTTTTTTTTTTTCTTAGAGAGAAAAGATAAAAAAAAATTCTAAGGTTAATTTGGACAAAATCTCCACGTATGCGTCTATATATCATCATATTCATGTGCAAAGGTAAAATTCTAAGGGTTTTTTTTTCCCCCTTAAAGGCCACAAGTTCGTATCATTAAAGACCTACGGTTTTGCTTGATAATGAATATAAATAAAAGTTTTAGTACGATTCATTAAATCACGCTTGCAAAGTTGGTCGGCTTCACCAGGCAGTTCGATTTAGTGGTTAAGTTCAGAGCAATGATACACTTAGAGATAAGAGTAATGATAAGGTAAAACGAACTTATAAAGTGATCAGTGTTAACATCTCACCAAAAAGAAAATTGTAAACTGAGCTGGTTCAAAGATTGTTAGTGAATTGATTTCTTTATCATCTTCTTTTTTTCTTTTTTTTTTCATTTTCCTTCATGCAAGTTTCAATATACATTTTGTTTGGATGAGAATCGGCTTGAGTATATACATACTTAGAATCTATTCATACTTCATACTATCTGGAAAGGAAAAATAATTTCCCAACACATACTCCATTCTTGATTTGTCATAAATTTTGATATATATTTTCAAATGGAAAAAAAATTTTGAAAATACATTTTCACATTCATTGTATTTTCC